TCTTGATATGTATTATAGCACAAATAGCTACAGACACCCAGGGCTTACCCCCTGGCGGCCTTTGCCCCAACAGGGGATGGCGGGACACATGCTTAGGCGGTGAACTGCGGCCGTAAAATACAACAACAACAACAACAACAACAACAACTGAGCTCACTCAGGGACAGAATCTTTTTCTCGTGATTTTTTTAATTTTTACTTCTATCTTTTCTTTTCTTTTTTCCCTGACGAGCATCGGCTGACTATGAATAAATTTTCATGTTATTGTTTGCCCTCGTCGCATTCTATACTTCGATGGAAGACTATTGGCAATTTCCCCCCAACCGGACTAGGCCTGCCTAAGGCTAGCCATGTCCCGTGACCGCCAAGAGTCCTTGTCCCGAACGGGTTAAGCGATCGACTCCTTACGAGTTGGGCAGAAACAGAGATTGAAGTGAATTCCTCGGAGTAAGTAAAAGGTGAATCCGAGCTGGAATGATCGACTCCCTTGATGAGGGGTGCTGGTGAGGTCCCCACGAACAATGGACTTGATCCGAGACACTTTCAGACAACACATGTCGCTCCTGGGGATGCTGATCATCTCTGTGGTTTTCCGTATTTGCCAGCCTGTCAAGATGACCCTGGTTGCTAAACCCTCTGCGTCCTCGCATACAGCAGGTAAACAGACTAACTACGGAATACGGATACTGTGTACCCTGTCCCGACTAACGCACTAGTGCTACGTAAGTCATCATGGCCTGCAGCTGCCCTGTCCCCCCTCTCTCTCAGGCTTCCAAACTCACCATTGGGGATGGTGCCATCCGCTGTCGATGAATCGGGCTCGATTCCATGAGCTTTGCCTCTCACAACTGATCCAACGTGCATGTGGACTGCTAATAATAATTCACCTCCGATCCTCAAGTCTCGGTAAGCGCCAAATATACTTCAATACGGCGTCAACGAAGACTGACGCGTTTGGCCTGTTTGTTATGATTTCTTGCGGCCGCTGGCGTGGCCAACCTGCGAGTCAGAACCGAGATTTCTCTCTCTTCCGTGGCGGGCGAATGGATTTGACGGCCAGCATCAAAGGTGGAGCCCACGGGCCCTGATTTCATATGCACGACGTTTTTTTTCCTACGTTGGGACTTTGCCCACTTGCCTGCAGTAACCCTTTGCCTTTTTTTTTTTCTCGTTTCTTTTTTTATTAGTACACAGTACAGGGTACTAGCAACTTGGATTGTTCGCCTTCTCGTCACCAACCCTCTACCCGTGGAGAATGTGCAGCTCTCCGGTCCGCCTTGTTATTCTTCATTCATCGAGACTTCGCCCTTGGATCGAATAGGGGTTGTTGAGACGCCGTATCTGATCTATCCACTCTTGGCCACGAAGCCGTGCACATTCTTACCTGGGACCCTGTCTTTGGTAACATTCATGATGAACCTAAAAATCATGACCACGGAGTACTCCGTACGGTGTAGAAGGTTGATTTCAGATCGGCGGCGGCAACGAAGGACCTAAATAAACCTAAAATGCGAGAGCCAAAAATGAGATCAAGTCTGTAGTACATAGTACACAGGAAGTATATCGGAGCTTAGCCAAATCGACCGGTTCGAAGAAATATGGCAGAGAGAAGGGAGGATGCCAACGCCAACCACCTTGTCATCAACCATCCTCGTCACTATCCATCCTCTTATTGTCATCATCATCCTCCTCCCCATCATCTCATCTTCAATCTTACGGGCTGCAGATTAGATGGCCGTCCCGGTGCCTAGAAGGATCCCGTACAGTAGTGTAACTTTTGGCTGGAAGCTACTGCATCGTCAGCGGACTCGTTGGCAACAACTCAACATGTGTGCTGCAACGATTGAGTCTTGACGGATGAGGACAGCTATTATTGGCAGTCACCCGCACCACCCCGACGATACTATTCTTACCTACTGACGGAGGACTATCTCCAACGGGGTAAGATACCTCTACATACAATAATTTAGTGAGATGACTGAGATCGGAACACTTCCCGTATGGTCTGTACCGAGTAATGAGTATAGACGGTACGGAAGATCATAGGTCTCCCTTCCAACTGAGTAACAGTAACAGGATGGAGACCGGGATTGGGATCATGCCAATAAGACCCAGCCGATGCGAGGCTGCTGTCACCAGTACCAGTCAGCAATCACTGCCCATGCGGTCCCCACCGGTGCTCCGTGGTCGACGGGGGTATTCCGAGCCGGGCATACTGCCACGGCCCGGTGGCGGTACAGAGTATTGTGTGAGTCCTGCGTACTCCGTACACAGGACTGGGAATAATATACCCACGCAGGATGCAGACACCGTCTGCTACAGAGCAGAGGCCAAACTCCAAAGGGACCAGGGAGGGTCCCAGATCGGCGACATGTGCCAATAACCGGGCGAGATTAGTCAAGGCCATGCCAATTGCAACCGATCTTGACCGTTCCCACTGATCTGCCTTTCCCGAACGCGCACCCGTGTCTCGTTCACGGAGGAAACCGTCGCGGTACCGTGGAAAGTAAAACTACCTGGTAAACACTCGCATGATTCTGATTCAACTGTCCACAAGGAACAGCTGTCCGGCGTCTCGTCGCTTCCCCCGCTTCGCTCGTTATTGTTTCTGAATGTCGATTGAGGATGGATGATTGACTTGTCTCGTCGCCCTTCCCCTCCTTCTTCTGCTGTTCTTCTTGTCGCCCCGCATTCTCCTTCATTCCAAAACAATGAGATCATCGCTGTCAATTGTTGTCCCTTTTTTTATTCTTATGTAACCCACTCCCCTTCTGAATGTCGCATGTGGCTGAAGGCGCAGAGGTGAGGAGGTTACCTACTGGTAAGTGGTAACGGACTAGGAATTCGGAATCTGCATCGGTGGATATCCTTTCCACTAGACCCATTGGAGAGAGATCGGGAATGATTATCATCAGACTGATCATGAACGTAATACCCTAAACGGGCATGAGTGCACATCATGTATTCTTTTTTCGTACGGAGGAAAGGCAGAGAACGGAAAGTTGGAAACGCCGTGCTGTGTTTAGTTGGTCCCTAGCAGGATGGATCCATACTCCATACGTCTCTGTACTCCATCGAAAGAAAGAGAATCCCAAATTCCAAAAAAAAAAAAAAAAAAAAACCGGCCACGGTACACCCGACGAGGTTAATCGGAGAATCGAGAGGATCCCGTAAGCTACGCCACTTTGCACGAAATGCCAATGGGTTGACCCCCGTGGCATTAACCCGCTAGTAGTCTCTACAGACTGGCAAGTCCTCGGCGGGTGACCCAGCCTCCCTCCTTTCCTCCCCCCACTTTGATAGCGAGAACGCCCTTCCGACCTTTCCTAGCATTTCCTAGCGCATCGCCGGCCGACGCAACTCCCGCCTCACCGCTGCTTTGGCTCCCCACCGCTTCAATGCCCGCCATGGCGCCTTCATCCTATCATCCTCCCTCACTCTTCTCGCTCACTCGCACCCCGGATTCTGGGCTTTCTGCTCATCCGAAGCCCTCTCTCTTCCCCTCTGGCTTCGCTGTCAATTCCCTTCCATTCATCCCCTCTTATTTGTTTTCTGTATCACCCCATCCTGTCCTGCCTGTCTTTTATATTACTCTTTTTTTGGTTTTTTTTTTTTATACATTTTTATTTCGTTCGATTACTTTACTGTTTTTTATTTCCCCGTCGTTTTCGTTTTTCTTCCTTTTTTTTTTCTTTCTTTTTTTTATTTCCTATTTTCTTTTTTGGTTATCTCCCCATCCTTCCTAAGGGGATTTTTTTGTCCCTTTTTCTTTTTCTTCTCTTCCCTTTTTCCCTCTCTCTTGTTGGTACATAGTTTCAAATTCCGACAATGTCAAATGTTGATTTATCGAGTGACGGCTTCATCGGCCTGGACTATGACTCGAGGGGGTATATTCAGCCTCAGTCATGGCCCGTGGCGGTGGACCAGCAGCAGCCTGCCCACCGAACGGAAGGAGGGCGAGATATCTCTCCCTTGCAAACCAGCGGTCACGCTTTCGAACAGTCGATATCTCAAGATCCTAACTTGATGGTGGACTGGCAATTTCAGCACTTGCAACCCCACCTTCAGTACTCTCATGAAGAGGCCTCGTCCGCTCCGCAGTTCACGGCCGCAAGTTATGGCATGCCCATACAGTCGTCGCCGGTCGATCTGATCTCGGGAACGCAAGCTCAGTTGAGCACCGGACTTTTGGACGGTCCCTATCTGCCTCTCTCTGCCCCCGTGGATATGGTCCCGTTCCCTTACCAGGACCTTCAAACCGAACTGATGGCTTTCCCTACGGATCACGGCCTGCCGGACCTGTCGTACGCGGCGCCGCAGAACATGATAGGCGGCAGCTCGCCCGCAGACACCTACCTCGAGGTTCGGTCCTTGACCAGCTCCAGCAGCGACAATGGCTGGAGCACCATCGAGCCGCGCCGTTCCAACGAGTTCTCCTTCCCGGAACAGGGCATCTTCATCAACCCGACCCAGACTCTCCACGACCGAAGCCTCTCGGAGTCGTCGTACTCGACCTCGTACGGCAGCTTCGTGGATCTCGCCAACCCCGTCAACTCGCCCAGCTCCGAAACCAACTTCGAGTCGGCCTTTAAAAACTCCGTCAACCGTCGGGTTTCCTACGACCACACATCACACGGCTCGCAGTCGCCGACGGCGGTGAGCCCCGTGGCCATTGTCCGGCCCATCCCCGTTCCCACGAGGAAGCCCACATCGCCGACCCGATCTGCCGCGTCGCAGTCCTCAGCTTCTCCGCCGAGCCGGAAACCCTCGCGGAAGAGCCCCATCGCCGCGAAGACCGCCGAGACCAAGGTTCGCAAGCAATCGCAGAACGGAAAGCCGGAGACCGAGAAGCGGGTCGGAAAGCGCAAGGGTCCTCTGAAGCCGGATCAGCGGAAACAGGCCAGCGAGATCCGCAAGTTGAGAGCCTGTCTTCGCTGCAAGTTTTTGAAGAAGACCGTACGTATTTCCCCCTGGCTAGTGTTTCTTCTCGCGGTTTTATGCAACTAGACCGCTAACTCCGGTGACTAGTGCGACAAAGGCGAGCCCTGCGCGGGCTGCCAACCTTCACATGCTCGGTTATGGCAAGTTCCCTGCACGCGAATTGACATCAAGGAGATTGGGTACTTCATGAAGGACTGGAAGGCCGACTATGAGCGCCATATCAGCCTCGGATTCTCCGTCGGAAATATCAAGGGATTCTCGGACCAAGAACGGACCCTCTTCATCACCCACGGCTATGGCCAAGTTCTTCCGATCAACGCCCGCGAGGTCTACGTGCGGGACGAGCAGTGCTTCAGCGTCGACTGGGTCGAATCGATGCACCGGGAACCCACTCAGTACGAGGTGGAGACCGCCAAACTGTCCGCCGGTATGGAAGGCATTTCTCACGCTTTACTCTCCGATTACCTGGACCGTCATATTGACGGTAACGGCACCTTCGAGAAATTCGTCGATGACTACTTCGAGGGCACCCCGTTCCTGACGCAGATGCTGAAGACCGCGTTCCGCTACTACTTCCGCACCAAGTTGCCCGTCATCCGGAAGGCCCTGAAGCTTATCGTCGCCTACAACCTGACGCTGCACGTGACCATGGTGGAAGGACTGGGCGAGGAGGAATCCTTCCTCGGAAAGATCCAGGAAGGCTCGTCGAAATTCAACGGCAAGACGATGGCGCCGGTGATGATCAATTTCCAGATCAAGTGTGCTATGGCCAACATGTGGCGTGAATTGCAGAAGGACGTTCTGGAGGAACTGTCGAGTCTCTACTCGAGCGTCTACAGCGGCGACAAGCTTAAGAACTGGCCCACCATCTTTATCCTGGCGTCGATTCTTCTGGCGGTCTGGGAGGAGATGCAGTTTGATTGCCACTACCGCACTCCTGTAAGTCTTCGTGTGACGACGCTCACGATTGTCAATTGCTAACATTTATCTTTTCCAGGACGCCGCTGCTGTCGACAAGTTCTGCAACGATATGGAGACTACTCCCGTCGGTGTGATTGTCGGCCTGTTCCAGGCCATTTCCCAGAAGCTGCCTGCATTCGCCGACTGGGAGACGCAAAAGCACCACCACCTGTTGCACTCGAATCCCGACGTTTGCAATGCCATGACCGAGGTCCGCCAGCATGTCACTCAATACGGTATGTATCCCCTTTTTTTTTTTTTTTGTTTTTGTTCATTAGGTTGCGGCTTACTGACAAACATCCAGAGAGCTATCTTCGGAGTCGCAACGGCTCGAAGTTCAACCGCAACGACTTTGACTGTCTATCCAACAAATTTATCTCCCGGCTTGTGATCCGTGCCAATTAAGGTGGATACAAGCGGAGAATGAGGGTTTTGCACATGTTTTCCCGCAAGCAAATGTGTTACGGCTTTGTTTTTAAAAAGATGACGGCATCTGCACGATACGAAACTATGAGATATGCCGGCATTTACGATTATGAGATTCGCATCAAGCCATTCTTAGCGACTACGATCGTTTCCACTCAACTTCTTGTCTTCTACCGTCTCGGCTTCTGTTTTTCCTTCCCTTTCATTTTGATTACTTGATTTTATTGAACCGTGTGCCAATTTTAGCCCGAAGCATCTGTCGTTTTTTTTCTTGTTTTCCTCTCCTTTCCTGTTTCCGATCCACGCTCTTTCTTTACTTCTCAGTGGTATACCTTTCTCACGCACAGTATTTACAACAACAGCGATGATGAGGATCACGAATGTCATGATAACTGTACGGTCACGAAATGTTTGGCAGCAGCAATGACGAGCGCAACTGAGTTGCCGACGCGTGCTGGAGGCTAGTTCTCGCTTCATGGTGCTGCGATTTTTTTGCATTTGTGTCCTTGATTTAAGCGTGAGTGTGTGTGATGTGAAATGCAGTTGTGGTTGTGTTGATTCAGAGTCTTTTTATTTCCTTTATTTATTTTGTCCCCTTTTTTGGTTGTTTCAATATCGGAGTGTTGGTTGGAGGAGTGAGGATGGAGGCGGGAAGGTATCAAAAGCTCCTCCGTTGTGATTTTCTGGCGTGCGAGCATGCCGTGTCCAATCGCCTCGCTTAGTCTCGCCAGTTGAGCTAGTTTGCAGGTTTTGAATATTAGTTATATATGAACTTGATCCGGTTGCGATTACACAGTAGAGTGAGTCTACGGGGATGATGATGCGAGGCGCGTCGGAGATGACGCTCGCTCGGGGGAAGTAAGGCTGCTCGCCATAGTGTCCAGTCTTAACGTAATCAGAGGACTGGTCATCGATATGATCCCATGAACTCTGAAGTCTTACGGAGTAGTTAATGTCGAGGACATCACCAAGCGACAGGCGGCTCGTCAGGTACCCCAAAGCGGGGCGCGGTGCCCGGAAGCGACGATCACCTGACCCCTCCCTAGGGCCTTAGTGCCTTAAGCCGAAGTTACTGCCTGGGGCTAGACCGCCTAGTCGCCGGTAGTCGGTGAATCGTGTCCACTTTCTCCCCCTCTTTTGGGCGATAAGCCCGCTTTCCCACGTCATGGCCCGAGGTCTCCTATGACGCATCTCCGCTGGGTCCAGACTGGAAACCTGGGGTGAGAGAGAGGAAATGCGATAGAGGATAGAAGTGTAGAAAGATAGGGAGTCAGCCAAAACCAGAAACCTTCGTTGTGTCAGCCACGTTTGTCCGTCCTCAGGCCGAACAAGGAACCTGAGGCATGGATGCTTCCGTTGGGGAATCCGGAACTGGTGGCGTCAGTGGCGGATGCGGACGGAGCGTTCTCTCTCCTTCTCGGTCTCTCTCTCAGTCACTGCCACAAGGGACTCTTCCATTTGTAAGGCAACATGAATATATTCGGATAAAATCATTAAAAATAATGCTTAAAGTAAAATTCAATCGTCAAGGTTGCCTCTTTCCCCCTCTAGGGCCATGGATGCCGCAGTCCGACCCGGAGAGGACCTCCTGAGTCATTGGCTGCATGGCCACTTCCATACCAACGGAGTAAGAAGGGATCGCCCGGTGACTGGACAGGATAACGGAGAGAAAAAAGTGAATTGGGAGAGAGAATGTGCCAGGAGGTACCAGAGCCAGAACCAGAAACCGTCTTAAGGGAGCCTTCAGTAGTCCAGGCATTTCCCTCCAATTTGACCGCCGGTCTCCTTTCATCACGTTATCGGCCTATTCCTGACTAAGGCGCTTCGCCTCCTTTGCCTCCCCTCATCTGCCCTGTTCCTGCCTACTTAAGGCTGACGTCTCTCCTCGTCCTTATCTCTTCCTTCCTTCCTCCACCTCTCACTTTAACATCCTCCGTTCACCTTTCTCGCTCGGACTTCTCTTCATCACTAATACCTTCATCTGAGCCTCATACCAAGATCTCTCATCCCACAACTCTACGTATCGACTGCGTTCGTTGCCAACATGCAGATCTTCGTGAAGACCCGTGAATTATCCCCTGTCCCTGACCCGTCTTGCCACTCTGGCTTTGACTTTTAATTAACTTTCGTCTCTCCTATAGTTACCGGCAAGACCATCACCCTTGAGGTCGAGTCGAGCGACACCATCGACAACGTCAAGTCCAAGATCCAGGACAAGGAGGGAATTCCCCCTGACCAGCAGCGTTTGATCTTTGCTGGTAAACAGTTGGAAGATGGTCGCACTCTGTCCGACTACAACATTCAAAAGGAATCCACCCTTCATCTGGTCCTGCGCCTGCGTGGTGGTATGCAGATTTGTAAGTTACCACTCTATCCCCTATCACGCTCGCCACTCAACGCTCGCCACTCAACAACAAGAATACTGACTTATTTCTTCAGTCGTCAAGACCCTCACTGGAAAGACCATCACCCTTGAGGTTGAATCCAGCGACACCATCGATAATGTCAAGTCGAAGATTCAGGACAAGGAGGGTATCCCTCCCGACCAGCAGCGTTTGATCTTCGCTGGTAAGCAGTTGGAAGATGGTCGCACTCTGTCCGACTACAACATCCAGAAGGAATCTACCCTTCACTTGGTCCTTCGTCTGCGTGGTGGTATGCAAATTTTCGTCAAGACCTTGACCGGCAAGACGATCACCTTGGAAGTTGAATCTAGCGACACCATCGACAATGTGAAGAGCAAGATCCAAGACAAGGAGGGCATTCCCCCCGACCAGCAGCGTCTCATTTTTGCTGGAAAACAGCTTGAAGATGGCCGTACCTTGTCCGATTATAACATCCAGAAAGAGTCCACTCTCCACTTGGTCCTTCGTTTGCGTGGTGGTATGCAGATATTTGTTAAGACACTCACCGGAAAGACGATCACGTTGGAGGTGGAGAGCTCGGATACGATCGACAACGTCAAGAGCAAGATCCAAGACAAGGAGGGTATCCCTCCTGACCAGCAGCGTCTGATCTTTGCGGGCAAGCAGCTCGAGGACGGGCGCACGCTCTCTGACTACAACATCCAGAAGGAGAGCACGCTGCACCTGGTTCTCCGACTTCGTGGTGGAAACTAGAATGTCTTTCGTCTTGATTCCGCATGGCGTTTGGTTTGGCTCTTTCTTACAAGCTTATTATGATATGATTGCTGGGCAATACCTTCTGTATCACCGTGAATAACGGTGCATTACATAGTTCTATCCTTTACTTTTACCTTCAACAATGATTCAATAGCTATCTCAGCTATATACAACGGCTATCATTGGCATCCTCTTTTATCAGCCCTTTCTCTGTAGTTTTGCGTAGAATCCTCGTAAATTGGCCGTTTGTTGTCCATGTCCCATCCTAATGGCGACCACCGCATCGATGAGCTGTCCCTGCATGCATCCGCATTCACCACCCGCGACAAAAAGAATGAATACTCTTGTGCAACCGTGGGACCAACCGTGAACAATTCAAGATTTCTGTAGATGCAGATGCAGATGTAACAACCAACAACCGTGCCAAAGATCCCGGGCGTTGCCACCGTCATGTCACATGACCGTTCCGACCCGAAGGCGGACTGGCGCAGGCAAACCGAGCAAACCGACGGCCATCCATCACCAGCAGTGCGGAAATGGCTCGTCTCTCTCCAACTTCACCTCTTCCTCCAGCCATGTGAGAGCATCGGTCGGGATGCCCTCCTATTTCTACCATCTCGCGATTGAACTATTTGCTCGCCCTCAGTCCGACCTCCAAGGCGCCTCTTCTCAAAGCGATCCGTCTCCAACGTCGCTATCTTTCGACTCCGCATGTGAAGCCCTTCTACCCTTCCAGAAACGGCCCCGGCACTCACCTCCCTCAAATCGGAGTCCTCGCCATCCTCTGCTTACAAGCGGAAAGCATCGATGCTCGCCTCCCGGCTCTTCTTCCAGCAGCGACGTCCTACCTCTTGACACCGCCTCTTTCCCCTCCGCACACCGTCCCACCACTACCCCTCCGCCGTCCTACACCCGATCACCCACCAGCGCATCCGAGCTCGAGCACGACCTCCGCCTCGACAAAGTCTCAATCGAGTGCATTGACATGATCCCCTCCGAGCCCAGCACCTTGAGCAGCTCCAAGCGTAGCGCCGGCCGCCGCGAGCCCAGGGACAACAACCCCGTCGCGACGGGCATCGGCACCGATATTCTCGGCGGGCTCCGTACGCGGGGCAAATACGTCCCGCTCGACCAGCAGACCTCCGACAGCGTCTGGGGCATCGTGCACCTGTACCGTGACTCTCAGGAGACACCGTACCTGACCGAGCAGGAATATCCGTCCTACCTGAAGGGCTCGGCGGCCGCGCGACAGCCCTACGATGAGTTGGGCGGGAGTAGCGCCCCGCGGCAGGATTTGCGCGGGGGAGACGGGGACCGCTCGTTAGCTCTGCACCAGCAGGATGAGGACTGCACGACGCTGTGCATCCTGGCCGTGCCGTCGTATATGTCACCGTCGGATTTCCTGGGGTTCGTGGGGGAGGCGACCATGGATGACGTTAGTCATTTTCGAATGATCCGGACGGCGCGTGCGAATCGGTATATGGTTCTGATGAAGTTTCGGAGTGGGAAGAAGGCGAGGGAGTGGCAGAGGGATTGGAATGGGAAGGTGTTCAACAGTATGGAGGTGAGTTTTGTTTAGATTCTGCTCTGTCTGTCGTCCCGATGCTAAAATGCCCTGGAATAGCCTGAAACATGTCATGTTGTTTTCGTGGATACGGTCGAGATTCAAGCGGTGGATCCGGATACGCAGACGGGCTTCTCCTCGACTCATCAAGGCGTTCTTCTATCACCTCATACCGTAACCGCCGCATCGACAAGTCAATCCAGCTCCCTACCTTCGGCAAAACTCTCCTCGCGACCTCTCGCCCCGCCGACGCCAGCTCTCATCGAACTCCCGACGTGCCCCGTCTGCTTAGAGCGCATGGATGAGACGACAGGTCTCCTCACGATCATCTGCCAACACGTCTTCCACTGCACGTGTCTTCAAAAATGGAAAGGCAGCGGCTGCCCCGTCTGTCGCTACACGCAAGACGACTTCCGCAAGAGCAGCCAAGGCATCCCACTGGACGACCAAACGTCCGAAGAATGCTGCTCCGTCTGCCACTCCGACCTCAACCTCTGGGTGTGCCTGATCTGCGGCAACGTCGGGTGCGGGCGCTACGACGGCGCACACGCCTTCGACCACTACAAGGACACCGCGCACGCCTTCGCCATGGACCTCTCGACGCAGCGCGTCTGGGACTATGTCGGCGACGCATACGTCCACCGAATCATCCAGAGCAAAACCGACGGCAAGCTCGTCGAACTGCCCGCGGCGGACAACAGCGCCCTCGACCCCCCAGACTGGACCGACGCCGTACCCCGCGAGAAGCTCGAAAACATGAGCGTCGAATACACGCACCTCCTGACGAGCCAACTCGAGAGCCAACGCGCCTACTTCGAAGAGATCGTCGAGCGCGCCGTCGACAAAGCCTCGCAGGCCACCGCCGCCGCGCAATCCGCCCACTCGACCGCCACATCGGCCACCGCGCACCTCACCAGCTTACAATCGCAATACGATGCCCTGAACACGACGACCCTATCCTCGCTAGAGCGCGATAAACTCCGCGCCGAGAAACGCGCGGAAAAATTCGAGTCGATGGCCCGGAAGATGGAGAAGGAGTGGCGCGAGGAAAAGACCGTGAACGAGAGTCTCATGGCGCGGATCGATCATCTCTCATCCGAGCTGGAGGGTCTCAAACTCGCCAACGCGGATCTAACAGAGCAGAACCACGACTTGACGTTCTTTATTAGTGGCTCCGAGCGATTGAAGGATCAGAGTGAGGATGTGGTTCAGGGGACGGTTAGTGTTCCGGAGCCGGAGCCGGAGGGGACTGGTCAGAAGAAGAAGAATAAGGGGAAGGGGAAGAGGAAATGAATGAACCTTATCAGATATAATGATGGACTGATGAATACAGCCAGTTGTTATGGTTATTCGGCCTGGCATAAGTTGCAAAAGTTACTAGTGGAACGAATGACATGATTCTCTGAATGAATGAATTGAAATAAGATCATGTATGTCTACTTGCCTATTCTTACTACTACTCCGTATTGTTATAGATATTTTTTTCCTTCATATGATGAGGTGGTAGATGGTAAAATCGAGATGATAATACAAAAGTCTATATCATACAAGTAGGTACAAAAGGTAGGTATTCATTTACAACGAGGGAGGTATGAGGGAAAATACAATTGGTATAAGGAGAACAAAAGAAAAGAAAAGACCAAAAGACAAAAGAAACAAAGGAAACGAGTCAAGGAAAAATTGAAAATGCAAGAAACAACGATGGGGGAATATAATCACACACTCTCTCAATCCACAAGACAAGATATTACATATAGACACAAGGAAATAGGAAAAAAGGAAAAGATGCAAGGGGAAAAAAGACAGACCAGAAACCAGATAGAAAGCACAATATAACCCCGAATAATCCCAAACCCCGTTCCAACCTAGCCAGAAACCTTTCCCACCTCTCTATTTATTGATGCTTTCGTCCTCGTCATAGCGCATAGTAAAAAAAAAAAAGCAGAATGGAAAATGGTGGAAAGAGAGAACAATCAAAAACACAACACACGGGGGGTAGAAAATCAGCTAGCCCGGACTCCTTCCGACGCGCTTGTAACCCATATAAGGGCAATGCTAAGATGAAAATGACAGTATGAAAACAATGTATGGCGGGAATCAGGGGCAAACAATGCTGGTGTGCTATATGTAAGATGGGGTTGAACAAAGGAAAGGTGAACAAAGGAAATAACGATTGATGGTGGTTGTTTTGAGTCGCAATTCAATTAAGCGACTTTATCTCCATAGTGCTGAGGCTCAACGGATATTATTCTCCAAATTCACCGATCGGTCCTGCCGTTCGAGGGAGACTGAGCCGATATGGTGTCCTTGACACACGCCCCTTATACCGGAGTAGTCCATGAGTGTTCGCCAAGTTTAGGCTTCATCTCATAGTTCTCGGGTTCAGTACTGGTGGGTCGCCGAATGGTCGAGTTGGGAAAGTACATGTGGGGAGGCATGGAGCTGGCATACGCCGGTCCGTTGGGCTCAGGATAACCGAAGTCGTGCGCGGAGCCAGGAGACGGGATGCTACCGTGAGAGGGCGAGGCCCAGCCCAAGTTTGACATATGAGGACTGCCGCTAACGCTGTTCGGCCGGTGGTCATTGTTGGCAGGGGGCTCCAGAGGCTGAGGGGGGGCGTAACCCGAAGGATGGGAGGTCATGGAAGGTCGAGGCAGGGGAGCACTGCTGAAGCTGGACAGAGACGGAGAGGTGGCCGTGGGAGATGCTCGGGGGCTAGCCTGCGAAAAGTCTCCGCGAACATGGGGCGGAATAGGTCCGCTGCCCATGTAGTAATCGGAGCGCGACATGTTCAAAGGAGGGAGGTCACCAGCTGGAGAGATAGGATGATGCGCCGGAGAGGGAGTCGAGTGTAACGACACCGAACCGTGCTCCGAGAACATCCCCTCGCCGACTCGCGCCCTTTCTTTATTCTGTCGGAGATTGGCTTCGGTTTCCGCCGCGGCCTCTTCGATCGTGCCTGTGTGGTGGTTTTGGTGGCGCGTCAATGTAGTGCGACGAGTGAAAGTCTTTTGGCAGTTCGCATAGGGGCACTTGTACGGTCGTTTCCCGGAGTGGATTCTGCGGTGCCTGGCCAACGAAGACGAATCGCTGAAAGGCTAATAATCACATGGCCGTTAGAATTGATTTGGATGAGCGAGAGAAAGTCACATACCTTCCCACAACGTTCACACATGTGTGGCTTCTCGCCCGTATGAACACGAGAGTGAACCGTCAGAGCAGAGCGCTGGATGAACTGCTTTCCGCAGCCCGGCCAATCGCATGCGTGAGGTCGGACGCCGGAATGGATACGCTCTGTAGTTATCGTCAGCCCAATCGAACTCATTGAACACAGAGATACAAGGGATTCTTACCGTGCCTTGCCAGGTCGCTGCGTCGAGCAAAACCCTTGCTGCAGGTCGCGCAGTGAAACGTTTTGGGAGGAGGATCCGTTCGTCCTTGGGGAGGGGCACCATTCGGGATCTGCGGACCAGTAGCGAACGGCCCGGCGCCGTAAGGATTTTGCAGAAACCCAGCACCAGGATGCGTCTGCGGGGCGTAGCGCATGTCCTGGTGAATGTTCGGCATCTGGTTCATGGCGGCATGAGGCGGGAACGAGAGGACCTGATGGTCACCCGTTTCGGTCATGCCGGGCTCTGCCTTCATTTTGGGAGAAGAGGTTTCCATATTATGATTCTGCACGAACTGCTGCTGATCAAATTGATGAGCTTCTGCGGCGACCATAGCGGCAGAACCTTTTCTGTTCAGGATCGTTGTGATGTCCATGACCCGACCCAGCGGCGAGCTGAGGGACGGCGGTCAAGGACGAATTAAAGGTTTCTTAAATATCCTTCTAATGCGAAACCGTAGGATTGCGTCTATAACAATCCTTTGGTGGATTCGAATTTTGTCCGCGAAAGAGCTCGGCTACTCGAATGGAGACGGCGATGCGATTTCAGGGCGCACGAGGGGAATCAAGAGAGCGCGACTGTTTTTATCGTGATTCGACGGAATAGCCTAGCGAAGCTTGCAAAGAGCCGTGGTCAGAATCAAGTTGTGGAAGAATTTCAAGTTTGGTGGAAAAAACATGAGAAATAAAGCTTATACAGGGGAGACACTGAGTTGGTGGGCACAACGCGAATGGAGAAACAGAGTTTGTACACGAACGCACCCTGCTTCAGTCCGCGATAAAATAAAATCTTTGTTGATTGTGACGTGGGAGAAGGTGGCCAGACTCACAAATGCCGTAATCAGGAATGTCAGCAACGCAGGTAAGGGCGAAAATGGAAGATCCCAAGCGCGAAAGTCCCCTCTTGCGACTTCAAAAAAACCACGAGGTTATTCGCGTTCACTGTTCCGCCAAATGCGTTCCTCTTCAATAATTCTTCTAGCGCCTCACGACTGATCGAGTCTCGAGGACGTGCAAGTCTTCTTCGACACAGTCCAACTCTGAATGACCGTAAGCGGAGCAAGACACTTGTCTCAAGCCTTCACCGAATACTCGTATGGAAGCGATTCGCGATTATCACGAGTTCGAATGTTTCTTGCGATTCGCGAAACCAAGCCAAATGCGACGCCGGAAATTTGTTGCCACTTTTCGCACGGAATACAGTTAGATTCGAAAACGGATGGATGGCCGTCTCACAGCGAGCGTTGGGTGGTTTGGATTCCTGGGCGCTACCAGAGACCAGTATATTCGAAGGAAATATAAGAGGCGCGGGCGTGGACGGAGGGAAACGGGGAAGAATGCGAAAAGTAAAGAATTTCACGAGCGGGAGCAGATCAGATGGACCTATGGGGCGAACACCGCAATGTCAGCAAATTGCGCCGAAGCAAAGAAAAAGCAAGCAGCGTCTGTAATAAAAAGGCGAGACCCTCTCCAGTCTACCGAGAGTGTTTCCACAACCCTCACTGGGACTTCTGTTCAAGGCCATGAATCCCGCGCGGATGCGACGAAGAAGCGGAAATAAGATCGCCGATACACCTTGCCCCGGAGAAATATGACGAATGCCAGACACCTTTTCTCGCCGAATCGAGCAAGGTAATACCACCGAGCGACCACACGGGATCCGGAGGGAGCAGAAAAAAAGAGGAAAGGAAACGCAGAGTCGCACTGCGTCATCGGGACGAGGCATGAGGGGAGCTAAGAGGGGGAAGATGCAGAATACCTACCGAAAACCACGCAGCATGAAATCACACGCGAAGATGAAGATGGCTTCACTCGAGGGACAATAGAGTGGAGGGGAAAGCTGTGCGCCAACGCAGGTTAGCCCCGAGTAAAGTGGTTGGGTTAGAGTTGGGAATATGGAGGCGGAGGAAGCCAAACAGAACGAACTAGCGGAAGGGGGGTAAAAGGGAGGGGAAGCAGTAGGGAAAAAGAAACACACATACCTTTTGATAGGTGATAAAGAGAAGGGAAAGAGGCGAACCGAGGGGGAAAAGGGAAGTTCAAAAAGGAAAAAGAAAAAGGGAAATCAAATCAAATAAAATAAAATCAGATCGAAGAATCCCGGAAAGGAAGGGGAGAGACCTGACAATTCAGGCGACGACGCGATATCCAGACGGACGAAACAGGGAATGTTCGGGAAGAAAAGGCGGCCTGCGATTTTCTTATATTCCGCTAGGAAATAAAATAGAATTAATTCTTTAGGAGGGAATTACAACTATAATAATAATTATTATTATTTATTTATATTTTATTATTAGACAGCTTTTCGCACGTTTCCACTTGGTGGCGCCAAAGCCTGAAGCTGGCGGCACCAGAAGGTCACCGTCAGCGCACTCGGCTCCACAACGTGCTTTTCCCCGTCTCTTTGGCCGTGCGAGACGCCGGTGGATCCTTCCCTCTGCGTTGCCGATCTGAATTATTCGATTATTATTATTATTATTATAATTATTATTATTATTATTCCTCCTCCTCCGTGTTGTCGGCATCGTCATCATTATTATTTTCGGACGGAAGATGGCTAAGCCTAATGAGAGCCTGAACTCGACCGGCGCCAATCCAGTCCTTGGATCCCAGCTTCAGGGACCGTGATGAACGCATCGTCAGACCTTCGCCCCCCCTGAGAAGCTTACCTCCCCTACCCCAGATCATTTGATCCAGGGGATCGTTCTATCGACCTGGACCACCGACTGACCCGACTCCGACGCTGTCTGACACCGACCTTGACCCTTGGAACCCCCCTCCTCAAGAAAGAGGAACCCGAAGAAAAATGCGACATGACAGGATAACCATTGGAGATTCCAAAGAGTCCCCAGCTGCATAGACTCCCTGGGCATGCATGCAGTCTGGGAATCGTGCGACATGCACCCGTCGAGGTGTCCAGGAGGCCGTGACAATCCCTTTTACGGGAGAAATAACCCGCTCTCATTTGTTGACCTCCTGGCTCGAAACTTAGGGCGGCTGGTTCATTACGAAGTACGATTGTTTTATTATTCTTGTCTTACGAAAAAGAAAAGGGAAAAAAGGGCAATCTAAAACCAGTCAACCTGGCCCCGGTCGAATCGGTCGTTCGACGGAGGATTAGGACTTAAACCCCTTTTGACCAAGGGCCCTCCGATTAGCGAAGAACAAACGGTGGAAGCTAATTTCCTTCTAGAAAGTTTCGAAGAATGGATCCTGCGTCGACTAACGAGGAGTATACTCCGGAGGTATGGGCCTCCGGCCTTCGCTTCCATCTCCCTGCTTGCCCCGATGCTCCTTCCGATTCAATACAATTGCGTTCAGCTTATTATTATTTGATGTCCATGCCACCTTGTTCCTCTTGTTCCATCACCCAAAACACCCTGCATGTCACGTTAGACGACATGCTGACTTGAAGCAGCGAACCAGTCAATACGGAACAGAATGCACCGTGGAGCCGCCCTTTGACCGGACTAAAAGTGTCTAGTGGCAGCTAGTTTGACGTTGTCCCCACTTTCTTTCTTGCTTTTTTTTTTCTTTTCTCTCCCTTTAGGCACCACCAGGGAATCATGGCTTTTTTTTATTTCTCCTTTTCTTTTCCGTTTTATTATTTCCCTCAAGAGGGGTCCTTTTTCCACTTTGTCCCCCCCTCCATCCTCCCCACTGCCACACGCTAACGGACTCCTACATCCTTAGCATCCTTAGTTACGTCGACCTGCCAAGCCAGTCCGGTCTTCCGAAGAGCTTCTAGAAAAAGTTCGGAAGGTCGATGGAATCATGGAAGCCTTCTAAAGCGTCCCAATTCCATGTGCCGCAGCCGCTGCGTCACCCGGACTTGGACTTGGACCATCTGGGGTGGGGATTTGTAGATTATTAGATACGTACTACTGCGAACGGTATGGGTGTACTCAGTAAGTGCGACCCTTTCTTTTTATTTCTTATTTTCTTTTCCTTCTTAACGAGTGATAGCGGCCAGGATCTGGTTTTTTTTTAATTGCCCTCCTCCACACGGGTGAGAGGGAATTATTTTATCTCGTCCATTCTCTCTCCGGTATCCATCTCCCCCGGGATGTCTCTGTGCGTTCGGGAAAACGTCTGATCATCGTGCATACAGAAAGGAAACCCGAAAGAAGGAAAGAAAACTCAAAAGCGATATGCAGTGATGCACATCAATTTCATCACCATGAAATCAACCCGCGCGACCGATAATTATCATTCGCTGTAGAAGTCCGTGTAGGTAGTGTATCAGCAAATAAGGCGCCCCACGTCTCTCCGTGCTAACGTCGGTCACTAACTGCGTCCTCGACCATTTCAGGGGAGGGGGTTAAGGAGAACAACCAAAAAAAAAAAAAAAAGGGAACCAACGTAAGAGCTAACCACCGTCAACCTATCAGCCTAATCGACAGGGATATTATGACGTCTGCACGGTACCTGAGCCCTGAGGACTTGCTGCAAATTAGGCAAGGTAATCTGCAGGCACGGAAAAGCGTACGCCATTCAGAGCCCCTACCAAGGTGGTAGGTGTCTGCCAGTGCCAGCGAACCGCCTCGCACGGGAAACGTACTCGACGCAGTATGGAGTGATCCGAGGACTCCGTACTTCTACCTAGTCTTCTACGGAGTAGTCCCCTAGTCTCCTAGAAAGGAGAGAAATGGCAGATCCAATAAGCCCGACTCCATTGGCCGTAACGGACCACGCCTGGCGCGTTTGGGAGGGTTTCAAGTAGCCTGATGCAGAATAGGAGAGAGACATCCAACCCCGACCCACTTCTTTTTTGCTTCTGGAAGAGGCCAGAGGGCCAAGAGGGGTCTGTGGATAATGGATGATGGATATCGTACGGAGTTCCTTAGGAGGAGTTAGTTAGGTAGGTGAGGCTGGTTAGTTAGTGAGTTAGTTGATTAGTGGTGGTCTGGTCTTTCGCCTTGTTCACTACCTAACTCCTAAGGATGCGTTCGGCTTGTTGGGGGATTTTCTGGTTCGTTCGCAATCTGGTCTTTCCCTTTTTCCTTTATTTTTCGGCCATTTCTTTATTTTATCGAGGCTTCGTCTCGAGGATATACTTGTATATCATTCGTTGATCCGACTACCTTTTACCTCATCGAGTAAACAAACAAACACCAGACCCAGCAACGCCTCCGAACCCGACCGCACCTGTACTACCTATACTCACCGCCTTCTTAAGCCATTCCTCGTCTTTCAAATTGCAATCTACACCATGTAGAAGTAAATTACTTAATATCCGCGACGCAACAAAGAGCGAAATTAGAAATTGCACTGATTAGCTATAGTGTTCTAGAAAAAGCGCGAGAGCAAGAAGGGGAGAGAAAAGACTCAGCTGACTGATCGGCCCCGTCTAGTCTACCTTAGTCTGGTCTAGTCAGGGCAGAGCACGTCGCGCTGTGCCGCCCTGACCGCAATTTTTTTAATTATTATGGAGATGCGGATGCTGCATCTGATGGCTCTGCTCTCAGCCTCTCTTACGGGCTCCTGCATGATGACTGGCACTGCATATGTCATCGTGGCTTCGTTTGTGGCTTGTGTGTTTTTGACTTTTTTTTCTTTGTCTTGTAACTTAGTTATGTAGATCTAGATTTCGAGATCTGAGTACTTACTATTCACAAATCAAATTAAAGGGTCTTGAGGGCACTTTTTTGAGACAAGAGAATCAAGTCACTTCGCATATCACCTCCCCCCTAACTCATAATAACTGGTGATAGATGTGCTATTTTCGAGTCTGTCTCCCTCTCTGTTTGTTTTGTGCTATGAATAGGTATAATTGATCCTGCCGATCAAGGCACGAGTGAAATTATGATGATTTGCATCGGTACTTCCATAAGCTAGGCGTTTAGTTCATCTGATTCTATTTCCGTAGTACGGAGTATATCCTGTACATAGCAAAAATTATCTAGTATCTACTTCGGAGTAAGTAGTAGGGACTAGTTAGGGAGCCGAGTAGTCTGTCAAGTGTTCGTAAGCCATACTCCGTAAACGACTAAAAATAAAGAAAGAAATGCCGTTATGACGATTCGCGATTGACGATTGTCGATTCTCTCCTTAGCAGTTACTAGTAGTAGAATCTCGAAGATCGTGCAATTTCGCTTCCTACTCCCGCTCCCGTGCAAGCAAGTAGGTAGGTAAGTTGGTAAGTGGGCCTCGTCAGTCGTCAGTCGTCAGTCGTCACTCGTCAATCGTCAGTCGTCACTCGTCAATCGTCAGTCGTCACTCGTCAATCGTCACAAACTCCGCTTCTAGCCTTCTTCTGTACGGAGGATCAATGATCGCTTTTTTTCGTCTCGCGACTCTCCCGGATCCGCAGGGAGCTGGGGAGCTGGCAGGGTCTACGTGACGATTGCCGAGTCATGGGCATGCGCATCGATCTGCCCTCGCGCGCGGGACTCAGTTTCCCTGGTCCGGTGCCTGGGGAGTCGAGGACGGAGGAACGGACGGAGTAGGGTAAGGATGATCCAGCCCGCTTTTTTTTTGTCGGACCTATGACTTCATGGACCGTTGGGAAACGAGTCAGAAAAAACCCAAAAAAAAAGGGAAAGAAAAAGAAAAAGAAAAGAAAGGCAAGTTGATAGCTGCCGTTAACTAATTAGCGGTAGGGCGTTTCCGGAAGAAAGGAAAATAAAATGAAGCAAAACCAAAGAAAGGCAAAAAAAAAAAAAAAAAAAAAAAGCTCAGACGGGACCCTTGGCAGGCATTGGGCATCAGTTTGGGAGCAGGTCAGGTTCCAAAGTTCGGGGTTGGACGGATCTGGAAGGGAACAAAGAACATGGGCAGGAACGAGATGAACGGTTCGTATTGGGGTCTTCGAGTGCGTTTTGTGCCTGTGCCGGGGCCCCAGTTATGTGGCTGGTGAGCGCGAGATTGAGTTGGCTTTCTAGATTCTAGCGGTGCTTCCTGTCCATGATTGGTGAAGATGTCTTCAGAGGGATCAGAATACGTAAATCATAGAAATTAAAACGATCTGTGCCTAATTGCCGGTGCAGAATTGCCAACCCAGGAATCCGTTCCAATCCCATCCACGTTCTAGAAGCCTCTCGCCAGGATGCTGGAGTGAGGCTGCCATTGTCAACGAGGGACCAGACAATCGTCCCGCGCCCGAGCGAGTCACGAGAGCGGAAATGAAGCAGGGTCGGCATGGTCAAAGGCAAAGTAAATGAGAGGTATTCCGTAGAGAAACAAGGTTGAGCCGGTGAACTGCAGCAGGTGGCCGCGCTAATCCCCTTGAAGGAGGTCGATAATCCCTCCAAAGTCAATGTTCTCTTCCTCTTCATCCTTCATCATGGCCCTCCTGTGGAACCCACTCCGGTCGGTCTGTCCAACCCAACCCAACTTCATTCATGTCGAAACAAACAAGAAGAAAAAGGGAGAGACAGTCCTCAACGAAGAAAAAAAGGGTGACCCTTAACCAACGGGGCACATCATCCTCATCTCATCATTAAAGGGGGAATAGGAAACCCAACCGCGAAGAGTTTAAAAAAGAAAACACGAAAAAAGAAAAAAGGGGACGCAATTGATCCATCCAATTCATCTATCTATAGTACCCTAACTTTACTTACCTTGGTAGTCAGGCAAATCCTGCCCATCCTCCACCGGCCGACCGACAAAACCGACCGACAACCGGCCGGCCGATGGACCAAATGATTAAGAAAAGCAACAACTAAGTTAGTCATGGACATGGCACGTTAGGATTACACGGCAGGCGTCGACATCCATCAGGACGCGGCCTGGATTAACGGAGTTGCGCGGGCAAGTCTTGAGTGGATAATGGATCTCCTCGCACCCCTCGCACAGCATAACTAGCGCATGGCTTTATTCATCATACCCTCTTGTCTCCTCTCCTCCCCTCTCTCCTCTTGTCATCCCCCCGTCTGATTCCAAGCGATCGTCCATCCCACAAATGATCTTCGTCCGGCAGGTTGAATCCCGACACTATGCAGACGCGGCTCGAGTAGCACAAATCCCGACTGGCGGACTCCACCTGGAAGGGAATAGACCCGCAGGGAGGAGGGGGGGGGATGGAAAGATTCTGGAAGACACGTAGAACTTCTTGGATGTGGATATCGGAGTTAGTGCCCTTGGGTGCATCCTGCATAGTGCGCCATACGGAGTACCAGGGGGAAGCCGAAGAAGGGAACCCGGATGACTCGACAGGCATGGCCAGAACCTTTTCGGTCAAGGGGAGTTCGTTCCACTTGCTTTCCAGAACACTTCCAGGGTGAGTGGGGATACTTCTGGTTCGCTTGGTTCCGGCGGATTTCCGTGGATGTGTGCTTCCCCCTCTTTCGAGACGTTCCGTGGTTATATGGTGGGATCATGTGGTAGGATTGGACAGACGTTATTAATATTAATTGGGGGAGATGAAAGTGGTGCTGCTTAATATCCGGGATATTATTCTTACCAGTCATCTCCTCATATCCTGACTAAGTGATCGGGGGAACGTCGCTGTAAGTTAGCTGGTTTTACCTCGGCGGGTGGTGAGCTCGCGTGTTCGTTGCGACCATTCTATCGGGACTGCCCTCGTAGATTTCTGGTTTCCGGTATACTGGCTGAGCTACGAGTCAGAATGCATCATTCTTCGCTTCGTCGCTTCAATCAGTGGATCTATATGGTGCCGTACATACACCGAGTATATCGCTTGGCTCGGTAGGAGTTCTCTACCATGCGTCTTACGCAGCACATATCGCCGAGGTTCAACGCCCTTCTGCTGGTGCACAATCCAGCAACATCACCGATTGGGTATCCAAGAAGCCATTCTCATCATCTTCAATGCCGCCAAGACGTCACTGCAGCCTTTTTCTCTCGTTTAGGACAAACCCTTCCCATTCCGTGTGTTCCGGGATAAGCAAGGGCCGCAGAGCACAGATAGGTCACGTCCTGACAGCCATGAGATGTATCATATCAGGTTCGATGCACTCAATCTATTGCCCTCCATATTGACATGTATGATATGATGAAGTCATCGGTCTCGCCTGCAGGTGTCAATCAAGGATTCGAAACTGCCCAACCACTCTTTTTGTCGCGTGGCTTGAAACTCCAGATTGATACATATTTTCGCAAGTACATACATGACAGAGGTGCGCCACTTTTGCTGGATGTAAGGGATCCGGTGGGTAAAGTCAGTTAAGGTGTTTTCGCTCTGCGCTCTAGGGTCAGATGGCATCTGTGGCGGGGAGACAATGTGTCTGTAATGCCATATTCTCATGTGGACGTACAGCCACATCAGCGCGCACCGGGTGCTCTGGAATATCCCAAGTGATTCATCAACGATGTCCGCCTTGATAGATACCGCAGTGGCGAGAAATAGAAGGCCGCTGCTGTCGAGTTCTCAGGCGGATCAGGAGTGCCTTATGTGACTGGTGAAAACATCTATCAGTAGGGGTGTAACCAGAATCCATCGTGTAATATCTCTGGTTTGCTCTCGTCGTAAAGAAACCGCTTTCTAGTTGTGCATTTTGGTAGTTGTACTCGATTGTGTGTGCTGATGCTACCCGGTTGGCTTTTTTTATGTAGTTCCAAAAACGAACCAGTTGGGCCAATAGAGACTTGGAATTCTGAGAACCGATCGTCAAGCAAAACTACCAACTGTCAATAAATATATTTGATACTTTCATCCTCATTTCGATGATTCCAATGAATCGAAACGCAACGACGTCGATTGACATACTCTGTAGTAACCAAGGACATGACATCTCGGCTTAGAGCTAGACTGCATCAACCGTTCTAGTCCGCTATTGGACGAACCATCTGGGCAAATCCATTACGATAAGTACATTCTTTTAGTCAAATTAACAGATACTGGCTTTAGATTGAATATACCCATATTCCTTGGCGATTGTAAATGCAAAGATGGAGTCGGCATTCAGGATGGGTGTCACGTGCCCGAACCGTGAAATCATCGCATCGCATCCAATTCACAAGCATCACCATCTCCAACCGCAATTGGAGCTACGTCGCCCACCTTCCTCTCAACCAGCACCCGAGACGGGAGAGTGTACAGAGAGGATATATGCCAGTGAGTATCACCCAGACTGTCAACCCCTACACCAGCCAATGCCAGTTATCACTCTCGGAATCCCTTTGACATCTTATCTGATATTTTTTTCTCTTAGATATCACAAACATAAAACAGAGTCAAGCATCACCACATCCAACGGAAATCCAGCAGAGCAAATACAAGCTCACCCAGTCAACCATGGCCCTCCGACCAGCTCTCACCAAACGCCTCCCCTCCCTCTCAACCTCCCTCTCCCTCCGCACGCACTCCACCTCCTCCGTCTCCGCAAATGAAGTCACCCATTTCTCCGCCCTCGCCAGCAGCTGGTGGGATCCTATGGGATCCTCGCGCGTGCTGCACCTCATGAACCCTCTCCGTCACGACTTCATCGCATCCTGTCTCGCCGATGGCTTGCCCGCTCCTTCTTCATCTCCCTCGTCTTCCTCGAACAACCTCCGCTATCTGGACGTCGGCTGCGGAGGCGGCATCTTCGCGGAATCACTGGCACGAACCATCCCCTCCTCCTCTCCCTCACAGACCCAATCAACCTCCTCAGCAACACCAACCCGCGCCGCCAGCATCACCGCCATCGACCCAACGCCTCAACTCATCCAGATCGCGCGCGACCACGCCCGCAGAGACCCGAAAGTCGCCGCGCACCTATCCTCCGGCAAATTCCAATACCGGAACTGTACCCTGGAGGATCTTGTCCGCGCCCAGCAGGACCAAACCTCCTCCCCTCCATCCACCGACCAAACAATCGCCACCACCCCGCAACCGCAACCGCAGAACCAATTCGACATCGTCACCCTCTTCGAAGTCCTCGAACACATCGACACGAACGCCACCTCCTCCCCGCTACGCTTCCTCACCGACTGTCTCCGTCTCCTGCGCCCAGGTGGCTGGCTCATCGGCTCGACCATCTCGCGCTCCCTGCCCGCCTTCTTCGTCAACCAGGTGATTGCGGAAGCGCCGTGGCCGATCGGCGTCGTGCCGCGCGGAACGCACGACTGGGCGAAGTTTGTGAATCCGGATGAGTTGAGGGGATGGGCGAAGGAGGGGTTGGCCTCCTCTACTTCTACCTCTGGGTCTGGGTCTGCGAGCATGCAGTGGAAATGTTCCGGGGTGATGTATTTCCCCGGGATCGGATGGAAGTTTGTGTCTGGTTCTGAGAACTGGGGGAATTATTTCTGGGCTGTGAGGAAGGGGGTGTAGATTCTCTTCGTCTTGTTTTTGGATTTAGGGATTTGAATCCTTATGTGAAGAGGAAAGGGCATTTATTGTTTTGTTGATTGATATAGTTAGGGAGTTTATTATGTATGTATATATAACTGACTGTAGAATAGGTAGTATAGAATAGGAAGTGTTAGAATACACATTTCAAGAGTAGATAGAACGAGCACGGCGATCTTGAGTAGCTACCTATGTATTAGTATATGTATCTGGCTGTGTGTATATATACAGTACAACGCTTCCATCCCAAGGGGGCAAAAACTCCTGTAAAGAAAGATAGCAAGACGAACACGATGCAAGACCCGTCCAGACGAATTAAAAAAAGGAGCGCAGAGAACAGAGAAAAGAAATAGAGACATCCCAAGCCAGCAAAGACACGGACGAACAGAAACAAGAAAACAAGAGAAAAAGGGGGAAGATAAGTGATAGACACAAATATTCAAGGAGAGGAAGATAAATCAAATACCCGTAAGATTCATTCCCGCTCCCGCCGCTACGGCATCAGAGCCAGGGAATGGAGGACACGAGCAGGAAGGCAACGGAGTGAGGGCAGAGGGAGAAGATCGGGAGAAGAGATACGCGGCGAGAGTGCCGGCGGTGGCATTCTTTTCGGTGGAGAGAAGTCCGAAGCGTAAGAAGACTTCGGAGGTGGTGACGAGGATGGAGATAATGATGAGAATGATGATGATCCATGTTTGGTCTGGATTCGCAAATGTTAGTTCATTTATATGTGGATGGGTAGAAGTGGTTTGGAAAGCTTACGAGAGGTTTTGTTGTCGGCGATGGAATCGGAGAGGATTTCTGCGAGGTCGAGGAAGACTCGACATCGCTCGTTGAGCACTTGAATGCGGGGTTTGATCTCGAGGTATTCGCGAACGGCGATATAGAGAGGATACAGTGTTGGCTCGCTCTCCCAGAAGAAATTGGGGACGTCGAGCATGTTGGAGGCTTAAGTCGATCTAGATTAGCTATGGACTGAGGGCAAGACTGAACGACCGAGAACTTACAAAGATTGACCTCGACCCGACTCTTAAAAAGCCTTCCCAAGATCCTGAAGACCTCCTCTCGCTTCATGCCCAGTTGGCCAGTCATGGCCAGTCGGCGCGGAATGTCCTTGGCCTCCGCCATCTGGCGAGCCATGACTTCTTCAAAGAAGCAGAGCTTGGTGCTCTGGGCGATACCGTGACTGATGGCTAACTTAATCATGTGGTCGCCACTTCGCAGTGTGATCATGTCGTTGTACACGCGCGGACGAGAGATTTCGGTTGAATATTCAAAATGGAACTCTTCCGTTTCAAAGTCTTCTTCCAGCAAAGGCATTGTGGCCAGCGCGATTGGAGTGCCGGTAGCGGATGACGACGCGAAAGCCAGGTCAGCCAGAAGGTCTTTCTCCTGTCTCTCGGTAAAGTTCCAAAAGACAACCACCCCGTAGCTGAACACAAACATCTCCGCCACGTTGTAGGGCAGACTTGCCGGTGTGGGAAGACCAGGATGTAGCTCGTGGCCGTCGGCACGTTCGTGAAGTGTGGCGTTGACATTGTGGGATTCGGCCCCCGGATCCATGTGAGAATCTCCATGCTCTACATCATGATGCATCAGCCCCTCCTCTTGCCGGTTCTCGCCCTCGAGGTGTCGTGGCGAGCCATGCTCTGCACGGCCGATGACCGAATGCTCCTCCGCTTCGACCATGTAGTCATGGTGGTCGCGCAGTTCATTTCGCTCAATCTCCTCGTCGAGGAACGATTTCCCACCGGGCCGTTTGACCATCGGGCTACTTCTCAGTCTGTAGCCTTCGATTCCCTGCAGCAATGGAAGATGGTATGCCGTGTACAGACAGTCGTCGTAAAGCTTCGTCCGCCCACCGTGTTTGTCCTTCACAAAAGATGCCAGCGAGCTCATCTTGTAAGCCTGTGCCGTGCAGTAGGCAGTCACACGAGACAGCTTCTCAGCGCGCCGCGCCTTGGGCAACCGTTCCGCATAGCTTTTCGCCTTCTCCGGTGCCACCTTTCGTCGCCGCAGCAATTCCTCCTCCGCCAGTAGGGGTGCAATATCATTGTCTTCGCCAAAATCTCCGCCCAGTCTCTTCTGCACTAGTAGCCGCTGTCTTATTGACTCCGGGTCGACGTTTTTCTCACTCGCCAATCTCTGCACAAGTTCCTCGTCCACCGCCTCTTCCTCGTCTTCATCTTCGTCTGGCGATCTTTCATCGACCCCTTCCGCCTCCGGCAACAGAACCAGCTTCTCGCTAACTTTGGTTGTCCGAGGCGGGAGACGCGGCTGGGCCGCAAGACGCCCTATGGAGGCTGCAGAGCCTGAGGCGCTGGCGCTGCTGCCGGACGGATTCACGCTGCCCCCAGCGCCAATTAAGCCACCCGTTGCGGAGGCCAGACGAGATCTCGGGCGCACACGTGCAGTCTGGGCTGGATGACGCTGCTGCATGGAGGGCACGTCAGAGGTATACTGAAGGACGTTGTCGACTGTGATGAATCGGGTAGAGGGAGAACGACGGCGTCGGGGTTGAGCGGACGATATTTGATCGCGCGAGTCGGTTACCTAAGGCCCGATTAAAAGTCACCGTGTGATTAGAAAAGGTCCTAGAACAGATTGACATGTGGCAGGAACGAGGGATACTTACCAGAACGTGAGGGCTTCTTTGGCCGGGGGCCCGTCCTCTTGCGGGGGCCATGATAGATAAACCGTAGTAAAAGTTCGCGAAATAATTCAACCCCTCTCAGGATGGAAGAAAAGACCCGAGAGTAAACAAGGAAGACCCGTCTTCCAGAGTGATACCAGGGCTGAAAGAAGAAAAGAAGAAACGTCTTACAGACGCAATCAAAATCCCCGGTCGGTCGGTCGCTTGAGAATTGCGAGAACGCTCACACCCGCAAAGATTGTAGCACAGGCTGTCTCAATCAATCCGCCATACTTTCAACAATTCGAAGAGTTCATGAAGTTCTAGGCCGCGTCGCAGACAAAACGAGTCTTGTCACGCCTGAGGGGAAGACGTTGGAGAATGGACGGAGGAGCTTAATCGATTGCCAGCAAGCTCCTCACCGCCTAGGACTAGACGGCGCTAGTCCCGAAATGTGATGCAGAATGACGTCGACTGGACAGCCGCTTTTCCGTCACGGGCAATACGGTACGTATAGGCAGGATACGGTATTGAAACGCCGACCCATGTCTCCGGCGAGCCACGTGCGGCACGGGCTGAGTGGGGGCTAGAACCAGTCGGGTCTAGCCTGTTTATTGATCCATCCCAAGGTTGATCCGGGGTAAGTCAATCACTCGCTCGGAAAGCTTCGAATCCGGTCGTCATCCCAGCGTGAGGCGCTGAGACACGGCGGTGGTAGTTTGAGTACGAGACAAGAAAATGTATGCCTCTGAGTCACAGGGCGGTGGAGTTGATCCTTATTTGTCATTGCCGATTCGAGGTTCGCCATACATGAAGCTACCTTCGGAGGCAAAGACAGCTACGGGGTACTTCGGTGTACTTCTGATTACGAAAAAGAAAGAAACAAAAAATTACCGGTGTACGAAGCCTAAAGGATTGACAGTTGTCCAGCGTCAAATCCCCCTTGCATGTCAATCTTCCTTGCGTGATGGTGACAGATCTCTAAATTTTGATTGATTGGATTACATGCACATGTTTGGGCTAGTACAACAGTGACAAGAGATGCAAATATGTAAATGATCAGACAAAGGAAAAACATCAATATGTAATCAAGGAAAAACATATCCATCAAAAAACTCCTCGAAGCGTGTGGGAGATATATGTGGGCTTCGTCATGCTAAATTGTGCAATGAAATGAGAATATAATGCAAATCGGTCCCGTGGATCCCCGAAGCTGTCCAAAACCATAATATTGGACGAGCAGTAAAAACACGATTATAGTCGGTCTCGCAGACGTCGGTCTTCGTCCCAGATTTCTTTCTTCATGCGTTGTAACTTGGCGTGCTGCCTTTGCAAACGTTCCAAGTCCGCCCGCGGAGGGTCCGGATGGGTCGCCATGGAATCATGCAGCGTGCGATATTTGGCATAGTTCTGCTTGAACAACTGCGATTTCTCCCGCAGCTGCTGGAGAAGAATTTCCCGACTGAGGGGAGGCGACGCGCTGCCAGTACTGCCGCTCGACGTGCTCACGGCCCGTCGACGCTTGTGTTCCAAGTCTCCCGTGGTCCGTCCCGCCGCGAGAGGTCGAGTCATCGCCGGTCGCTCCAATTCCGCCTTCCGCTTCAACGGGTTGACCGCCGGAGTCGACTTCGCAATTCCATTGGTCTTAACCGGCTTCGCAGGGGTGGGCAGAGTCTTGGTGACTTTGTTTGTCTTGGCGATCTGCGTGATCAGCGGGGAGGAGGACGAAGAGCTGGAGGTGTTATTTTGACTGGACGAACGACTGCGGTTTTGCAGCTCGGAGGCATTGGTCGGCGGCGAAGAGCCAAGCGGAGACGGCTTCTGGGGAGACTTTTGGCCCGGAGCCCGAGCAGATGGCAGTCGCTTCGACGAAACAGATTTGTTAGAGGTTTGCGAGGCAGGCTCCGACTTGGGCGGTGGAACCTCGGGGGCATCCACCTTGGGTGTCGGAGCATGAGAAGATTCTCGAGGGGCGGCCTCGGTCGGCTTGCTCGCGGGCTTGGGTTTGGGCTTGGTCTTCTCAAGCCTAGGCTTTTCTGCCGGTGGCGCCTCTGGCATGTCCGTATCATCGTCATCCGAATCATTGACATATTCCGCTGATTTGAATTTGCCGTCTGTTTTCATCGTCACCGGCTTCTTTTCTGCCTTTTTGGTGATGCGACCAGTCAAGGTGCTGTTGGCCGCGGTCTTGCTCTTGGCGGCAGGCTTTTTGGCGGTTTCTTTCTCGACAGCTTTCTTCTTCTGTGTCCCTGCAACGGGCTTGGGGGCAGATGTGGGCTCCACGTTTTTGGCGGTAGAGCCACTTCCGCCGGTTCGGTCGGTATCCGGGCCAGTGGTGTAACCCTCTTTGCCAGCATCATCGGCGCTTTGTACCTGAATCTTAGGAGTTTCCGGCTTCTTCTTCGGACCCGTCTGCAAGTTCAGCCGCGAGAGACATTTGCCTTGACCCCGTTCTTCCTTGGGGAGAAGCATCTGCCAGAGCTTGTCGGTGCGAGAGATTCGCAACCGATCAAATGCCGAGATCGCATTCTCAATGGCCTCCTGGCGATCTTCCTGAGACGGGTACGGGAACTTCCACACATCGAGTTCTTTATATGTTCGATCCTTGAGGTCAAACTTCTCCGGGTTGATCCGATTCTTGACGCCGTATTGTTGGGCGAGGGCGGCGCAGTCTTCCAGAGACGCGCGGGTCTGACGAGCGAGGAATTTGGTGGAAACGGCACGGACGGCGAGGAGGTGAACGAAGGGAGTCTTGAGGGCTTCGAGGCGAATGCGATCCCGACTTTGCGAAAGCGGCGCGGAGGTAGGTGTAAGGGGAGGGATCGAGGCGGGAGAACGAGCAACGCCTAGGGCCGGGCTGGAGGAGACGGAGCGATTGGGAGCATTGTTTTTCAGCAACCGGTCTTTCTCCAATTCCGCTTTGCCCGAGGATCGGCCGGCCAAGAGGGCACCCTGGCGTCCGCTGGTGGACCGACCGTCACCTGCTCGCAAAGCTCGAACGTCACCGAGGCTTGAAATCATATGAGTCTTCTTGGATTCCTTTCCTCTTTCGAAGGCGTTCAAGCTCTGCTCGAGGTTGGCCAAGGCCTGGTCGGTGGCCGCGGTCGCCTCCTTGGCCTTTTCCACCTCCAAGCTGTGGCTCAGAAGACCCGTGAAATATAGGTTCTCTTTGTCAGCGGAGCTGCCGCGGTAGATCTCGGAGGGAAGCGATTCGGGGAAAGAGTGGAAGGGCTGGGATTTGGAGCCGTAGTAGAGAGCCGCATGTTTCCCTAGACGAACTCGAGCGGACTGGTCGTTTCGTAAACTTTGTATTATGTCGTCGAGGGTGTTCTGGGCCAGATTCAACCGCATGATCTGGGGGGGCTTCGCGGCAGGGTTGTCTCTGCAGAGAGACAACCCGGCCTCGGGAATGTCCAGTGCCGGCATGAGTACGAGTAGAGGCGGAGGGAGGGAGGTGGTAAACAGCGAGAGCGAAGGTTGTACTGTGTGTCCGATCTTCGGAGGGTAACGAGGAATTGGAGGGAATGAATTGTCTTGGGAGATCCGGAACAAGGACGGCAAGCAGCGTTGAAGCTGCGGGTCAGTGGCCGAATACACGGAAGGACGGGTTGAAACCCCGTTCCATATGATCAAACAATGGAGAACAGAGGAGAGGTAAAGAGGGAGTTTGCATAAGGGAGAGCAAACGGAATTCGAGAGGCACCCAAACCCATGGCAGTAGGGTCAGGTTTGGGGGGAGAGAGCCTGAATGAGTAAGAAATAGTTGGTACTCGGAAAGAGAGGAGGGTGAGTAGGGTGATAGAGGGGGGGAGAAAAGGAAAGAGGGAAGAGGGTTGGTAAGGAGAGGTAAGGAAAAGAGAGAGAGAGAGAAGGAAAGAGAAAGGATGAGTGAGATGATGCCAAAAGAGAGCCGGACGAGAGTGTAAGGCGGCCTTGGAGCGGAGAGCGAGGACGGCGAAGGACGTGAGTGGGGAGCGAAGCAGCGGTATGGTATCGTTCAGGGTACCTTTTTCTGGGTCCCAAGGAGAAAACAGCGTTGTCAGGCCCGCTAGAGGTTCAAGCTAAGAATAATAATCACCAGAAATGATTAATTAACCCAAAGGCTAAAAAAAAAAAAAAAAAAAAAAAAAAAAAATTAAGCTGTAACTGGTAATACTGGAATAAACTGATGCCTCGCCTGGAATTAATTTATTCTTCCCACTTACTGGTAGCCTCCGGTTGTTACCGTCCACTACACTACAGGCACCATCTGCTCCATCAGAAGCCAGAATTGAGAATCCAGAAATAAGCGTAACAATACTATGTAATCAGAGGATCTCGCGCGAGTCGACTGACTCGGGCGTTATTTATGCCTGGCGAGCCCGACGGCGACTTGAATAGAAGAATGGACAATGGACTTTGATGCTTTGATACCCTTGGTTACGGTTCTTTCTTTCCTTTTTTTTGTCATTTCGGTCGATCTCTTTCTCCTTTAACCCTTCAATTCATTCTCTTCTTTCAGGACCATTATACTCGGTACCAGGTGAACAATCGACAAGGGCGATGGGATGCAGCAGAGACAGAAAGGAAAGGGCATCCCTCTGGACTGTCCGGAAGAATAATCAGAAAAGACGAATAAGAATAGGAAGGGGCGATGATAGTACGGCCACTAGTACGGATGACCGCGTACCGTATGGAGTCACGGCCACCCCGGAGAGGAAAAGTGTAAATGACAGGAAAATAAAATAGAATTAATCGTGTACAGTATTACATACATACACGTCGGAGCTGAGTACCTTCCTAGGTTCCTCCTTCCTTAGGTAGGTTTTACGGGTGTCTCTTCCCCTCCATTGATTGAATTTGATTTGGATTTATGGAGTATAAAGTACAGGTACCTTCCGACCATTTCTCAGTAAAAATGATTAAACCTGAACAAAATGACGGACGGGCTGACCAGTTCAACCGGGCAATGGGTGCTGCTGCGGTCGGATTCTGGAACACTAACTGATCCCTACCACCGATCGATCAGATCATAGATCGAGGGCCAGGAGAACGTTGTGGTCTTTCTGCCTCTCGTTGGGACCCGTTCTTTGTGATGTGTATCAAACTGAGGAATGCATGGAATTAATGAACTTTCTGAAGACGAGGAAATCATAATCAAACTGAATGACCGAATGACTACGGAAGGCCGAACAAACAGGGGATCAAGATATTGTTCCAAGAATATAACATCATCACTTGCCCTTTGTTCCGACCACCAGCGTTCGAAACCAAGAACCCCGAAGCAAGAACCAAGGTTGAAAGTGTCAGTTTCCCCCTTGGGTCGTCGGTACCAAACCCGGTATCGTCACCGCCGTACGGCCCATTGTCTCTGACTCTTTCAAGCCCCCACCACCACCGCTCGTGACAGGAGTGCCCCGACCAGTCATGCAGATAGGAGGGCAATTATAATTATAATTCCCAGTAAGTTGCTGTACAAGGTAGAGAAGAAGGGCAACTGATAGTGCACCAGAGAAATCATCTCCAGGAAACAGAGTCATGGGTCAATCGCTGAATAATTCAGAATTACCCAGCCCACTTGAATGATTAATGAGGGGGAGGGTCAACTGAGGTGACAAATGATACACGATCTTAGTCAATAACACCCTGAAGAACTCGGTAATTAATCCGTCCTGCGCAATTCTCCTGATCAGGACCTCCGTGCCTGGATGCCTCTTCGACTTCTTCCTGCCTCCTGAGCCAGTGGAACTTCCCTCTGTCACACACAGAAGGGGGTCCGCGGTAGAGAGACCGAAGGGAATTAATTATCAATCTTGCCTTGCATTTTCCCACCCTGAAATGGCACCCTGAACATGTGAATGGGAACCTGACTCCCCGTCCTCCGGACTAACTCCATAAATATAATATTCCATATTAAGTATTAACCCTGTCGGATTCGGACCCCAGGCCGACAGGCCAAAATCGCAGGTCAATACCTACCAACCGTCACAGGATCAGCATCAGGAATCACTGGTTTAGGGTGACGGGAGATCACCCGTCGCAGAAGAACCAGCCTCGACTTGACTGTTTCATTGCCTCTCCTTTTTTAATTTCCATTTTTGCCTTTCGGTTGGTTCTCCTTTCATTTTGGATTTTCTGATTCCCTGGTGTCCGGTACCCGCTTGCGCGCGCGCCTCGCCTCCTGTCTGACGCGCGAGCCATCGATTTTTTCCACCGCCAGGTAAAAGGAATGCAAGATGGGCAAGCTTTGCATCGTTCTAGTTAAGGAGTAGCAGCATCTCGTTTTCGCCGCTAGTTAGTTACTCAGAGGTGCGGAGAGAGCATCGGGGAGGAAAAAAAGAAAAAAGCGCTCAAAATAGACAGATACTCGACACTCTCAGACAGCCACATCACGTAGGTGGACGTCCGATTACGGAATCTCCGGTGGTCCGTACATGATACCTGTCGAATATATGTGCCCGAACCGACTCAGTATATATACGTATTGTGTGCACAGTACGGAGTAACTCAGCTAGTTTAAGGAATTCTCCTGACCGGAATGATTCCAATCACGATGCTGTCGACAGCTACTACAGCTACCGGACGGACAAGATGACGCTGGGCGATCCCGGTCACAGGCTACAGACTACAGTACATTTAATTGTACAGTCGGCCGGGATCTAACCGAAACAGATGGAACCAACCCAACCGGTTGATCTCTCGCTCCACTGCAGAACCATTGGATGACAAGCTCCCTGGCAATGCGTATTCCCTGGTTTTCTTACATTCTTGGGACATTCCTAGCAGAACGACCTACCCGACTGACTGTACTCCGGAGTAGGTCAATCCTAAATCGAATCGACCGGTTAGCCCTGGCAGAAGGTGTGGTAGGAGAGGGGTGAAATTGAGGGAGGGGAGGGTGTGATGGAAGCCAAATAAATTAATTGCACCGGATAGTTAGTTAGGTAGGAAAAGAAGGTTAAAAGCAAAAAAAAGCCCCAAAGGGAGCAATAATCATCGGTTCCGATTTGTCTGGACCTGAGGGGGGATGATGGGGGGAAGGAGGGCCGCGGGACCTTTTTCTTTTCCCCTACTCCGTACGATCATTCCGAGCGAGTAATGAAGGGATGGGGGGTCATGGTCACATTTTCACACTATTTAGCTGGGCAATCGTAGTTCGGGAGGAACTGAATCATAATGACTGCTTGTGATCTTCCCTGGAGATTAATTTTTTTTTTTTTTTCTTTCGGTGCTCTTCAGGCATGGACTTGTTATTAGGATCTTCCATTCTATATCAGATGAGTTCTTTATTGAGTACCTAAGTAGCACCTCAGGGTGATTGATGTCCATTTACCCGGATCATTTGATACCATTCCCCCCCTCTCTTTCTCTCTCTGTCTTCGGCCCCCGACCCTCCTAACTAACCAGTAGTTAACCACTCCAGTACGGAGTATGTAAGCACCTACTCACTTGGGTATCTGTTTCTTAGGGTACGGACCAAAATCCATCGGCCCATTCGAATCAGCAGGGGGGACCCTGAAAGGCAAGAAGGAGGTGGGGAGGAATGTGCACTAAAATCGACTAACGGGGCAAGGTCAGGGAAGCGATATCTCTTCTCGAACCAGAATACATGAGGGGTAAATTGTACTGCGTAAATTGTAATGATTTAGTTACTTTATTTAGTATTGTTATTATTCAAGACTTGCAGAATCAGTGACTTAACTTAGTTAACTAACTACCTTGTAAGAATTAGTTTAGTCAAATATAGTCATCCAGTACGTACATACATACATACAGCGTACATGAGAGCATTAAGTTCTAGCTCGAAGTCATCGGCCACATGCGGTAATCGGGTCAGACTTGGGCACTGGGAAAGGTTGAAGTTCCCTCGGCCGTTAATTCACTCATGCAGATAGATGGCAAGGTCGTTTATTTCAGTCTCGGTCTTTCAGTCATTTTAGAATGAAGTCGAGTCCGTCGATATGCTCAGCTTCGTATCTTGCCAGTCAGGCTTGACCAACTGGGCAGACTGGGGCCCGCCCTGACTTCGTGTTACGCTTCATTGGCGGCCTATCCACGTGTTTCGAAGTGGGTGAGATCTTTGCTCATATTACAGCGTACCGAAACAGAACTCACCAGTGAATTAGTCAATCGTAGTGGTAACAGAGATGATATGGCAATTAATGGAAAATTACAATAAGAAGAGGCAAATCCTCTGATGCATTGAATTTGCCACCTACAAGTCACTCTCGGCTCTTGTCACTGTCATTCCTGGGATGGAGGGGGGAAAGGTCGCTCTGCATGGATGATTGCAGTCCGTATCTACGGAGTATCCGTTTCCTTCTTGCCCTCCAGAATTGGCCGAATCAAATCACAACCGCTCGATCTGTGCGGACTGCGGAATACACTTTGACCCCGGAAGTAAGGAAGAACGGGAAAAACTGGAGCCATTAACTAGACAGTATTCGGTTCCCTGTCATCATTCATCACTCAGCATCGACCTTCTTGCCCTGTCCTTCTCCCCACCTCTTCCTCTTCAGGTCACAATTACCTTCACTTTAGGCTTTCCTTTCCCGGGAAGGAAGGGAGGCAGGAAGATCTAGACCTCCTATCTGGGAGTAACCGTAGGTAGGAAGAGTGAATACTATGGATTAATACACCTTCAGTCAGTCAATCAATCGATCAATCCCTAACTAGGTAGTTACTGACTGACCATCCGGCAAAGGAGGTTACACTTACACGATGTCACCTATCACCATCATCCTCCCTACCGACTTACTTCGTTTACACCCTGTACCACCCACCCTAGAGCTGGAAACACTCCAAACCAATAATAGAGTTTGTCTTGTCCTATCTGAGGGACTGGGTGCGGATTGACTTAAGCCTCTTTTTCTTTTTCTTTTTTCTTTTTTTCTTTTCCCCCCTTCGCTCTGGGTGAGGGAGGGCTGGCTGGGAAATTCATCATTGGTGGGCCCTACCAATGCGAGGGATCCGACCACAGACGGAGTATCTGTATTACGTCGGTAGATACGGTTTACAGTGACACCATGGAGTGACAGTACAGTTATACACACCTTACACTGTATCGCAGGATCGTGTGCCAACACATCCATCTACTGTAGTTACCTAGTAACTACATAGGAGTAGGTACAAGGTAGGTAGTAGGTCCTGGGATGATCGCGCAGTACGTATACCTCCTTCTATGAATCAGTATGAGATACTAGGAATATCAGACTCTGAATACGAGTCTAATTACTCTCTCTAAGTATGTAGCTCTCCGAAAGTAATATACCGAACTGATTCACCCTCGAGAGTTCAGGTAATTCCGTAGTTACTCCGTAACAGCAGAGACGTGCCGAACCACCGTAGGTTAACCCAACTTACCCCTGTCTCATCTGCCCGCGGCACGGCAAATCAAACTACGGAGTACGGTGTAGAGCAAACGGATTCCATTGACTCGGTGGCAGTGGGAATTAATTAAGGTGGGCTGTACACAGACTACGGACCCAGGAGAAAATCGGAAGGAGATTCAGGTTCAGGTTCGTTTCTTCTGGTTGAACAGCCAAGTCTACCTATGGAGTAGTTAGTTAGCTACAGAATACTGTGACAGAGCGCTACTGATAGGCAAACACGATCCCTTTTTTAATTATGATTCCTACTCCATACCTTTTAATTTTTTTTTTTTTTTTCCCCTTCACTTTTCCTTGAAACCCAACAAATAAGAAATAAATTAAAATTATCTACTGCGGAATTACTATATTTACCTGACCCTACCCACCCTAAATCTATTACGGAGTATCATCTAGTCTACCCACGTCAAATCAAACTGCGCCAGAATATTGGGTCCGGATCTACGATTGCCTTGTCCCTATTTGTTCCCAAGCCTCTGCGTGCGTGCGTGCGTTGCTGTGCTGTGCTGTGTTGGAGGCTGATGGAGTGATGGTGCTGCGCCGGGCGTTGCCTGCAGCTCTGGGCAGGATTTTTGGGACGGAGGCTTGGGTTGGTCGCCGTAGGGTGTGGCGCCTCATCCTACCTACCTACCTACCTTACTGTACTTGCGTCCCCGGGTAGGTAGTAAGTAGTTCATACAGAGTGTATTTTTATCACGAATTGTTTTTTGTATAATATATTCTTATGTTTATTTTTACTTTTCTTTTGGCAGCCTGCCTTAGGCTGATGATCAGACTAACTAACTTTACAACATTGCTTACTTAGTAATACTACCTAATAATATCGACACAGCCGCGCTACGCTAAGGATCAGGTGAGGATATCCTATTCCTAACAATAACCACTCCATAGCGATTGATTCATGGATGAATAAACTTGTTACGAAGAATGTGACTTAACTGCCTAATGAGATCATGGATTGTATCGGGGTAGGTACATACTATGTACATACTCAGTACATGGATGGTACCTAGGATTCAATCTTCTATTTGATTCTAGTGTTGATACTAGTCAGGATACATACATTATTGTAGGGAGTCAGGATCAGGATTAGGGACAGGGGTGGTTGGGAGAGTGGGAGTTGGCATTGGAGTTGAATGTCGGGAAGGAGGATCTCCGGACTTAGTAGTACACCGTAATTAGTGAGTTAAGTTACTCCGTCGTGCTAACTAACTAAAAGCTTTGGTTTTGGTTGCCTGGTTAATGCTATCGTGGCCGGGTTTACTTTCCCTTTTTTTAGTGCTTCCGACGACTGTACAGCTTTGCATTGCTACCAATAGGAATCTGATGGAGCACTTCACCCGTACCCTATTTACGGAGACTACTCCGTCCGACGGACGACGGATCTCTCCTCCGACTTTTTTTTCCTCTCCACTTATCCGAGCCAACTGCATGTTATTATTATGTACGGAGTACGGATACTGCGCATGTCTCGTGTAGTTTTCAATTGCATGGTCTTATTGCTAGATTTAAAATGGCCGTTTAGTCTTAAGGGTCATTCATCTCTTGTATCTAATTTCTCCGATCAGGAGATGTCGTTTAATTCGGGGATATGTGCACCGTACGGAATACTCAGTGTACTGAGAAAAGGGGGCCAGGCACACCGCAGTGTTGGGTGGATAATCAGTGTTGCCTCCCTACCAACTAAGCTCATCGACGCCGTTATTCGTTATTCACCAAAGAATCGTAAGCATTCCAGCACTTCCTGCGAAGGTTCTGATTCGTCCTGCTCGGATCCACTACTATGTTGAGGCCGTAAGCTATCCGGGCTCTCAGATGACAGTATGGTCGGGCTTTCTTCTGTCGTGGAGGTTGGGAGTAAGGCTTTGAGGGTCCCCGATCCAAAGAAAGACAGTTCCATCGCCTCCATCCAAGCCGGCGTCGATGTCTCGACGGCAGCATCATCAGGCTCTGAGACTGAGACCGGCGGAATGGAAAGCATGTCATGGTCAGATGCCCCGACGCCGGTTATCGGTAGCGGTCTGTCCTCGTCGGGATTGTCCTGCATGAAGAAGCATTCGTCAATGTACCGAAGGAGCCGGGTATATTCGGCCAAGCGGAGCTCAAACAGATCGAAAAAGCAGTCCGAGCGAAGCATCGTGCTGGAATCGGTATCTGTATCTGTCTTCGACATGGCGGATTGTTGACAGAGCTGAAGAGCGGCCGAGGTGACTGCCAGAACACGCTTCGTATAGTATCTGAAACTGTAGTGGCGATTGACTTCCATGAAGAAGACTAGCGTCACTTCGTGGCTTTGCTTGTCCTCTGGGATTCGCGAAAGCTGCGTCTTCACGCTGAGCAGAATCTGAGGTAGCATCGTATATGCGACTCTGGAGGATCGTCTTAGTATGGGTTACTCGGTGAGATATGCCTCGACAGGCTACTTACGCGCTGATCGGGAGCTTGTCTGCAACCCCATTCGTCAAGAGCTGCTTTACTCTCTCCGCCGTCGAGCCAATTGCTCGTACCAACTCTGTCCGGCAGAACTCCAGCTGTTCTTGGTCTGCGGCTTTGGGGGAGTTCGTGTCGCCGATCATGAGACATTTGTGATTGCAAAGCGCAATACGGGCGGACCTGGCTTCTGTGAGACACATACGAACGCCTGATCTCCGTGCGAAACAGTGACTTACTGGTAATATAGCGCAACAAGATTGGTATTAAGTACCAGTGACGAATGCAGATAGAAATCTTTGTCATTTACATGCGTCATCCAATCGAGCTCCCATTGCAACAAAGACGATTTGGCCTCTTCCAACTTTGCCAGTACGCGATCGTGGCTCTCTATTCCTATAGTTGCCTTGCGTCTTGCAGGATAGAGGATCGTGAGCAACGTAGTCACCGTGGCTGCAAAATGACAGAGACTCGACAACACTTGACATAAAGCAGATTTGGTATCTGGTCCATATACTTCAGAGTAGAATATCTCATCCCTCATATCGTCAATGGTCAGGCCCTGCTGACGAAGGTCAAATTCCAGCGGCGTGATTTGGATTGGACGGTGCATCCCTAGCGAGACGATGCGATCGCGTATAAGACAGCACCACCAAACTCTTTTCAGGTCAGACTGTTTCCTCGGCCCCTGGGCTTTGGGGACGTAGTAAAGATCGGCGCCTTCGCTTTTGGCATTCTTGATGGCAATCCGTAACCATCTTGAGTTTGCGATGATTTCCGTGTCGGATGTATAGTAGGACAACAGCAGGGCTGATCGGGCGATTGTAAACGCATCACTTTCCACGCCACTGCGGTATAGCAACTTTGAAAGCAAATTAGTTACGGGAAGAGTAGGTCGGATAAGTCCAATTACCTTGGATCTCCGATATAGCTCATCGCGTGCAGAGATAAGAGATTCGTAGCCACACTGCTTGGCGACGTCGATTGGAATGAACTAATGAAATAAGGATGAGACAGGTAGACACAAGACCTAAGAATACTACATACGCTGCTTGCAGCAAAGAGCATTGTTTGGAAAAGCAAGAGGGGGATGCTTTCATCATGGCCGGTGCTTGAGCATCGATATTGTCTCCAGAACGCAGCCTCGTCGATCAGGGGGAGACTCGGATGCACGTATAGGAAGTAGCTGCGAACGAAGCTATCCGTCACATGTCTGGCCGGTATTTGCAAACATCCTTGCGACTCGAGAAAGGCCAATTCGACGGGACCCAATCGCTTCAGCCCAGGCGCTTTGAGAAAAGTGTACGAAGAGAACGGCAGGGGAACGTTGGCAAAGGCACCTGCGCGAGTGCAAGTACAGTTAGTGAGTTATCCTTGTGGACGTCGGTCCTGAGCCATGGGTCTCATCGCTGTAACCCGAAGGAGCCTTTCTACATACTTTCTGTTAGCTTCTTCTGCGAGGAAAGGCCGTGAAGGGCTCGTGCCTCGCCGATTGAGGCACAGGCGATACGTTCTCTGGGGCGTGTCTTGAACAGATGTTTCGCGCCGATCCGTTTACCTAGGCCTGGCCGGACGGAGCAGGTGGATTCATCCAGGCGGCAATTGGTGCAAGGAAACCCATTGATGGAGCCGTCACAGCGCACTTTCCGATCATGGCAGTGGTCACAGGCACGTGGCGCACGTCTTCTAGCTGGTCTATAGTTTTCGTCTGTATACCGACGACGAGACTCCCATATCGAAGAGGTGGCCATAGTATAGGGCATGGCGCAGGATGGTGGTCCCGAGTCGGAGTGGGGGGAAGGGGAGAGAAGGAATTGAAGCCGAGTCGAGCTCCTTTCCTGCGATCCTCCTTCTTTTCGTCCTTACAAATAAGGCGGGGAAATAAAGTATACGGGGCGGTGGGGACCTGCGCGCGTCCACTCAGTCAGACCCTGTCCAGGCCAGAGCTAAGCGGACCGAGGTCGACTCGGTTCAACTGTTCCTCTCTTATTCGTCATTGTTCTTCTCTGGTTCTCGTATCCTGTCTGCCTACGGAGACTGTTCACTGTGGTCCCCAGAAGAACAGGACCCCTTCTTCCGCCAGTTCCGCCCTCGTTGTCCGCCATGACATCGCCCATTCTTTCTGATTTGCTCCTGCGGAGACGACAAGTCATTTAGTGTCGCGCTATTCCCATGATTGACAAGAAACCGCTGGTCAATCCCTTGGGCTCCACCAATGATACATGCCCCGGATGGGCGACCGTTCAGCCAAAACCCCACTGCATACGTCTAATGATGAATTGTTCGGCATAAGAGGTTCCATTATGTAGGTAGCTAGCAGTAGGCAGATGCTAGCAGAGTACCTCCCGCAAGACTGGTCGGTCATCGACCATGTACGCGTCCTAATTTTTGATCAAGATACCACCACGACCTAGTATTCAACCTCGTGGAAATATCCCTTCCTCCCCTCTCTCTCAAAATCACAGACAGATACCTTAGATTTTCATCTGATCAGCCAGTCGACGACGCAGATCTTCGGAGCGAGAGGGTGAGTTTGGATCGAGGTAGGGTTTGCCGCTGATCGAGATCGCTCGGAAAGCGAGGCGCTCCTCGGAAACGTTACTATGTGTCGTTAGTCGTAATGATCGGGCACCGACAGACCTATCCGGAGAAAAGAAGAAACGGAAGAACTTACTAGGTGGGATTGTGGAGAACGGATCGGCTATCGTAAGGAGGGGAAGAGAATATCCACGTTAGTATCGTTTTAAAGAGAGAAGAAGGAAGAAGCTGTCGTAATTATCCCAAATAGCAATGTCATTGGTACTCCAGCGATGGCGCACCTGGAGTTCGTGATTATCGGTGATGAGTTTCAGGATTTGGATCTACTTGTCAGCGAGAGCCGTTCAGATCTTCAAAGGAGGTCTAGGTCTAGTTCTACTCAAGAGGCAGATGCTAGACGGTAAACACACAGTATCGCAGAAGCTCGTTCTCGTGCTCGGTTACCCCGTCCATGGAGCCCTCGCCGACCTGGAATCCCACGACAAAGAGACTCTTCCATCCTGTGACGGGGTTGGTCTGCACGACCGGGCTTTTGGGTGTTTCCGATCAGCTTTCCTCGACATCTGATCACCGCAACAGAGGATGGGACTTACTGGCTGAGTTCTAGACCTCTGTTATCGGGATGGCCGCGGTTCTCCTCTTAGACCTGATATCCCTTTTCGGTCTTCAAGAGTGCAAGGTCCGGATCGGCGTGCGTGGCTGTAGGTGGGGATCGCGTTAGAAGATATTATTGATGTTGGGAGCTACTGGCCGGGGATTAAAACTAACCGGTCATCGACTCGGCGAGCTTCTTGAATGGCGGCGTTGAGCTTGGCGAGGTCGAACATCATCTGCGAACATGGTCGGGACTTGGTCCTGACGATCTCTGGGCCGTGGATCTGGCCACCCCGGCCGGTAATGATTCTCGGCCGCTCCTGACAGCCTTCGTAGCCGAAAGACTCGCCGTGACACCTGCGGATCTGACCATTTTGCGGGGGTTCCCGTCCGCCCTCGAACAGATGCAAGCGGTGCTGCGAGAGCGGTTACCGGGATACATGGTGCCCGCGCTTCTACTGCGCCTATCTCATCTCCCTCTTTCAATAACCCAGAAAATGGACCGAAGACGGCTAAAGGAGCTCGTTGGGACCCTGAGCATGCGCCGGCTGACGGAGCTCATGGGCACCCAGAGCGAGCACGACGCGCGGCCCATGAACGAGTCGGAGATCCTTCTTCGGCGTCTCTGGGGCGAGGTACTGAGATCCGATGACCAAATAAGCGTAGCCGACAACTCCTTATGGGAACCGACTCAGTCAGCTGCATGAGGCTCGTTAGTCTCACCAATTGCCACGGTTGGCGTCTCACTGTGAGTGACGTCTACCGAAACCCGGAGCTGCGCGATATGGCGTGCGTCATGCGCCCCAAGCAGTCTGTCCCCTAAAAAAGCCAGGGCGTGCGCAAGCAGACCAATATCCGAGATGAGCATCTAGGTATCGATCGGGAGTCGGCGCTGCAGACAGCAGTCCAAGCTCTGGGTGTTCATACTAGTAGTATCCTAGACATATATCCCTGCACACCCTATCAGGAGGGTTTGTTGGCCAGCTCAATGGCGCAGCCGGCCACCTACGTCTCGTCTTTTGTCTTCCGGCTGGCCTCCGAAGTGGGCCTCGACCGCGTGGCCGAGGCATGGACGACAATGCAGCAGCATCACGAAACATTGCGCACGACTTTTATCCGGCTTCATGACGGAACCATGGCTCAATTCGTTCTGGCGTCAGGTAGTAAAGTCGAGGTCCACGATAGCTGGCGGTCCTTTGCCGAGCGGAGGAGGCTGCCACCCAACGAGGTACGCATCGAGGGAGACCTGATTGAAGTCCCGTCGCGTGCCTCGTTTATCAACGATGCGGGCACCGGTCTCGTGTGTTTAGAGCTGCACCATGCGCTATACGATGGATGGAGCATCGATCGGTTCTTCGCGGGTTTGAACGAGGTCGCTGCCGGTCGGTCGGTACGGCCGGGACGCCGCCGCGCCAGTTCATCGTGCATCGATATCATCTCGACAAGGCTGCCTCCCGGGATTATTGGAGAACCAGCCTACAGCAGGCCCAGCCGACGCAATTCCCCTCTCTGCCCGGGACACCCGGATGCTACTATCAGGCCCTGACCGCAGACCGGATACAGCTTGAGGTGTCGTTGGAGTCGACGCGAGACCTGCGGTGGCGCACGTCGGAGATCCAGCTAGCCTGGGCAATGACGGCGGCGCAATATACAAGCAACGAGGACGTCGTTTTCGGGCTGGCACTCAATGGCCGGTCCGACACAATGCCGGACATTCTCAACGTCAGCTGGCCGACCATGTGCGCCGTGCCCTATCGCGTTGTCGTGCTGCCTGATCTCACAGTTCAGGAGGCCTTGACTCAACTGCACGACCAGTCCATGGCGATGACGGACCACGAGCAGTTGGGTCTACAGGAAATCACTGCGCTAGGGGCAAGCTGCGCGAGAGCCTGCGAGTTTCAGACGCTGATGGTCGTCTAGCCGACGCCGGAAGATTGGACTTTTGATGCTCTCGGAACTCTGGACGAGGCGCGATCCAACTTCGATCAGCGTCACCTCTACGCACTGACTCTGCAATGTGTCAAACGGGCCGACGCCGTCCAGGTGATCGCCGACTTCGATCCGAAGGCCATATCTCGCGATCGCCTCCTGCGTGTCCTTTGGCAGTTCCGGCATCAGCTGCAGCGTTTGACTTCGTTGTCCGCTCGTGGCATACCCCTGCGCGACTTGGCCGATCCGTCTGCGGAGGATGTTGACCTTCTGCAACGCTGGAATGGCCCGTCGCCGCTCCGGGTGGATCGTTGTCTGCACGAGATCATTACGAGTGACCAGGTTCGGCAGTGCCCCGAGGCTCTAGCTGTGGATGCTTGGGATGTGTCTTTCTCCTATGCCGAGTTAGATCTATGGGTAGATCGACTGGCTTCAACCCTAAGAGCCCGTCTGGGCCATGCACCAGGAACTGTCGTCCCACTCTTGTTTGAAAAGTCTGGATGGACGATCGTCGCTCTCCTGGGTACTTTGGAAGTCGGGTTGGCCTTCTGTCTGCTGGACGTCTCGCACCCGGCGTCTAGACTGCGATTTATGGTCGAAGATACAGCGGCCACGCTAGGGATCGCATCGCCGCGACAGGTGGCCCTAGCCAGGAGCATTCTGCCCGATGTTCTCATACTGAATCCGACCTCACTGCCACTAGAACTCTCAGAGCTCCTTTCAGGACAATCCGTCCAACCTAAAGACCCGGCCTACGTCATCTTCTCCAGCGGCTCGACCGGTCAGCCGAAAGGAGTCGTGATCTCGCATCGCGCCTACGCAAGCAGCGCTCATGCCCACGCCTCTCCCTTCCAGATCAATCGCTACTCGCGCGTGCTCCAGTTCGCCTCGTATGCCTTTGACGCCAGTATCGTCGAGATCCTGACGCCGTTGGTCTCTGGTGCGTGCATATGTGTGTTGTCGGAAGACGAACGCGCCAACGAGCTGGCCGCGGCAGCTACAAAGAGAAGCGCTTCCGTCGCTTTCTTCACACCCTCGCTTCTTCTTCTGTATAGGCCTGCCGACTTCCCGACGCTCCGCACCGTGATCATGGACGGCGAGTCCGCCGACCCATCTGTCCTCGTCACCTGGAGCCCGGGTCTGAGCCACCTTGTAAACGGCTACGGACCGTGCGAGTGCGCCGTTGTCTGCGCCATCAATCCAGCCGTCACGCGCACCACATACGCGCGCAACATCGGCCACCCAACCGGCGGCATCATTTAGATCTGCCATCCGTCGGACCCCGTCCACGGCCCCGTGGCCATCGGCGCCGTCGGGGAGGTTCTGGTCGAGGGCCCCGTGGTCGGATCGGGGTATCTGAATCGCCCCGCGCAGACAAGCGCTGCCTTCGTGGACGCCCCGGCCTGGTTGGCGCTTTACCGCGATCCCGGCCATAAAGGTGAGGATGGTACGACTCGAGTCAATCGCACGGGCGATCTGGTATATCAGGAGTTCGTCGGTTCGTTGGTGTATGTGGGGCGGAAGGATAATCAAGTGAAGATCCGGGGACAGCGCGTCGAGCTGGGGAAAATTGAGACGCGCATTATAGCGGCGACAGGGCTGCGTGGGGGCGCCGTAGCCGTGAAGACCCTTACGCTGGACGATTCGACCGATACAGACCCGCAGATTGTGGCCTTCCTGGATGACCAGTTATGTGGCCTGGAAGAGAGGGTTGGTCGTATGTTATCGAAGGACGACGGGTCAGACAAAATCAAGCAGACCCAGGATCAATGCATCATCCGTCCTGCAACGGCCGCGTGGATCTCCAAGATGCAATCCGTCGAGAGCCACCTCCGAGTGAATCTCCCTTCCTTCATAGTACCGACCTACCTCGTGCCCATCCAGCGCATCCCTCTGTTAGTATCAGGCAAGGTCGACCGACGACGTCTCCGCGAGGAATTCAGATCAAGAGCTGCGGGGCTGATTGTGCTGCCACGTATTATGCATGGGACGAGAGGGCACGCGGACTGCGCGCTCTCTGGGCAAAGGCTTTCGGTATCCCCGAAGACCGCGTGGGTCCGGATGACGGGTTCCAGGCACTAGGAGGCAATTCCTTAGTGGCAATGAAGCTGGTAGGCATGGCACGCCGTAAAGGTTTTGCGGATTTGACGGCGGCGAAGTTGTTGCAGGGGGCGAGAATTCGGGATTTGGTTGAGGTTGAGAAATGAGGACATGAAGATAGGTAGATTGATTCCCATAGAATAAAGCCAGTCAAGATATGACTTATATTGGTATAGGTACTCCTTTGTGTAACCGTTCTGCAATACAGAGGAAGTTACCTATGGTTTACAAGAATGAAACTGAATGACTGCGGCCCATTGGAATGATCATGAAGGATGTTGTAGGGAAAAGGTTTCCGCGGTGTTGCAATACACATGAAATGGCTTGGCAGATTGCACCTCAGGCTCCGACCCAGGCAGTCAGGCACCCAGGCATCTCGGGCAGCCCTACGTAAGTTGTCACATCCTCCGATCTCCTCTCTTCTTCCTCTCCTCCCCTACTAGATACAAGGACCTTCTATTTAAATCAATTCTTTAAAACGACTCCCCATCCTCCATTTGCTAATCTACAACTCATCTCTGTGCACCGAAGGACGTCCCTGACCCCTATCCTGCAACCCTCGCTTCACCCACAGCGTCATGATCTCGTAAGCGATCTGCGCCGCCGCAAATGAAGTCGTCTCGGACCGATCGTCAAACGGCGGCGCGACCTCAAGGATATCCGCGCCGACGATATTCAGCTGCCCCAGTCCGCGCAGGATGTGGTTCATCTCACGCATGGTCCAGCCGCCGGGCTCCGGCGCGCCTGTTCCTGGTGCCGTGCTCGGATCCAGCACGTCGATATCAATGGACAAGTAGACGGGGGCGTCACGCCCCACGCGTTTCACGATGGCATCGACGATACCCCGTGGTCCGACCTCGTCAATATCTTCGGTCGTCAGACGCGTGAATCCTTGAGTGTCATCGAGCGCGTAGTCGTCCCATCCGGTGCCGGACAGCCGCGTGCGCAGACCCGCGTGCACCGACGAGTCATTCCGCACGAGTCCCTCGTTCCATGCTTGCCAGAGCATGGTGCCGTGCGTGAACTCGCTCTGCTCCGATGTCCACACGCTGGGGTAGCTGCTGGGGTGCAGGGTATCCAGGTGCGCGTCGAAGTGCACCACGGCTAGCGGCTGCCCGTGCGCTTGCGACAGCGCTCGCAGCGCGGGCAGCGACACTGAGTGGTCGCCGCCGAGGATGAGAAGCTTGCGCGGCGTCTCAGAGTCGGCAGCCCAGGGCCGAGCGCTCAACTCGCGCAAGGAAGAGGTCATTTGGCGCAGTGCTAGCTTGTTGTCGAACGGGGTTGTCGGCACGTCGCCGCAGTCGTAGATCGTCGCCCATGACTGATATGGATTGATGCCAGCGTAGGGACTGAAGCTGCGACTGGGGAGATGACGGTTCGAGGCTGCGCGGATTGCGCGAGGGCCGAAACGCGCTCCTACACGGTTCATGATTTAGATCAGTACCCAGATACTCATGCGGTCGGCGCGTGGACTTACCAGGGCGATACGAGACTGCGGTGTCGAATGGCACGCCTATAATGCCGATATCATAGTGCAGATCCGGCTCCAGAAGACAGTTCCGATGCTTGAGATGACCAAAGGTCGAAATGCCGGAGTACCCAAACTAACCCTTGGTTAGTCCTCGTTTCCAAATTCTGTGGACGTCCTCACGTACCGTGTAGTCCCAGCGGCTATGTGCCTGGGCCTGGGCCTCCTCAAAGCTGTCCAGATCATCTTGAGTATGTCCTGCTACTCGAATGGCTAACCCGGCAGCGGCGATAAATCGTAAAAGGCGCATGGTGGTTGGTGTCAAACAAATCGCTTCGGGGGTGGAGGTGGATGTGGTAGTACAGAGGATATCGAACCATCTACCTCCACATCTCATCGCCCCTGCCTATCCTTTTAAAATAAAGGGCTGATCTTCCAGTCCATTGGCCCATACCGGTGACCTGTCTACAATTCTCGGCTCGAAAACCTTTTCCAGACCGCCACTTCAGGTATAGAGTCGATCTTTCATGGTTGCAGCACTGCAAATGTATGAGCCCAGAGATGCTCCGAAGATACCCTTGCACCCTATATGGCCTCTCAATTGACGTGTCTGATCGTGCCGGAGACACGTATCGTCAGTAAAGCTTCGCATTCCTACCTGGTACTGCCAGAATGACACCGCTCTTTCCATGCATGGAGGGCTCGAATTGGTCCCATGCAGTGAGAAGTCGCAGCGAGCCACTGTATGGAATCGGTTGTCTATGTTTATTTTTGACAGATAATATCGGGTCCTCCGGGCAGGTCAGGATGCTGTCAGAAAAGAAGCAATTATTCTCTATAGAAAGACATGGCAGCGCTGCTCGCATGCATACCTACATTCGATTTAAAGTCTCACCGTGGTTGCCGTAGGTCATTCGTACAGTTGGGCAGCACTGGCACACGATGTCCATGGATTTCGTGTAAATCTCGTGATCCTATATTTTCTATTATGATATGGAATGAATGACATGGCTGCATCCTGGCTGACCCGCCTCCTAGGTATATCAGCGGATCCCCCTGTTCCTGTCCCTTGTCCCACTGTCACGTTCTACCCTCGATTTGCTCCACCGACTAGTCTCAGTCCTTTTTTTGGCTACCGGGATGGCATCAGATACGCTTGACTTCTCACTGAGTCGAGGCACGGCCGAGGAAATCCAGCAGTTCGGCGTCTTGCTTTTGCAAGGTATCAAGGAACGTGGATATGTAAAGATTCAAAATTCGGACATCTCTGCTCACGAGATTAGCGAGGTTTTCAACTATGTATGTGTCTGGACCTCTTGGCTCTCTCTCTCTCTCTCTCTCTCTCGCTAACCCTAATCTCGCCGCCCATCTCAGTCACGTCAGTTCTTCGACCTGCCTCTGAGCGAGAAATTGAAGATCCAACATCCTCCCGCGGCTATGCCCAATCGTGGGTACAGTTTCTTCGGCCAGGAGAATCTAGGCAACGAGGGAGACGAGTCGGGAGGGACCGTCGTCAAGGATATTTCCGATTTGAAGGTCCGTCAGCCTCTTCTTCACTTAGCTTTTATTTCGAAACAAAAACCAATGCCTTAGACACGCAGGAAGCCCTTGACTTCGGGTCCCCGGCCGACCACTTCATGGAAAACATGTGGCTCGAAGACTCCGCCGTGCCAGGCTTCCAAGCGACGGTGGAGGACTTCTTCCGCCGATGCCAGCGCATCGAGACGGATCTCTTCCTCGCCCTTTCCCAGGCCCTAGGGCTCCCGGCCTCCAGACTGACCGAGACGCATTCCCGCGCCGAGAACGAGCTCCGCCTGCTACACTACCCTTCATTGCCGGCCGCAGACTCGCCGCACCAGCGCCGAGTCACCCGCATCGCGCCGCACACCGACTGGGGCACGATGACTATGCTCTGGCAGGACAGCTGCGGCGGACTTGCGGTTCAGAATCGCTCAGGTCCCGACGGTAGCGGCAACGGCGACTTTCAGCCCGTGGACTCAGCGCCGGCGGAATTCATTCTCTCCATCGGAGACTCGCTGCAGCGGATGACGAACGATACGCTGCTAGCGACGCCGCATCAGGTCAATTTCCCAGAGCCAGTGGAGCAAGACGGCGAACAAGTCCTTCTGGAGCGATACTCCGTGGCGTATTTCATCAAGCCAAATCGCGATACTTCGCTGCTTCCGTTGGAGGAGTTCGTGTCGGCGGACAGACCCTGTCGGTATGAAGATATCTCGGCCTGGGATTATAATCATCGGCAGCTAGCACGGGTGTATTATTGATTGTTGGGGGTCTGTCGATCCAAGCATGTAGTGAGGTCGAAATTATTGAGTTGGATTTGCCTGTTCGTTTGAATTTGATACTAGCTGTTGGCCATACCCATATAAAATCTCATGCTCCGTATTTGCTAGTTCATTCAATATAACATGCATGCTTTCGAGGTCCCCAAACTCGGCATTGTCAGAACCTCTCACGTATTAGCAGCCATTCAGAATGAACTCAGGGCCTAGCAACGCAAGGGGGCGAGGTCGAATGCAGGAGCCAATTTGATAGTAGATAATATTGCATTCGTCGGGTCAGGTCAGGCCAAACTAGGCAATCTCAATCCTTCCTACCGGTTCCTTTACTATAATCTGATTCTCTGTTTCCCTTTGCTTTGCCAATTGCTTTCTTTCTTTCTTCTAGTTACCTCTAAGAAAATTAAACGAGGCCTATCGGTATAGCAACCGATATCACTTACCACTGCGGGTCATTCTATCTTTTCTCCCTATTCTCGGTCTCTCAGAATGACCGCTTTGGCATCGACATTCTGGCAAAGGATCGGTGAAGTCCGCTCATCGATCTGGGTGATAACTCTGGTCATCGCGGTCTCGGTGTTTACGGTACAGGGTCTACATTTTCCAACCTGTCCCCCATGCTAAAGAGGCCTAGGATATCATGCTCTACGGATTGATGGGTCACGCCGACCCTCTACCATACCATATACCTTGAATGCTTTTTGACGCCATGATGTACTAGATCGTGCCGGTCGCTCCCACTGCGCTACAGGAATGAGTCGGGATTCGAGTCAAAGATGGTCTGCGGATGCTTTGCCACCAAAACAACAACACTGCTAGCCAGTAGAGCTGACGTCCGTTCGTCCCTCTAGTGCAAAGGTGGAATACTATCCTCCTCACCCTATACTCAGTCAGCCTAGTGGCATTTTCGCGTGCGTTGAATCCCACCCAGAATCGATCTTGCCACGTGCTGACCTCCCTATCCAGCCATCGCAGGCTACGTGACCGATAGCCTGCGGACCCGACGAGGTCCTTTCCTCGTTGGCCTGGTCACTCTGGCAATCGGCACCGCTCTGCTCTGTGTCGGCACCTCGTTGGCACTCTGGATTGTCGGTCGCATCCTCCAGGGTATGCCCACGGTCGTGGTCTGGTCCACCGGTCTGGCCCTGCTGATCGACGTCGCACCCAAAGACGAGCTGGGCCGTCTGACGGGCTACATCGGGACGGTCCCGAGTCTGAGGACATTCGGCGGTCCCGTGATCGGGGGGTTGCTCTACCAGTATGCAGGCTATTATGCCGTCTTTGCGGTAGCGTTCGCTCTCATCGCCCTTGACGCCGTCCTTCGACTGGCCGTTGCGGAGAGACCGGGTGGCGGATGCGCGTCACCTCGCACCGAATCCGAGCTCGAAGCGCCCGATGATGCGCATGTAGGATCCAAAGGGCGCGCAGGCGACAAGCTCCGTCTCCCAGTCGCAACCCTAACTCCCATGCCATCGCCATTGACCAGCACCCGCTTCGCCCGACCGGCAGTATTCACCTTCCTCTGCTCTCCGCGCCTTCTCGTCGCTCTGTACGGCTACTTCATCCTCTCCGTGCTCTTTTCCGCCTTCGACACCGTCCTGCCGCTCTTCGTGAGCGACACCTTCGGCTGGACTCGTCTCGGCCAGGGCCTTGTCTTTATCCCGCTCAGCGTACCCCAGCTGCTCAGCCCCGTCGCCGGCGCCCTGATGGACCGATTCCCCGCCTCCCGTCGCTACGTCGTCGCAGGCCTGTTCCTCGCCTCGACGCCCATCCTCGTCAGTCTGCGCTTCGTCACGGCCGCCACGATTCCCCATCAGGTCCTGTTGTGCGCACTTCTGACCCTCCTGGGGATGGTCGTCGCCGTCGCCATCCCCGCCGTGATGACAGAAATCGGGCTGGTGGTGACGGATCAGGTCGGTGATTCCCGTGGCGCCACGGCCCAGGCGTATGGGTTGGGCCATACCGTGCTAGGCTTGGGTACCATCACTGGGTCGCTGCTGGCAGGATACTTGCGGGACTTGCACCGATGGGCGGTCATGGCGGCCGTCCTGGGCGGGATGAGTGGTTCGACGGCCTTTCCGATGTTGATCTTCTGGGGGATTCTGCAGATAGTAGTAGGATTTGAAAGAGAGTACGCCGTAGGGTATTGTTGGTTCTCAAGTTAACTTTTTCATTCACCTGAGTAGGTAGATGGTAGAAAAGGGGAAGCCCGGAGTACCTAAGAAGCCGGAGCTTTCCCCGCACTTCTTTATCCTTGCAAGCAGCCGCATAAGCGCCACGATTGAACGTTGCGACCTGCTCGTTGGCAAATTCTCCCTCCTTGCCAGTCACACACAACACTTCAACCCTCCCAGTGGTCCAACTGCCGCGATGCTGAAACCCACGAGGACCGTCTGGAGCGTGCAGCTCCATGGCCTCCAGCCTTCCTCTCGGGGTTTAGCGCGGCCACCGCCCTTATCGGCTTATCGGCAGGGGACTAGACTGATGAGCATTGCTCAATCCAAGATGACTCTCGCCAGCAGCCTGTCCCAGTACAGGTTGGCCACCGAATCCGTGGAATCGTGGCTGGTAAATACTGCCAGGGCGTATGGTTACCAGATTGACCCTCTGACGGCTAATGCCAACTCTACCGACGACAACAACGACAACAACGACAACAACAACGACGACAACAACCAGACCAGCCAAGCTCTCTCGAAAGAAGCGAGGAAGCTGGCTCATGATGAAAAGGCCTTTGCCGCTGCATCTCCCCCAGTGAGCGGAGCCGCTCCTCCATCGAAGCAGCAGTCGGTGTATACAAATAAAATCGATAAAATTGGCCACAGGGAATTCATCAGACTAGCAGACTTCATCGCCGCCTCGGATCCCCCCGTCAGCGTTCCGGCGACGTTCATAGAGGCCCTGGACCGTGCTATCTCCATTCGACTGGCACACGGTAAGCAAGTCATCGGGAAAATACCGAATGGCCCCTACAAGCGGAGCATGGTCCAACAGCACAACTACTTTATTCGCGTCCTCAAACACGTGCGGGAAGTCCTGTGTCCCAAGGTGTCGAGTGTCCGGGAGCCGGGCGAACGGCAGGATGAGACGGCGATTCATTTGAGCTACGAAGGCGAACTCCGGCAGAATCTGGAAGAGGCGTACCTGGGCTTTGAACTTCTGAAGAAGGATTTCCGCAGCCTTCGGGCGGTCATCATTCGGTCGTGGCTGGGATACCGGCAGGGAATGTTTGACCTAGTCACCGTGTCGCTGCTGACGAACTCGGCCATTGGCACCGCCCGGCGAAGGCAGGAGGAGGTGCAAAAGCTGTTTGACAAGCACGGCGGATCGGCGCGAATGCTCAACGCCATCTATGCAGCGCAATGTACCCTGCACGGCGAGATGCCGAATTTCCGCGAACAGCCGGGCGACGACCTGAACTTCCGCATGTACGACGTCGCCGACTCGATGATGTTACCGGCCTTTATGCTGTTGCAGTCGTTTGACCAAGACGCCTTGGTCAAGCCCAGGAACAACCCTCCGTACAAGCCCGACTACGGAATGTTTAACCCGGCGAGTGCCAGGTCGGAGAAGAGCGCCCGAGAAAAATTCCAGGAAGACAAGATCGTGATGCTGGACATGCTGTCAGGATTCTCCACTTTCCATCAACGGGTACCCCCCCAGCCGTTTGAAGACGAGTTCACGCGGGGTCTCCGGCTGATGTTAAAAACCCACATTATCCCCATCTGGCTCGTTTTCGCCGCCCAGGTCTTCCTGGATATTCATCACGCTCTGCGAGGCAATGTCACGAGAGCTATTTCAGATCTGCAGGTCTCAGTCGGGTCCATGGAGGCCTGCATCAAGAAGAAACTTGAATTCCATTCCTCGCTGACCGTTGCAGGGTGGCCGAAGAAGAGCTACCAGGCGTTCCATTCTATGCTAAAGGAAATTCACTGGTGGGTGGACTCGGATCACCGGTGGGTGGACTCGGATCCCGTGGTGCATCCCGAAGCCAAGATCAAAGTGAGACCCAGGGAGATGTTCAAATTCATGAAGTGGAACCCCCTCTTCTGCGGGATGCTCAACTACAACCTCCAGCGTGGCTACAAGGAGCTCAGCCTGTCCTTACCGGCTGTGAAGAGTGAGCTGCTGATGGTAGCAGGTGGGGCGGTGGACGAGATTATTGAGAAGAGGGAGGGAAATACGGTGCTTGAGTCTCTCAGGGAGAGAGAATGCCCGGTAGTCTTTGGGGTGGAAGAACGAGCATGAGCATGAGTTTGATGTTTACGAGCGTACAGCATATTTTGAGATACCTTATTGTCCAGAGCGATGATTTCATCTAGATGAGAGCACTACAAATATTTCAATACTAGATCAATCTGCATACCAAGCAAAGGGCACGATCCCTGAATCGTCAGCCTCGCCAACTACCGATCCTTAGCTCCAAATCCCCATAAGCATACGCATAAGCATAAGCCGCCCACCGCCACAATCATCATCAGCCCAGCTGAAGCCCGGTTCACAGCCTTGATTTCTTCTAAATCTTCTTGCTTTAATTTCCACTCGTCAGGCCCCCCTCTCACCCATCAATAAACCTCAACTCATCCAAATCATCGCCAACGCCAACGTCAACGTCAACAATGCAATCCACCAAAGCCATTGTCGCCAACGAACCCACCACGCCAGGATCCATTAACTGGTCCTTGCAAGACGTCCAATGTCCGATCTCCTGTGGTCCTGACGAGGTGCTCGTCGAGATTGTCGCGACGGGGCTCTGTCACACGGATGTCTTTGTGTCGGGTGTGCCCGACGGGACGTTGGGGATTCGGTATCCGAAGATTATGGGTCATGAGGGTTAGTCTTTCTTTCTTCTTAAAAAGAAAAAAAAAAAAAAAAAAAAAAAGACTCTCCCCTATATTGGATTGAATAGCTAGCTAACTCGCATTTTATGAACTATTTGCGCCAAAACAGGAGCTGGCTATATCCGCTCCATCGGCAAGGCTGGCAGCAGTAGCGACAGCAACAGCACCAACAGCAATAGTAGCGGTAGCAGCAACAGCACCACTACCAGCAAATTCCAAATCAACGACCCAGTTCTTCTCTCATTCCCGTCCTGCGCGTCCTGCACGCAATGCAGACAGGGCCATCCGGCGCACTGCACCGGCGTCGCGGCAGAGAAGTATACCGGGCGGAGAAACTTCACAGCTAATGCCTCCTGCGGCAACAAACACCACCAGGCCCAGGACCAAGACCCAGAGATCTGGGGCTCTTTTCTCGGTCAGTCGAGCTTTGCAAGGTTTACCGTCGTCAAGGCGTCCAGTGTGCTTAGTCTTCGGGGTCTGCTGCGTCGGAGCGAGGATTTGGCGGTGTTTGCGCCGATGGGGTGTAGTTATCTCACTGGTGTTGGGGCCGTGCAGAGGATTGCGAAGGTCACTGGTGGTGATTTCAACGGTCATGTCAATGGTAATGGTCATGTTAATGGTAACGGGGAGGGAGGGAAGAGTGCCGGTGGGGATACGGTGTTGATCATGGGATTAGGAGGGGTGGGCATGGGGGCTGTTATGGTATCTTGATCCCCATCTCCATCTCCATCTGCACATACTAGTCCTGTCTATCTGTACCATGCAATATAGATATCCCCCACCTACCTACCAACTATCTGACTAAAAACTAACGAATGAACAACAGGCCGCCACTCAATCCCACCCCCAAACCCTCATCGTCCTAGACCAACACGCCCCGCGCCTCCAACTCGCCAAAGAACTCGGGGCCACGCATGTGCTCAACACGCGCGCACCGGGCTTCAACCTCCAAGATGCCGTGCGCGCCATCTGTCCCGAGGGTCCCTCTGTCGTCATCGATACCACGGGCGTGCCGGAGCTCATTGAACGCGGACTGGATGTTGCGGCGCCGAGAGGGCGTTTCGTGTTGGTTGGGGTTCCGCCCGTGGGGTATGTTGTTGGGGTGCAGGGGTTGGAGTTTATTAATGTGAGTTCTTCTTTTTCTTTTTCTGATTCTTCCTTTGGGGGGTCAAGGGCGGGTTGGAAAGAGAAAGGAATTGCTAATGGACATGATCATCTAGAGCGGAAAGTCAGTATTAGGATGTTTAGTGGGGGACTCGGTTCCTGAAGTGGTGAGTCTCTTTTTTTTTCTTCCTTCTTTTTTTTCTTTTCCATGAGAAGATACAGTGATCTTGACTAACTCCTATGACAAACAGGATATCCCCCAACTCATCCAATGGTACTACGAAGGACGATTCCCTATCGATCGTCTGATCACGAAAGTTCCTGTGAGTTAAATCTATACCGATATCTATGGCCTCATCATCTACATGTCGTGTTATGTTCATACCGGGGAAGATTGATACATACATCCTGATCAAACGAGCTAAGAGATATTGCACGTACAGGTCGAAGATTACGAAAAAGCCTTACGGGGAACCGAAACAGGGGAGATCATCAAGCCGGTGCTGATTTGGGATGAGAATCAGATATGATCGGATACGAATCACCTTGGAAGAGAGGAATGTATGTCTCCTGAACGAACAAGAGAGTAGGGAATCTGTTTTGGACCTGTGTTTGAGCTGTATTTGGGAGGTTATCTATTCTTTCCGGTGTTCTTGGGAGGAGGCTGGTGGTGTATAGAAGGGGGTTAGAATAGTAGAGGATATTGCTTCAATGGCACTACTCTTTAGATCTGCAAGATGATTTATGCAACCTAGTAAGTTTATAAAAAAAAAGAGAAACAATCCTAAAATCAAGTCACAGCAAATGTCAACCAATATAAAATATAAACTTCAAAATTTGCTAATGTAACAGACATCGGATATCAGTACATCGGGCCTCCAAGCCCGGTAAGATCTATTTATCATAGAAAATGCTTTTCTTTCCAACTTTTAACCTTTAACCAGTAACCTTGAAGATGGACTCGGCCAGTCTCTTGACGTTGCCGGAGGTGATACCGGCGACGGAGATACGGCCGTCCTTGGTGGCGTAGACGGAGTGCTGCAGATATGTCAGTAAGTCATTTCTTAAATCGATGGAAATCAAAATCTTACCTCCTTGGCGAGAGCTTCCATCTGCTCGGGCTTGAGACCGGTGAAGGCGAACATGCCGATCTATCTAAAGTCAGTGTATGTCATGTCGGCAATGTCCAGCTCAACTCACCTGGCTGGTGATGTGGGACCAGTCGTGCTTGCTGCCCAGCTGCTCCAGGTTCTTGCGCAGCAGAGCGCGCATCTCGATGATACGGTCGGCCATGCCCTTGACCTCACCCAGCCACTGCTTGTTCAGCTCGGCGTCGTTCATGATGGTCGAGGCGACACGGGCACCGTGGATGGGAGGGTTGGAGTAGAAGGGACGGATGAGAATTTTGATCTGCGACTCCACGCGCTTCTTCTCCTCGGCGTTCTCACAGACGAGGGAGAAAGCACCGACACGCTCTCCGTAGAGGCCCTGTAAACTGTCAGATATGTAACTAAACAATAATAATAAAAAATCAGATCACCGTACCATGTTCTTGGCGAAACTCTGGCATAGAGCAATGTTGTGACCCTCCTTGACGAAGTGACGAGGAGCAAAGGCATCCTGGTCGGCGTTACCGCTGGCAAAGCCCTGGTAGGCCATGTCGAAGAAGGCAAAGTGACCCTTCTGCTTCATGACGTCGCTGATCTGGCGCCATTGGTCCTGGGTGGGATCGACACCGGTGGGGTTGTGGGCGCAAGCGTGCAGCAGGATGATGCTGTTCTCGGGAGCGGCCTTGATGTCAGCCAGCAGACCCTCAAAGTCCAGACCGATGGTGTCCTTGTTGTAGTAACGGTACTTCTCGACCTCCAGACCGGCGTCCTTGAAGACAGCGTTGTGGTTGGCCCAGCTGGGGGTGGGGAGGTAGACCTTCTTCGCGTGAGGGTAGAAGCGCTGCAGGAAGGCACCGCCGATTCTCAGGGCGCCGGTACCGGAGATGGTCTGGGTGATGACGAGACGGTTGTCCTTGAGGACCTCGGAGTCCTTGCCGTAGGCCAGCTCGGCGGCGGCGCTGGTGAAGGTAGGGATACCGGTGATACCAGCGTATTCCTTGTCGAAACGCGAAGCCACAACCTTGTCCTCGGCGGCACGAACGGAGGGGAGGACGTAGGGCTTGCCCTTGTCGTCACCTACGAAAGCCTACGTTAGTTGATGTTTTTTTTTTTCTTCCTCTCTTGATTGAGATCCGTTGCGAAGGGTGATTTTGAATCTTTTGGCGATAGAATTGGATGCTTAAATGCAGAGGGATGCTTACGGTAGGCACCAACACCCAGGTTGATCTTCTCCTTGAAGGAGTCGGCCTTGAAAGCCTCGGTGATACCCAGAATGGCATCCTAAACGGCATTGAGTCAATTTCCGGCGAACAACGAGGTTCTCAAGATCATGGCGCCTTACCGGAGGGCCCTGAGGAACCTTGGACCAGGCCGAGGCATTTCTGGCGCCAACGATGACGGTGCGCATGCTAGCGTCACGCGAAGCAGCCTGGCGGCCGGCGACTCGGAGGGTGGAGAGCATTGTGAAGGAAGGAGGAGGCCTGTAAGCACAAAAGGCGAGGGAGAGAGATGGGGGATGGAAAATAACAAGAATAAGGATGGGCAGGGAGATAAATAAGAAGAAGTAGAAGGGGATTTGAGTCAAAAGGCGAGCGAGAGAGAAAGCGAAAGTCTAGGGAGATTCCGGGGAGCCCAAGCGGCGGACGCGGATTGGCCGCCGCCTCCGCAGTCGCGGTTAAATTGGTCGATCACGGGTTTCTTACGTTCTGTTTTTATGTTTTTTATTTTATTCCCTATGTATAGCTAACATCGTTATTTAGCTCTGCATTGACTGCAATTGAATAGTTGTAAATATGTTAACGGATTGATTGATTTATTTGGGTACTCGAGGACACTCAATAAATCTGAGGTATGTACTCCGTATACAACTAACAACAATGACAGTTAACAGCTCCATCTGGTCTGATATCATCTCCTGCCAGCCTCTGCAGTGGTGCCATCGGGGTTTTCGGTGAACGGATCGAGCATCGCCCAGAGACGCCCCCACGGGTGGCCTGAGGCAGATTCCCCTCACGGGATTTGGGGTATTTTTGGAGTTCCTCTTCGGCTTTTCCATAATTACCTTGTAGACGCTCCCTTCAACATATCAATTCAGATTGTTAGATTCCATCTACAGATACATCATCCCTATCTCTCTATAAACCTCTCTCTCCCAAATCCACTTCCCACAGGATCACCACCACTTCACAACAACGCCGTCTCGGGTCGGTTAATTTCCCCACACGCCAAGTCACCAGCGCTGTTCCTCTGGTAACCCGCAATGACGGTCACACAGCGCGTCCTTGGGATTTTTGCCCTGTAACCCTGTGCTAGGGTGTTCCCCTCACGACGCAGCTAGTTGAATCCGGCAAGACAGCTTTTGTTCCTGAGTTCTGGCCTCTTAACTGCTGTACGGAGTGGGCAACTCTAGCCCGGATTCCTATACTGGATTCGATCAGCCCGGCAGAGAGATCTAATCTGATCGACAGGCTTGCGTACTCGCCACTCGCGGCTGTGGGCTTATCCGCCTGCTGAGTCGCTGACACTGTGTAGTGTGCTGTAGTGTGTACACATGGCTCTGATTGATTATGGTGTACTCCGTAGATCGTGCGGAGTTGCCCTAATACTGCTGTGTGCTAATTCGTTCTATCCGGCATACTCAACAGGGTAACTCCGTTGTTAACTAAATTTGTCTACTTCCTCCCCTGCTCACTTTGCAAGTAAACCGATGGTGGCGTTTTAACTAAGGTAAGTATCCGTGGACCTTCACGGTATTCCTATCCTAGTCCAGGTATCTAGTCTCACGGCCAACTCATTTATTCCGGCGGTTCCGACGTGGCCTCGCTATCGAACCTGAGCTGCTCGAAGCCTGGCAGGTACAGGGAAAGTTGACTCTGCAGCTGGACGTCCTCGGTGTTGTTGGGTTACTAGTGTTTCTTTTTATGTAGTTTCTTGTTGTGTTCTGCTCTGTCAAGGAGAGGGTTGCAGGTCATCGGCAATTCTATATCTAATGTCGTATATAAATCATTATGGAGAACAGCTACTATGTAGAGGGTTGAATGCGGTGTATATTGGAGTAGGTTCATGAATTGGCAGTAATCTGCTGTCTACCTAGGCAGATCCACCTTCAGAGTTTAGCTAAGCGTAAATCCATAACTATTTATGGTATCAACACAAATTCATTTATATTGGTATACTGCATTGCTGTAAGTAAAAAAGAAAAAAAGAAAAAACAGAGAAGCAAGCTCATTAAACTACAGTGCCCTGGCATCGCTATTGTCGCAATTCCTAACCCAGTCGCACACCAGCCTGGCGTTTCTTTTTCGCCGTCTCTCCCATGGCGTTGTTCATTCCCGTGCGTTGACTGCTGTCCAAGGCACTCATTGCCTCACGCTTCTGCTCTTCCTCGATCTTCTTCAGTCGCTTCTCCGTCTTCATCTTGCCGCTGCCCTTGCCGTGGAACTGGTGACTCAGGTGCTTGAAGGCCTCCTTCTGGTTCATCGCGCGTCCGTACTCGTCCGTGTACTTGAGCTGCACGTCGGGCTTGTACTCTCGGTTGAACACCTCTGCCATGTGACGAGCATCCTGCTGGTCACGCTGCTTGTTCTCCCATCGCGCGTACTCTTCTCGCTCGCGAGCCGACATGCGATCCAATTTGCCGGAGGCTCGGTCGCGCTCACGCTGCTGGCGCGCACGCTTCTCGGCGTCGGTCTCCATGCGCGTCTTTTCGTTCAGGAAGCGTTGACGATCACGAACAAGGGACGTGTGGTCCGCGGCATCGGTTGACTTGACCAGGCCACGCTGCTTGAGCATCGACAGCGTCGCGCCCAGGCCGGAATCGAGAGTAGCTTCTTCCTCCAGACCGGTACCACTGATTTGCTGGTTGGCCTGGGATTCGTCGCGCTTGATTCGCTCTTTCAGATCTTCCTCGTCCTCGATATCGTTGTATACCCCCATGTCCACATCGCCCACCTCGTCTTGGGGCTCTTCCTTGACAGCTTCTTCTTCCGTGGTAGCCCGTGGCTCTTCGCCGGGTGTCGTAGTCGCCCGTTCGCGTCGTTCGGGCAGCGTAGGTTTCTGCAGGTTGGACACAAATTCGGTCGTTTCATCAATGATCAGTCCAGGTTCTTCCTCATTGTCTCCAGGTGTCTCCACTTCCATCGGGGTCTGTGATTCCTCTTCTTTCAGTTGTCGAGCAAGGTCTTCGGGACGCATTTTCTGTCGCTTCTTGAAGGCAGCCCGTCGCTGACGCGTGAGCGAGGCTTGTAGGTCATCGTCATCTACGAACGAGACATCTTCTCGGGTCGGTTTCCGGGGGGCGGGTGCGGGGACCGGCTGACCATTACTCGTGTCAATGTCCATGGAAGCACCATTCGGCGTCCCTGTCGATTCGCCTGCGGGGAATATATCCTCTTCGTCCAGGACAGCTCGTTGTTTGGTGGCCTTGGCCTTCTTCTTCTTGGGTTTCTTGACCTTGATCTCGCTCACGTCCATGTAATCCGACGCCGGCGTTTCCGCGGCGAAGTCAAGGCTGATAACATTCTTCTTCAACTTGTCGGACACCTCCTGGCGCTTGGCCTCTCGCTCTTCCTCAGTCGAGCCCTTCGTGTCGAGAGTGAACCGCTTGCGCTTCTTCCCATCTATCTCCTCGTCGTATTGTGCCAGAATGCCGGTGTTCTCCGCGGTAGGATCGTAGACCGGTTTCTTCTTCTTCAGCTCCAGCTTCTCCGCCGTCTTATCTTTCTCCCTCAGTTCAAAATTCTCCAACTCATCGCCCTCCTCTTCGTTCTCGTCCACCGTCGTATCCTTCAGCGTCAGAATATGTTCCTCGCCGCCTTCGAAATCCCCAACGCCATGTCCAACCTTGATTCCAGCCAGATCAGCAGCCGAGTAATCCGCCGCCCGTTCGCGCTCCTCCAGCTCCTCGGCCAACTTGCGCGCCCGCTCCTTCTCAATCTTCTTCTGCTTCTTCTTCGACTGCAGCAGCCACGTCTTCGTATCCACCTCCATATCATTCGACTCGCCCAACGTAGCGCCCTGCAGCTTCGCGTCCCTCTGCGCCTGCTCGCGCGCTTTCTTGATCGCGGCGTTCCGCTCCTCGCGCTTCCGTTTCGCCTCCGCCTCCTCCTGCATCTTCTGCCAGTTCGACGAGGCCGCCGCCTCCCGCGACTCTAGGGTGCTGCCGGGCTCGTCATCGCCGGACGCGGAGCTGGAATCGTCGGAGTCGGATTCCTGGAAGGCCAGGCCGGCGTCGGCGCCGGGTACCGGGAGGGGTTTTAATCCCAGGGCCACCCGGATTTTGTTGTTCTGTTCGATGGACAGAGCGTCGGCCATGGTGGCGACTTTAGTGGGTAAGAATTAAGTAGAGATGTATCGAGGAGAGATCGAAGGTGGCGGTGGGGGGGAAGACAAGTCGACAATGAAAGGTGAAGGTGATTGATGATAAGGAAAGCCCAGCCATGCAAACCAAACCGGAACAAAGCAAGCCAGACCAGACCAGTTCAGACAGCCAGGACCAGAACGCCTTACGTAACCAAGTGACCAACCCAAGCCAGCCTCGGTAAGGTTTAGCGCGCAGAAAACTCGTTAGCGCGTCCTTGGCGCCGACGATAAATAGGCAGTCGCCCATCCGCCCATTTCTTTCCTTTTCCTTTTTTCTTTCTCATGAACAAATTCACGGATCTGTGTCCAGCGATCCTGTTCACGATGAACGCTTCGGCTGGATTTGTGTTTCGGTTGATTACTGGACAGTTCGACGTTATACGGGGGCACTGATTTTTCATCTTGGTGTCTGGCTTAATTCCGGTCGACAGATCTCAGATTAAATGTCGGCGTTGGGTATCATTCTGGTCTTGAGCTCCCGCTTTTGGTGACGTTCGGCTGGATGGCCTGATGTTCGACGGCGCCATATTCCTACTCTCTTCACCGAATCGACCGTTGGTCGCTGAGGTTAGAGAATAACCATGGCTTGCCAACATTCCTTTTTCTTTAATGCTAGATTTTGTAGTTATTGTGTAGGGGTTTGGTGGTTGTGAATACATGTGTGCATTGTAAATATATCATGAGCTCTGCGGAGGACATTCATGTATTTCATACGACTTGAAGCGTCGAGTCCGTCTGCGACGTGCAGGCTAGCTGGAAGGAAGCTTAAATGTTCGATGATCTTGAAATCTTGGCTACTCTGCCACGCGAGGACGCGACCTCGTGAATCTTCGTATTGGTTGATTGAGCACTAAGAAAAGTCATTCATTCCCTCGCTATGATCTAATATATACACATTCCCATCCCAATCTACAACAACTTCAAATGCCCCGTTACACCATCCACCACGCTCTTGGGTCCCAGAACCCCCAGCACCGTGCGACTCCCACTGGCGATCTGAGTCCGTCCGGCATCCTGTATCACGCGCGCGCAAAGACCCAGGCTGATGGCCTGCGCCTGCAGCAATTGCAGCTCCTCTTCGGATTTGATCTGCAGCGCAATCTTCGCTTGGCCCTGGCGTTCCCAGCGGCGCAGGATCGGGGAGTTGGGAGTGTAGGCTGTGAGGTATTTGTAGCAGGCGAGGGTGGCATGGGAGCATTGGGCGGCGATTTTTCCTGCGTAGGTTGCGCGTTAGCTTTGGGTCTTTTTTCTTTGTCTGTAGGGTGTTTGGGTTTGGCGATAGGTTGTAAGAAATTGATTGAGCGAGTCAACCCTCCCTCCCCAATCGTTTAAAGATAAAGCGAAAAATAAAGAAAAACCAACCCTTCGTCATGCCCAAATCCGTCCTCACCACCAGCACCAGCTTCACCTCTTCATTGTTCCCCTCGAAATTGGCCAATTCGCCGCCGTCGCCTTCCTCCTCGCTATCCTCTTCCTCTTCCTCGTCGTCGTCTTCGTCGTCGCCCTCCTCATCCGAGGAGTCCCGGTGCACCTTCACGTTGTAGCTATTCGGCCAGCCTTCCTTCTCTTTGGTCGAGAACAGGCCGAGCGAAGATCCCTGGCCGAGGAAGTAGCCCGTGACGCCGGCGATGATGGCAGTCGCGACTACATAGGCGGTTGTTGACGGGGGTATGCGATCGAGATCGGCCATTTTGGGAAGGATTGAGGGGGTGTGAGGGGCTGAGCTCGAGGAAGATGTTTGAGTCGGGTTTTTTTTTTTTTTTTTCTAGGATGGTGATTGTGACGTTGAGCGGGTAGCTTGGATTGTCATGTGACGAGATTTGTTGGTTTTCCTTGTAGATTTTCAGGGCCGAGATTTTTGGAGAGCAGAGAGTAGACTATAAACGAACGGAGGCTAGATCTTGGGGAAGCGCTTGGACGTGTGGTCTTTCAAGTAATGTACCTAGTTTTACACAGACCACTGCTTAAGCCTCGATAGTATGTATCATTTCCAAGTCAAGATCTTGAATTATCGCCCCTATCGCTCCATGTAATCTACGATCCGAGCATTACAAAGCTACATTATCTCGTGGAAGCGTGAATGAATCCCATTCCCAAAGCAAAACCTCTTCATTTCTTTCTCAATAATAAAAAAAGTAAAATAAATTAAACCAAAATAAGAACCCAAAGCGTCTCATGGAAAGATGACCAAGACCAAGCAATATCCATTTTCTCCTAAGTGCTGCTAATTCATTATATATACATCCCTGAACATGGCAAATCGAAAGGTAACATCGTCATCCTCATGAGCAGCGATGTCTAATTAGCGCGAGCAGCGGGGGCCTGAGCAGGAGCTCCGGGGGTTCCAAGACGACGGCTCCTAGATTGATGGTTAGCGACATCAAGTCAAGCAGTTACACCGATGGGCCTGGCTTACATCATGGTACGGCTGAAGAAACTGATACCAATCATGAAAAGCCAGCTGGGGATGGCACTGAAGCCATAGATGACATAGCCGACGGGGATCAAGAGGCCGTTCTGGGCAAGCCAGCTATCCGTGGGGTGGAAAGCACCCTCGTAGGCAGGCTTGTTCTCGTACGTCTTCTCAGAGTGGATCTTGTAGATTGTTTCGCCGGTCACTGTGGTCGTGTTCAGGTTCACGGTGTGGAGCGTCGTGGGAGGACGCTCCTCGCCAAGCTGAGCCTGGGGGACCTGGAAGTGCCAAACGGAAGGAGCACCGGCAGACCAGATGGAGCACAGAACCTGGTTCGACTCACAGTCCAAGCGACCGAGGTTGGGCGCGGTAGGATCGGCAGAGAACAGTAGAACGGATTCCTAAATCGGAAAGCACGGATCGTTAGTCACTATGCACCTGGCCTTGCCCCTATATATTTGTGGCCCTTACGTTGAAAGATTTATCCGCCTGGTCACAGCGTCCGAAGCAGGTCTTGTTACCACCGGTGATATAAAGCAGCCAGTTCTGAGGGTCAGAGGCAGGCTCGAGGAGGGTCTGCCAGTTGCTCAGGTTGAAGTTGGTGACAACCTTCTCCTGAAGCTTCTGCTCAACCACCTTTTCGACGTGAGGGATCACGGGGGTGGCGGTTGGCAGGTAGGACTTGGCCTTGTTGAACCAACCCTGAACACGGTCCCCGATGGGAACCTGTTCTTGCGCCGCAGCCAAAGCTGGGAGGACGGGGAGCAGCTGGATGAAGCGCATGATGCTGACTGGCGAGAAAGCGAAAATAAGACGCGTTAGCGACAGGGGAACGCGAAACTGTTATGATTTGACAGAAGGGAACTCAAAGGGTAAACCAACCTGGGCTGATGAGATAGAACGAGGGGCGCACTTTGGAGGGAAAATGGACGATTCAGGAGGCCAAAGTACGGACAGCAGGCAGCGAGGAAGACGGGCACCTGGGTTGTGGTAGAATGAAACAGCCACGATAGACGTAAGTAGAAGGCCGAGAGGCGTCGACAGGTGGCCTAACTTAATCGGGCAAAGGCGAATCAGCAGTTCCCGTCGGTAGCGGGGAATCCGAAGCCCATGGAATCCCGCTAATTTCCATGGGAATTCCTGGACTTCTACGGAGTACACCGTCAACTTCGCTGGCTCTCCTTTGAGTTTGCGCATTGTCATGACCTGACAACAAACCAATGCATCATCATCCACGACTGTTGCTCGAGTCTTTGCCGGAAAGTGTCGCTCCTTGCTTATGTCACCATGATCGCCGACAGCGTAGCTAGCAGCCTCGCTAGAGAGTACGAGTCATTCTGATGCGATGAATGTTTCATAATTAGTAGACAGTGGAAGCAATGAATATCCATGCTTGCCTCGTCGTATCCCTTCCCCTTTGGGGTTTTGAGCATCTTTCTCGAAAGGCTCACGGACAATCAAGATATGGTGCCACTTTTTTAGGGCCAGCCATGTGACAGCTGACAGGGGAACAACCATGGAAGATCCTCAAATTCAGGGACTACCGGGGTGTTGGCATAAGTTATGAACATTGACATAAGATGGGGTCTTATTCTCACGACTGCCTGGTCCCGTCGTCCATTGCGCCTTCTTGATTCGGTCCCTGTCCCTTGCTTGGCCATGTTCATACATTACAACATGGTTGCTTACTTCCCGTTGAGATGTTTAGATGCACACAGCATGATTAGTCCCGTTATAATCAATCCTTGGCGACATTAGGAAAATCATTCTCTTATCAACAAATTGGTGGTATTCCGATTATTCACTGTCCGCATTTACTCCTTGCATATGACATCGCGCGATGCAGCCATTCCAGATCTATCGCCATGCCGTGACGGCCACGATGATAGCGGCGGCATTCCTCATGGACAAGAGCTTCGGTACTGCTACTGAATATGACAACGGTAAATACCTTTGCTATGAGAAGAGTGGATGCGCTACTGACGAGGCATATAACAGAACGGTTGAACATTTCTACCGCCGACTCTCACGGGAATCTGTCCTCACATCACCACGAATCCCCTCCGGGCGATTTCCCCATATGTACGGATGTGAACGGGACCTTCGTACCCTTCTGCCTTCCCATGGATGGAGCAGATGTTCATGTCGACGCGACATACTATGTGACCTGGAACGCCGACTTCTATCCCCTCAACGCGACGATTACCATTGAGCTGAGGTATTCGAACTCGACCGAGGGGGATTCGGCTTTCACCTCGGAGAAAACCGACAATAGCTACGGCTACATTCCTATGCACATGCATGGAGAATGGCTACAGGGAAAGTCGCAGAATGCATTGACATTCTATATCATCGAGCTTGATCTTGAGTCGGATCGACGAGCGAATGCTCAGCAGGGACCAACCATCATACTTCGGCACAAGCCCGTTGAGCATTGGCAGCCTTCTCCCCAGTTACCATTCAACAAAATGGCACTTTATATCGGACTCCCCGTAAGTCTTGCCGTTGTAGTGGCCGTTGTACTGGGCCTATTCTTTGGTATGCAGAACAGAAGAAAGATCGGGATTGGGAGTATCATGGGCTCTCGAGGTGCCGGATATGCGGTCGGAAAGTCCAGGAACCAACGCATGGGTCAAAACCAAAAGGAATCCGAAAGTGATGGTCCGCCGCTTTGGAAACAGTTCACGGATGAGACCGACTCGACCCTGCCCGAGATCAACCAGTCCGCCGTGTTCGATGACCTGGAGCGCACAGCAAGCTACGCATTCAATCGGGATCAGTCCAAATTCAAGAGCTGGAAATTTTGACGGGGCATTGGGCTCTGTATGAATTAGTGTGTTGGGACGAGATGAAGTAACACCGTTTTGCATTCTTTCTCGCTATGACACGGGAGTAACTGAGTAGTTCGTTTGGGGAGTATGGATTAGAATAAACATCAACAGGTGCATTAGTACAACTCCACAATTGAGTCCAGACGGGTGGCATGAGCTTATTGCCTAGGTTTTTTTCTTTCTTTTTTTTTAAAAAAAATAATTTTTTATTGCCTTTCCGCCTTCACTGTAGTCTGTACACCGTACTGGTGATCCTTTGAGGGTCGCTGGATTGTCCTGACAAAAGGAGGCGGTCTGGTTACCCAGCAGAGGCATTTAGGGATCCAACCAAGAGACTAGTAAAATATCCAGCCAACGAGAAGGGCAAGAAACCAGATTAGTACGAAAGTGTAGGTATCCAAGGTGACCAACGGCGGTGTCGGAGACGATGACGTTCGCGGAAAGAAAAATTGGAGTCATCGCGATGGAGAAGATTAGTTGGTTATCTCACCGGGTGATATCATAGTCCAGACCAGACAGTCGGTTAGGATTCACTAAGATGATTATTATTCAGGTTGTCCAGTCTAGACTCGACGTGCAATATTTCCATGTGCTGTCTACGGAGTATACTTCTATCTTATGTTGATTAATGCTGACTTTTTAGACGTTTCCTCGGTCTCAAAATTGATACGCATCATCGACGGAACCAGCGCAGGCAAACCAATTCTGCCGATGTCGGGTCCCTCAGCTAGACCCAACCCTATCAGAGGGACCTTTGTCTACTAGAACGCACTAAAACCGCTGTATTTTGAATTTCGCAAATAAGGTGATGATGCATAAGCGAAGTATGAGTTCCTACCACTTACTCAGTCGACCTATATGCTCCCCTCGAGAGGACGGATGGCAAATTTCTTTTGGTTTGGGAGTAGAATCTGCCAGTGGCAAAGTCGGTTATAATTACGCCGTACAGCAAATAGGATGAACAATCGGCAGCAGGAGTAGTAATAGCCATGACTACTAGACCGTATCGAGCCCCGGGGAAAGCGCCAGGGAGGACTTGGCTCCCCACACAAAGCGCAGTTCGGCGAGTGAAATTTTCATTTTCTGGGCCTGAATCAGGAGTGGCTGAAGGGCGCCTTCTAAACCCCACCCACTTTTTGGTCGCTCGCGGCCGATGACTCTTCCCGGTCTCCCCTGCAACTTGCGCTGCTCTGCTTCCTGCATTTTTAAAAGTACTCGTCTGGAAGATTTCCCTGTGACTCACTGTTGGTTAGTATTCTTCTTCTCTTCCTTCCTTTATTTACCCCGCCTCTCCTCTTCCATCCTTCCCTTCCAATTGTCCAACTTCATCCCAACTCGCCTCGCATCTACTCTAACATACTAGTTACTCTCTCAGTCTACCCCACCATCCCGCCTTCTTTCCACAATGTGTCCCGGTGCAGACCACGAGCCCAATGGGCAAGCCAATGGCGTTCCCACCGATGCCAATGGTAAGAGCCGTTACATCTCCTTCCTACATATCCGTACCTAACCATTCTGCAAAGGTGAACACCCCGGCTTCACGGCCGTCGAGACCCGCCAGAACCCGCACCCCTCCGCTTCTCGCAACCCCTACGGCCACAACGTCGGTGTGACCGACTTCCTCAGCAATGTCTCGCGCTTCCAGATCATCGAGAGTACGCTCCGTGAGGGTGAGCAGTTCGCCAACGCTTTCTTTGATACCGAGAAGAAGATCCAGATCGCCAAGGCCCTCGACGAGTTTGGTGTCGACTACGTGAGTCATGGAAAGACCGTTGACTGTTCACGAAGTCCCTATACTAATCACTCGCTTTGCTATAGATTGAGCTTACCAGTCCCTGCGCTTCGGAGCAGTCGAGACAGGACTGCGAGGCCATTTGCAAGCTCGGTCTCAAGGCTAAGGTATGTTGCAACCCTACGGAATACTGCGATCTGCTGCTAATTACCCGCAATAGATCCTGACTCACATTCGTTGCCACATGGACGACGCTCGCGTTGCTGTCGAGACTGGTGTTGATGGAGTGTAAGTGGACTATTACAACAGCCCAACGCATTGAAAAGCCATTGTCTAACTAGGGACTAGTGATGTCGTTATTGGAACCTCTTCCTACCTCCGGGAACACTCCCACGGCAAGGATATGACTTACATCAAGAACGCCGCCATTGAGGTCATCGAATTCGTCAAGTCCAAGGGCATTGAGATCCGATTCTCCAGTGAGGACTCTTTCCGTTCGGACCTGGTTGACCTTCTGTCCATCTACTCCGCCGTCGACAAGGTTGGCGTGAACCGTGTCGGTATCGCCGATACCGTTGGTTGCGCCTCTCCCCGTCAGGTCTACGAGCTCGTCCGTGTCCTGCGAGGCGTTGTGGGATGTGACATCGAGACTCACTTCCACAACGATACTGGTTGCGCTATTGCCAACGCCTACTGCGCTTTGGAGGCCGGTGCCACCCACATCGACACCTCCGTCCTCGGTATTGGTGAGCGTAACGGTATCACCCCTCTCGGTGGTCTCATGGCCCGCATGATGGTCGCCGATCCCGAATACGTCAAGAGCAAGTACAGGCTGGAGAAGATCAAGGACATTGAGGATCTCGTTGCCGAGGCTGTCGAGGTTAACATTCCCTTCAACAACTACATCACCGGTTTCTGTGCCTTCACCCACAAGGCCGGTATCCACGCCAAGGCTATCCTCAACAACCCCAGCACCTACGAAATCATCAACCCTGCCGACTTTGGCATGACCCGATATGTCCACTTCGCTTCTCGTCTGACTGGATGGAACGCCATCAAGTCCCGTGCTCAGCAGCTCAACATTGCGATGACCGACAACCAGTACAAGGAGTGCACGGCTAAGATCAAGGCTCTTGCCGATATCCGACCCATTGCTGTCGATGATGCCGACAGTATCATCCGTGCCTACTACCGCAACATCAAGTCCGGAGAGGACAAGCCCCTTCTTGATCTGACGGCTGATGAGCAGGCTCAGTTTGCCGCCAAGGAGAAGGAGTTGGCTGCTCAGGCTGCCAGCGGCATCCCCGTCTAAACATGACGTCTTCTACCTTTCTCTCTATCTCTCTTTGCAATTCCTTTTGGAATGAAAGATTTCTTCGTGTGTTTTTTTTTAGAGCTTTGATCATACTCCCTCAGCGGCTCCCAAGAAGGGAAGATCTATTTTTTTCTCCTTTGGTTTGCTCTTTTTTCCTTTATGATCTGATGTTATTTATGTGTCTCGGGATTCATTGGTTATGGGGTGTTTAAAAGCCTTCTTTTGTTGTCTCAACGAGAAAGAAAAAAGGATGGAGATTCGGTGTTTGTGTCCTGGAAGGACCTTGTATATAAGCAGGCCGCGAAGTGGTTGGCTGCATTTCCTACAGTCAACCGAATGGATAAATTTGGTAGCTTTCAGATCTTTCCATGTACAATATCTACTCGTAGTATAGGACAGCGGTCAAAGTCTTTCTGTGACCTGGAGAAATTCCGTGTCTGCAATCTAACGGGATTTCTGGATGCCTGCAAGTCATGCAAGGTTGCATGTGGGAACCGAGGCTGCTTTTTAGTCATTTCCTGGCACATCCGATCTTCCCACATCTTCTCCTTCCCCGTCCTTCCATCGTCGTTCTTTCTGGAGGACGTCCCCCCCTTCATTCGTTTTCTTCGATTGCATCCACGTCAACATGGCTTCGTCGGTTCTTCCGGTTGCCCTGCAGAATAAACTGCTTGGCTACCGCCGAACTCCTAACGCGCAGTTGGCCGCCCTGAACTTGGACCTGTGAGTTCTCCGCCCCCGCTCTCAGTTCCCCGTTCTCCGTTCGTCGCGCTTGCATTCTAATCAACTAACGTCGTCAACACAGCCTTCGAAACATTGTCTTTATTCTTTTTATCTTCCGCTGGGTCCGCAAGGCGTTCTACGCTGTTCGTGGTTATGGTATCTTCGGTAGCATTCGCAACGTTTACGCCGCCGTCCGTCTCTTCCTCTACTCCGTCTTCCTCCGAATCCCCGGTGTCCGCGGACAGGTGGACAAGCAGGTCTCGACCGCGATTGAGAATCTCGAGACGAAACTCGTGCCGACCGGTCCTGGTGTTACGAGATACTTGGAGCTCCCCAAGGAAGGATGGACACCCGAGCAGATCCGCGCCGAGCTTGAAAAGCTGGTGAACATGGAGCATACCCGATGGGAAGACGGTCGCGTCAGCGGTGCCGTGTATCATGGTGGATCGGACCTCCTGAAGCTTCAGACCGAGGCTTTTGGAAAATTTGGCGTGGCGAACCCTATTCATCCGGATGTTTTCCCTGGTGTTCGCAAGATGGAGGCCGAAGTCGTGGCCATGGTATGTTCCACTCTACCTGTCCCTTTGAGGTAGACATGGTGGTTGATTGATGGAATAGGTTCTTGCTCTATTCAACGGACCCTCGGACGGCGCTGGTGTGACTACTAGTGGCGGTACTGAATCTATCCTGATGGCCTGTTTGGGGGCTCGTAACAAGGCGTATGCGGAACGCGGTGTGACCGAACCCGAAATGTGAGTCGACAGGCTTTCTTCGCATGCTATCTGTCATGAGACGAATACTAATTACCACTCAAGGATCATCCCCGATACTGCTCACGCTGCCTTCATCAAGGCCTCGAACTACTTCGGAATCAAGCTGCACCGCGTGCCCTGCCCGGCTCCGGAGTATAAGGTCCACATTCCCTCTGTTCGTCGGTTGATCAACTCCAACACCGTTCTCCTGGTCGGATCCGCGCCGAATTTCCCCCATGGAATCATCGATGACATCCCTGCTTTGTCGCGACTGGCTACCACCTACAAGATCCCTCTTCACGTGGATTGCTGCCTGGGTTCTTTTGTTATTGCATTCCTTAAGAAGGCTGGATTCCCGTCGCCCTATGAAGAGGAAGGTGGATTCGACTTCCGTCTTCCTGGTGTGACTAGTATCAGTGTCGACACCCACAAGTACGGATTCGCTCCCAAGGGCAACTCCGTGGTGCTGTATCGGAACAGGGTCTACCGTAGCCACCAGTACTTCATCTACCCCGATTGGTCGGGTGGCGTTTACGCATCTCCATCCGTGGCCGGGTCCCGTCCTGGTGCGCTGATCGCGGGCTGCTGGACCAGTCTGATGAATGTTGGTGAGACCGGATACATCAACAGCTGCTTGGAGATCGTTGGCGCCGCCAAGAAGTTTGAGAGCACCATCAAGGAGCACCCTCTTCTCTCCAAGAACCTTGAAATCGTCGGCAAGCCCATGGTTAGCGTCGTGGCTTTCACAAGCAAAAATGGCGGCGTGGACGTCTATGACATGGCTGACGCGTTGTCCTCGAAGGGGTGGCATCTCAACGCCCTCCAGTCCCCTGCCGCTATCCACGTAGCGTTCACCATTCCCACCGCGTCTGCAATCGATAAGTTGACCACGGACCTTATCGAGGTCGTGGAGAAGGAGCTAGACAAGGCTGAGGAGCGGAAGAGGCAGGGCAAGTCCTATGTCATCAAGCGTGGTGACACGGCGGCCCTTTACGGTGTAGCCGGTAGCATGCCGGATAAGAGTATCGTGAGCCGTCTGGCAGAAGGCTTCCTTGACACTCTATACAAAGCATAGATGGGCTCTCTTTGCTGAAAGGATTCCATTGTTAATAAGTCTATAAAAGCGAGCTGTTTATATGGGGATCTCGTCCCGGACTTAATCGTGTCCTCGCTCTAGAACATAGTCGGTAATTTGGAGTTGAGGTGTCGCAGTTGGGCAATACATTATTTGATTGAGTTTGGTGGGAGTACATCCCAATGATGAATTTCAAATTGGTTCAATTGCCACGTGGAATCCAAATCTCAATATAATATGATAACATAGTATGTATAGTACAAGAAGTCGTTCAAACTCGACCTCATCCAACGAGACGAGATGATATTCCCCATATCTCGGCACCTCAAAATAGATCAATCAACACAATCAAAAGAACAAAATCGCTTCATGCAAAATAAAAGAAACAAAAAAACGGACATAGAGAGGGCAATACGCCGTTCTCATTCCAAAAAAGTCTTAACCCCCTCTAGCCAGAAACCAGCCAGGCCCCTCAATTAAAGTCCACGAAGCAAAGCATCCTAACAGATCTCCGCTTAACCGATGGAACCAGGCAGACTGGCAGACAGATAGACAACACGCTCATTGCTTCCGAGTCTCCGAGTTCCACACATGACGCGCCTGCGTCTCAAGATAGTATCCGGGATCGGGCTTCCGCTCCAAATGGATCTCCTGCTTCGATAACCGTCTATCGACCTCCTTGACCTCGACGAGTTCCTTGACGCGCATGATCTGACCGGCCACGGACGACGAGACGGGGTGGAAAACGGTGCCCATACGCTTCTTGAGACCGAGCGCCTTGAGCACGTCTGTTGTTCGGCGGGGCAGACCGATCGCGGAGCGGACGAGGGTGATTCGGAAGTAGGACATTTTGTTTCTTTAAACGGTTGAAATTGGAGGTAGAATTGAATCCGGTGTGGTATAGGTATTCGGTATTTGGAGGAAGTTCGGATCGCAAGGTTCGCAAGGTTCGGAAGGTCGTGTGTTTTTTCTTCTTCCGGGTTGACGGATTGCGAGACAGTCAGGTTCGGGGTAAGTGAGATGAGTTTAGATTTCGCTGATAGGATCTTAACACTTCAGCGAGTTTCGGGGTTCGAGGATCGTTCACTCCGCGGCAGACAAATGAAGCTGGGGAACCTGTCGGAATATCTCGAAGAGCGCGGGATTTTTGCCTTCCCGATTCAGTCTCGGCCAGGGCGGGGAGTCACGTGGGCTGTGTTCTGCCGTGCCGTGGGAGCGATGCACCAGACTACATACATCACTACCTCGACGGCGATTCTAGCTGGAAGGAGCTGGATGCTAAGGTAGCTGCGCTGTGCATTACCCATTCTTGTGTTTTCTTTGTTATTTGACTGTTCATCTTGCTGGTCAATTTTGAGTTCTTTAACTCATTGACATCTCATGAGGGGTTGCCGCGCATACTGACTACTTGTCTATTACATCTGCATCAGGATACTCCACTGATTTAGTTTCGTGGCTTCAACCTTCGGACAAAACACTCTCGGTCGTTTCGTTTAATACACACGCACGCACGCACACCTATATACCGTCACTATGGCGCGTGCGGCGGACCCCGACGCTACGGTAGCCATGCCCCGGCTCGAAGACATCCTGCGTCACCCCGAAGACCTCGACAAGATCGCCGGACTGAAGGCCGAATACTCGCGCAAGAAAGCCGCCGTCGACTCACAGCTCCGAGAGGGCCTCCGGAGCCAACTCGAGTCTGTACAACGCAGCATCAACGCCCTCACGGAAGGCCAACGGCAAGTCTCGAAGACCAAAGACGAGCTGCAGGGGATCGACAAGCTCTGCGCGGAATCGCAAACCAGCGTCGACGACTTCTCGCAGATCGATCGACTGGCCAAGATCCAGCGGAACTTCGAAGCGATCCTGACGATGAAAAAGGGCCTGGAGAACTTCAGCGAGGACCTGGCGGAGGTGGAGTCGCTGTTGAGAGAGGATGACGATGATCTGGAGAATCAGCCGAACTTGCTGCGGGCGCACATGCAGATCTCGCGGCTGCGGGACTTCCGCGACGAGGCGATGGACCAGATTCGTAAGGTGCAGGACCCGAGCAGCGAGTCGGCGCTGGATGATTTCTTCCAGGGTCTGGACTCGGTGATTGATTGGTTTGATGACCATCTAGGCACGGCTTGTATGAATATCATCCCGCTGGTGCAGTCGGATAACCCGAGCATGGTGGTGCGATTGGCGGTGGTTGTGATGCATGAGGAGAAAAACGACGAGACGGTTCGGGCCCTGCAGGAGGCGCAGAAGGACCATCAGGACCTGGCGGGTCGGTTCAAGTCCATGAATGTCGGTCCGAAGACGGTCAAGGGCTACAAGGAGAAGTTCATGCAGGCGATCGAGTTCTACGCGCAGAACCAGTTCGAGAACACCAAGGAGGATTTCCTGGGCAACCCGGACAACCTGGACAAGAGCTTCCGATGGTTTTTCAACGATCTCTTTACCGTCCAGCAAGGCATGCAGTCGTTGATGCCGAAGAAGTGGAAGATCTACAAGACGTACACCGATATCTACCATCGGATGATGCACGATTTCCTGGTCGGTCTGATCGACGACCCGGAGTTGCCCGCGGACAACTTACTCTCGATTATCCACTGGACCGAGAAATACTACAAGAAGATGAACAAGCTTGGTTGGAAGCAGGCCGACCTTCGACCTAACGTACTCGACGACCGCGAGCCTGATCTCATTCGGAAGTGGCAGAACGTTATCATCAGCGCCGTCGAGGACTGGATGGACCGAATCACAGAGTCCGATAGAAGGGGTCTGATCGAGAGATCGCCCGATGTGATCGAAACCAACCCCGAAGGCTTCTTCCGGACCAAGACTCTCCCCGACATGTGGCGCATGATCCGCGAGCAGATCGTCGCCTCCAGCTCCTCGTCCCGCGCCGATGTGGTCGAGGGCATTATCGACGCCATGTTCCGCGTGCTGAAAGCCCGCCAAACCACCTGGCAAACCCTCATCGACGAAGAATGCAACAAATACAAAGCCCCCGGCGGCGACCAGCTCGACGGCCTGCAGCTACTGCAGGACTACCTCGTCGCGGTGGCCAACGACCAGATCGCGTGCATCGACGACAACGAAGAGACCGGCCAGATGGGATACCTCTCGCGATTCAAACGCGATCTGGAACCCATCGTCGACCCGAAATACATGGCCTCGCGGGCCCTGCCGGAGCTGGACGCCCTGCGCGACGGCTACGTCGACCTCAGCACCTACTGCCTCTCGCAGTTCGTGGACACCATCTTCGCCACGGACTTCCGCACCACCATCCCCGAGTTCTTCACGCAGCGCTGGTACGGCGATTTCGCCATCAAGCGCATCACATCCACCTTCGAAGACTACATGGCCGACTACAGCCCCGTTCTGCACCCCTCGCTCACCGACATCCTGGTCGAAGAGCTATCGGACGAACTGCTGGTCCGCTACCTCTCGTCCGTGCACAACCGTGGCGTCAAATTCCGTCGCCACGCCGACCCTTACACGGACAAGTTCAAGGACGACGTGCTTACCGTCTTCGCCTTCTTCCAGAAATACCCGGACTCGTTCGCCGGTACCATCAAGGACAAGTGGCGCCTGGTCGAGTGGCTGGTGCGTCTGCTGGAGGCCGAAAAGGGTGCTCCCGTCGTGGCCGTCTACGAGAGCTTCAAGACCGAGTATTGGGATCTGCAGCTGTCGTGGGTCGAGTCGGTCTTGCGGTCCAGGGATGATTTTGAGAGGAGTATGGCGAGTGCTGTGAAGGCCAAGGCGGCTGAGTTGTCGGTCGAACGCGGGATGGAGACTGTGATGGGCAAAGTGCGATAGGTTGGTTTTGTTTTGTTGGATGGTTGGAGCTGCTGTGGGCAGAGAGCATGGGATATCATGGCGTCTTTAGGAAGCGCGGCGTTTGGTGTTCTGTTCAGTTCCGTTCTGGCATTATCATATTTCAGCTTCAGCGCGGCAGACAGCCTGTGCTGTAGGTAGACAATGTAAAACACATCTTATATACAACACATTCGATTCTACTATAAAACAAGGTATATCCAAGCCACAAAATACTTCTATAGAACCGACCACTTCCAAATCTAAAACCCAACCCCGAGGATAGGTAATATCAGAAACCCAAACCCCTCTGCGCAACAACCATATACTTCTCTCCCAACCTCGCATTCAACCCATCCTCGTCTCCTTCAGGATCCAATTTCTTAGCCCCCATCTCACAGATGCAAACAGAGTCGATAGGGAGATCACGAGCCCAGACGAACGGATTCGGAGTGCCCTTCTCGACTGCATCATCGAGGTCATCATTGTCGCGCCGAACAGCTTGATCTTGACCACTATTTTCTCCGTCTTTCCGACCACCGTTTGCTGTGATCGTAGTACCAATAGTTGAAGGTCTCGGTATCGTTCTATCGCCGTCAAGATAGTAATCTTTGTATCGCGCAAGCAGGTCCCTCGCGTCAAACGAATACGGTCCCTTCTTGCGGCCCTTGGCCCCGCCCAATCCTGGGGATCGGCCCCTGAGGTAGATGGTATTGACGACCGTGGCGTGGAGGAGGAGCGGTCGAGGTTTCAGCTTCGGGACCAGAGACTCTTGTTTCGACGGCGTGTTCGTGAAGGCGGGGTCTGCTTTCCTCGCCACATCTTCTGCTATCTCGACGGGCATCGCTTCGAGAAGAGAAGACTGCGTCTCAGCTAGACGCTGTGACGTTGCGCCGTCATCACTCCCTGGAGATCTTGTCTCCGCGGAGAGGTTCTGCTGCTGCTTCTGTGACGTATCCTCATTCTTGACCTTGTCCTGTAAAAACCCCGCATCTAGGAATCGATCCCTCAACAGCTCGCAGAACGGATACAGTCGCGCCGTCGGGTCCACCGGGGCGGCATATAATACGGTCGCCGAGCGTGCGCGCGTCTGTGCATGCAATGATTCCAAAGAGACAGTGAACGGGCTGGGAGTAGTGTGGTTCTCGTCATTTACGTTTTGTACCGTCTCATCATGCGCCGGCTCATTCGTTTCATCTTCGGATCTGCGAGGTCCCTTTCTTTGTGCGCGGGCGTGCGCAATCGTCTCTGCTTCTTTAACCAGTGCGACTAGGTCGAGGGACTGTAAATGTTGAATTGCGGCGTCGAGACGCTCTTTGCTGGGGAGGCTCATTACACCGAGGGTCAGGTGGAGGGTGCCGACGGGGCGGATTGCGGCATCGGGAATGAGTGGTTGGGTCGGATCTTGAGACTGGGCTTCGCCTTGGTGGGATGTTGTCGCAGGAGGGATGTCGGCTTTGAATGCTGCGAGGGAAGATTCGAGTTGAGGGAGAGACGTGGAGTTGACGAGAGGGAGACAGAGGAAGTGGGTGAGTTGCGGTCGTTTTGCTTTCTTTGCGCGGGGGTTGTTGGGTTTGGGTTGTCGCGGTTGCTGATGCTGGGAAGACATTGCGAGGGAAATGCTTGAATGAAAAGATCGGATTGTCGAGTTCAGCAAGTGTCTGGGGACAGATAGAGGCCGGAATGGCCTGGAGAAGAAGATCATCTATTGCCTTTGGTGATGATCGGGACGAGGGTTTATGCTTGGCTCTGTGGCAGATGTATGACGTCGCGCATCTCTAGTGGAGTAGCTTGAAGAGAAGTGCAAAATGGGAATAAGAATGGGATAGGTATAAATCCAACAATAAATTGAGCATCAAGCCCCTCGATCTAAACAGGTCTGCACAAAAATATCCCGAATAAAAGGTAGACGGAAGAGTTGGAGAAGGAAGGCCGGCAAAGCGGAGAAGGGCAAGCTATGATGTGATGATCACCACTCGGTCCCTTCCACTCCTCTTTTCCCTCTTCTTTCTCCTCTCCCCGGACCTCCAAACCCGCACTCCATTCCCTCAATCACTTCCCATCGATTACAAACACCACTTCATCTATCCGCTCTAGACACCATCTAAGCCATCACCATCCACCATGCTCTCCCGCATCCCCCGCGCTCTTCGACCCTCTGCCATCCGATCTCTCCGCGTCGGCCGCATCACAGCTCCCGCAGCTTCAGCTCTCCTCCCCCAGCCTCAGTCTCAACCGACACCCCTTCGTCGAGGCTTTCACGCCTCCCCTTCAATCCGCAAGGGTCTTCACCCTGAATCCGCAGATCCTCCCGCCCCAAACCCCCAGTCCAGCAATGTCGCCGGCGCCGCATACCACGTCACCGAGCCGTCGCCGTTGACGGACGGCGAGTACCACGAGTATGCCGAACACTATCTGAATGTGCTCGAGAGGGAGGTGGAGACCTCTCAAGAGGAGGGGTCGGAGATGGAGGCGGAGTATAGCGTGAGTTTTTCCCCGGGAAGGATTTCGGAAGATCGGAGGACAGGAGTAGCTCTTTCTTGTCCTTTCTCTTTTTCTCTCTATCTTTCTATCTTCCTTCCTATTCCACCTGCAATGCTCTTGTAAAACAATACAATAAGCCCATCCAATTATGTCCCAAAAGCTAACACCCTCGTTTCCCAGGCCGGAGTCCTCAACATCAGCGTCCCCGCCGTCGGTACCTACGTCTTGAACAAGCAGCCGCCCAACAAGCAGATCTGGCTGAGCTCGCCGATCTCCGGACCCAAGCGCTACGACTGGGTGGTGGTGGGCGACCAGATGCACGAGAAGCAGGACACGCGCCCATTTGTCAACGGGCAGTGGATTTACCTGCGCGACGGGTCGAATCTGACGGATTTGTTGAACTCCGAGTTGACGCTGAACATTCCGAGGGATGTGTACAGTGAGGAGTCGTCATAGATCTTTAGGGCAGGGGCTTGACGTTTTGACGGTTGTTTGCGGTGAGTTATTGCGATGAGGTGGTTGGTGGGTGATGGGATGTATTTGTCGAGACATATGTGATGTTTATGGCAATGTTTTGAGAAAGTGGGAGAGGAAATGTAGGATACAGGATATGACGGTCTTTTTTATGTTTGCAGGAAAGAGCAAGAGAAGTTCATATATTTCGGCACCAGGGACTTGTTGGTCATACTGGATGCGCAGACATCAGAAGTAAATGTTACAATAATACTATCGCTGGTTTTAACATTCCGTCAAAGAGCACTTAGACTGTAACTCTGTTTCTTCAGACCTTGAAGCCTGGATCTGAACCAGTATGACCATCGAGATATAAATCCTTCTCTCCGAGCAACCAGCTGTCCTGGGGAATCAGCGACTCCGAATGAAATTCCAATCACAACCTTATCAATCTGCCAATTCCCTCCAAAGCAAGCCCTCCGATTCCATCATGGTTCAAGCGATGCAGGATACAGCCCCTCGACTGAACGATCAATATCCGAGAACAGTGGCCAGACGCCTGGACGTCTGGATGCCATCCCGCCCTTTACTCTGCGACCCCTCTCCCTGGCGGGGGTGATAGACTCTGTCGCAGAGACAGCCCCGAACTTTAGCCATGTTATGTTGCCACTAGCAGACAGATCGACGACCCAGGCGTCCAGCCAAGGATTCTTTTTGCTGTTTCACTTGACCTCCCGATAGATGGGCGTAGCGTAGCGAGAGAAAGACGCCATACCGTAACTTCAACGGCAAGTGCGCGTATGCATTTGCATAAACCAAGCCCACGACATGTAATCCATATGCAACCCCGAATCTCAATCGAATGGAAACAAATCCACTCGTCTCCGGTCGTATCATTTAAGCCTGCACGGGCACGGCGCCAGCCGATCCATTCTTATCGTCCTGGGCGAGATCGGACTATTTCCAGCACAAGCACATGTTAGAAACGGTCGCTGGACAAGACAAGACATAAGACGAGAAGAAGAAGGGGAATATACCGGATCAAAAATCACACGAATCATCAAGCTGCAGCTAGGACACACGGCGATCTCCTCGCCGTCGCGCAGGTCATCGATGGCGATCTCGAATCGGTCGCCGCAGGGACACGGGTAGTGGTAGATTTGGACGGCGGGGTCGAAGGTCATGTCTTCGATTTCGATCTCGTCATAGATGGAGAGAGCGTCGTCGGCCATTTTGATATTTGGAAAGGTTTTTGGGTGGCTTTCTGGTCAAGCGAAAAGAAAAAGAAAGGGCGTGGAATATTAGTCTAAGAACAAAGAGGGATGATTTGATTTGATCTTATCGGAAAACTTTTGGCGGGTGGTGTCAGGTGACTGCGGGGTGGCGTTCAGCTCTTAGCAGTTCTTAGCAGGAGTATTTGGCTTATCATCCCATATCTGTTGACGGATCATAAACAACAGGGGTATCTCGCAACAAGCTAATCAAAACATCTACCGCCGCAATCTCTGAATCTCCGACCTCACCTCCTCGATCTCATCGAGCAACGTCCCATACCGACGCGCAATCTCCCTCATCGGCCCCGATCCCAAATGCGCCTTACTTCGCGTTCTGGCCGCAGGGGCCTCCGAATCCACATCCTCGTAGGCCCTGAGCTCCTCCCGCGCGAGTGCCTGGCGCTCTTCCAACCCTTCTCGAGTATCCTGCAGGTGTTGACGGTATCGACCGAGCGCGGCGACAGTCTCGGGCGTGTATATCGTTGCTGAAATGTCCAATTTCATGACGCTGTGTCGGTTGATCATCAGCCCTGCTCAGATTCTCTTTTTCCCTGTTATATCAAAGAACCAGCCGAACAGACATACCTAAGTTTCCCTTCCACGCCCTGCGCCACTGTAGCCAGATGCTCGGCCTTCGCTTTCGTAGCCCGCGCCAACGCCCCGTGTTTCGCGCGCTCCAGCAGCACCACAGTCCGTTCCATCACGGCTGCCCTTGCCGCCACAACCTCCGTAGCCGTCGCGGCCATACGGGCCCGCGCCGCCGGGATCTCCGATAATTGTAGTTGTCGAAGGCTTCGAGCCCGCTCATCAAGTCGTGACGAGAGAGGAGGGAGGCGGGCTACGGCGAGACGGCCTCGGGCCCGCGATCGTGTCGGCAGCTCCGTCGACTGTCCCGAGCTCGTGGGATCGCCCGCGTTGGCGATCTTCCGCAGGTCATGGAGGATATTCGATAGGCACTTGGAGAAGTGCGGGATCAGTGCCGCGAGATTGGAATAGAAGGCGTCGATGTCCGGGGCGAGTAGCGTCAGCGCGGTTGCTGTGTCGCCTGGGTCGGTTTCGATGTCTAGGTGTCGGGGGGAGGAGTCTAGGTAGAGGGATACGATGGCCACGGGGTCTCGATCCTGTTGGTATAGATGTAGTTCGTGTCAGTGGTGATCAAGAGACGCTTTTCGCTTTGGTATGTTCTTTGAGTTCGTTGTTCGCACCTCATCTGAGACTCCGCTGTCGGGGTCGAAAGCTAGCTTGCGGAGGGTCTGCTTCTTGATTTCTTTCTTTGCATGGCGAATGCGACAGTTCTTCAGCTCCTGTTCAAGTAGAATGCTATCAGACGTGCATCGTTTATTAAGTTTGGTTTCAAATCCTGCCAGATCGGGGGGGTTCTTCTCAAGCCTACGCACTTCGAGGGCTGCTTTCCGAGCCGGTTGCGTATCGTTGGTGCGGGTCGATCCATCTGGATGAAGTAATGTTGTCGTTAGATGCTGGTGAAGTCGTTTGAATTGGGGATTGCTCTCTAAGATTGCCGGATCACAGGGTGGAATCATATTGGGGGCTTGGCAAGGAAGATGATAGATGAAGGGTTCGGAGAACTAAACAGAACCCGGCGTGTTTGGGCTGCGTCACCGCCGAATCACTCGCCGATCCTCGCCGCTACGATGACCGAAACTCAGCATTATCAAGTCCTGCTCTACATGACCTGCTGGAGTCTGTAAAATATGCTTAAAAGTACAAAAGCTTCGGCTGTTCGCTTCCATTTTCACATTTCTTTCGTAATCATACATGCACTTGGTGCTATCGCAACCCTCTTCCCTGTCACCGAAAACCATGTCGATACGATCTCGCCGCAAAAAGGGATCAATCGTCTTGTGCTGACCCGGGGTACAAGGAAAAGCATTCCGAGCTTCATCTTCGCGGGTTCAGATGATTCCTCTTGCTCAGAGAACCGACGACACATTCAAACTTCAAGTAACCCAAGGTATCAGTCCCCAGAGTATCCCATTCTGAGCACCATGCCTTCGTGTGAGCAAGGGGAGGAAGGGGAATTAAGGACGGAGAAAAAGGTGGCAAACGAAAAGGGAAAGGAGAACAGGCGGAGAAAGGCAGTTAGCCACGCACAAATCATAGGAAAGACTATGTTGTGTGCTGACATAGGGGGATTTCGCGAAGATCCGAAAACGCAGTGCCAAACGGAACGTGGAAAATCCAGACGCAGCGTTAAGAACTCGAGGAAGGTAAGAAGAAAAAGAAGAAAGACTATGTACAGGAATCTTCTGCGCCTGATGCGTAGATAAGACCATCTTCTAACACCAAGCGGGTCGCTAAAAAAAAAAAAAAGGAAGAAAAGACAAACAACAAAAGCTTCGTTTGGTAGCACACGCAGCTAGTCACGGCGATGATAGCTCAGGAATGAAAGTGATGTAGTAAAGAGAATAGTGTCTCAGTTTTCTCTTCACCGGAGCACTGCTCTGCCAGGATCTACTCCTCTTCACTCTCTTCAGAATCATCGTCGGAGTCATCGCTGCTTTCATTCGCTTCGACGGAGGGCATCGGATCGGGCGAGCGTCCACCGCCTCCCTGGAAACGGGACAGGTTGCTCTCCAGCATGTTGATCTGAGCTTCCTGTTCATACTTGCTCATGGGCTTGTTCTTCTTGGGCTTGGGAGGCGCAGCATGATGATTAGCGTTGGTGGTGGCAGGGGCTGGCGCTTCCTCTTCTTCCATGACCTGCGGTGCGTTCTTCTTGACAAACTTGTACAGCATCAGAAGAACATCATTGGGCAATTCATCAATATCAAGCTCGATTTCCGTCTCTTGGGTGCCCTATTCGATGATGGTTAGCTGCGGCTGCCAGATAAAGGTAGAGAGGGAATAACATACCTTGAGACTTGGAACATTGCTCTGGATGATTTTGAGGGCCTCTTGCATCTTCTTATCGGGAAGGCTACTGATGCCATTGGAAATGATCTGCTTCTCATGGTACCCGAGCAAGCGTTGCTTTTCGGGCTTGGAATGTTTCGAGCTGCTGCTCTTCTTGTCCTTCTTGGCCGGGTTGAGGGCGACGGGCTTCTTGGCCTCCTTCTTGCTGGCGGATTTCCCTTTACCTCCCCCTGCCCCTCCACCTCCTCCAATCTTCTTCGATCCGGGAGGGGTCTTCTTCTTCTTCTGCGTAATGGCATCTACTTGACGCGACATCTCCTCGATCTGCTTCTGCAACAGACTCAGCTTCTCATTTTCAGACTCGCTTTCCTCAGCTTCCTCTTCGCTCTCGTCGGAAGAAGCGGCGCTGTGGTGCTCTGGATGCGGCTCGTGTGCTTCCAAATAGCGGCCCTTCTGCGCCCATTTCTCATTGAAAATCTCCTGAAATTTCTGGCCCGCCAAATAGGTCGGATCACCCACGATGTTGAATTTGAAGCAGTTTTTGAAGATCTGGCGCATATCAAGCTCAAACTCCTTGGCGTTCTCATACTGACCCGTCTTCAATTTTTGTTTCATGGTCGACATATCCATCGGCTTCTTGATGATGCTGTGGTATGTCGGGATGTTCAAGGCGACCGGATCCACAGGGAAATAAAACGGCACGGCGTAGCTGTAATGCTTTGATTTGTGCAGCTCATCCAGCAGCTCCTGGCAGAACCTCAGTTCCCACTGATACTTCTTCTTCTTTGGCTTCGTCGAGTAAGGAAGATCTCGCTTGGGAGGGTGGATGGACCGTTTAGGCCGTCCGTCCACAGTGGTAGAATCGCGACGGATAGTCGGCAGGCCTTCCGGTCCCAGCGCGAAGGTTGTTGCTTGGGGCGAGTTACCAGCCGGACGCGCAGGGGGGTTGTGCCCAATACTTGTTCGTGGCTCCCTACGGGCAGCCGAGGTCTTTTGCGATATTTTCTTGGGTTTTTTTTCCTCGACCTCCTCGGGCTTAGGCAAGTTGACCATCTGTTTATCAAAGGTGGCCTTGAGGTTCTGTCCCTCCTGCGTAACGATGTGATCGGGGCCGTTGAACTGCAAAGAATTTCCCACCATAAGAGCAAAGTCATCAACAACTGCCTGCGCCGACTTGTACTCATTGTGCTTCAACTTGCGCTCGATGGTTCCAAGATCCATGGGATGCTTGATAAATTGGGGATAGTGGGGGATGTTCATCCTGATGGGGTCGACAGGCTCCCGGTAGAAACGTGAGTCTTTCATACGCTTGAGGCTCTGAATGCCCTTCAAAAGGAACTTGTGCTGAACCTTGGTCATGCTAGCATTTCCGTTGGTTTTTCGTTCCGCGGGGCCTTCGGTCGTGGGCGTAGGGGGCTCCGGAGCCTTGAATTCCACGGGCGCCGACGCCTCATCTCCGACCTTGGTACGCTTTGCGGCTGGCTCGTCGGCGGGATCTGGCTCACGCTCCCGCGACACTTTCGTCGGAGAGGCCGGAGCTTCCGGCGCATCCTTCATCTCGTGATCTATGGTCTGTAGGGGGGGGGCAGACGGCGCACTGCTGGCAGGAGCATCATTCGATGCGCTGTCAGGGTTGGCACTGGTGGGAGGGTGATGAGGAAGTTCAGTTTTCACCGAAGGAGATTCTTGAGGCTGCTGCGATTGTCCTTCGCCACTGGTACCAGACGAGGGTTCTTCTGCCGACGGCTTCGCAACATCCTGGGAGGGTTCGGGGTCACTGGGGACAGGCTTGTCTGCGCTGGCGCCGTTAGAAGGCTCCTGCGCGGTCGGTCCACTTGAAGTAGGCTTATCTCCGACTGTTTCTTTGGTGACATCATCGGTCGCAGCAGAATCCATGTTCGAAGGTTTAGCTGCTTCGGATGAAGCGGTTTGTTGAGGCAATGCATCAGCAGGAGTCTGAGCCGGGGACTTAGGAGGCGATGCTGCGTCGGCACCATTGGGAGGGATTTTCTGATCTGCGCCGTGGCCATTCACTACAGCAGGCTTTGGCGACGCGGGCTTGTCCGTCCCATTCACTGACGCGTCTGGTTTGGCATCGGTAACGGGAGTTTCCACACTGGAAGAAAAAAGAGACATGTCAGTGACCTCATAACATACGCAGCAAACAAAAGAGAGAGAAAAGAGCATACCCTGTGGGACCACCATCGGATACGCCATTTGGCGACGGCGGCAGTTGAGGCTTCTCCTCCTTAAGAACGGAAGGGGCCTCTGGAGGCGGCGTCGCCATTTGAGGTCGCGATTATGACGCCCGCGTTGGGGACCGGAATACAAAAGGATCTAATGCGCAACGAAGCAGGTGACAGCTGGCCTGAGTTATCGGAGAGGTTTTAAAAGCGACAACAAAAATAGAACTGAATAATCTCTGCGCTATCACAGACTAAAATGAATCGAATTTTCGTAACCGGCGAGCAGCAAAAAACAGTCCCTGATTAGATGACAGATGAAGCAACAGTAACGCTGTTGTCTTGGCAGTGAGAGGGCTGCGACAGCGCGACGTTAGAAAGGTACAGGAAAGATGAGAATTAGCGCGGGTCGGAAGTGGAGAATGCGACAGGAAGGAGGAATTTATATCGCCAAGAGGCGGCAGCCTAGGAATAAGTCACGTGGGCGGCGAGGTGGTGACTCAGCGGGCGGCAGGTTCGCGATGGCGGGAGATTCCGAGAAAGAAAGCGCAACAGAAAATAAAAGAAAAAGAAAAAGAGTCGGGGTGGAGAGATAAAAGGTTGATCAGGTGATCCGCGGCTGAGGAAATTACGAGAATCTCCACACGTGCCAGACCGAGTGCCTGAGGCCAGAAAATTAAACAAGCTCTTTTGGTTTGGAAAGGGGGTCCAAAAAAAAAAAAAAAGAGAGAAGGGAAAATTAAATAAAATAAAAAATAACAAGGTCAAGGGGGCAAAGCTGCAAGTAGTGGCCGGGATGGAAGGGGTGGCCGGGGGCGAATTTAAGAGCGCGACGCGAACTAGGACGCGTGAAGTCAAGGTCCAGGGGAAAAGAGGTGGTCGGTGTGGACAAGGGCGGTCAGCGGCAAAAAAGGGGATAAGGTAGGCGTGACCGCGCGCAGCTCTCAGCTCAGCTCCAGAAACAGAGAGTGAGGAAATCGGAGGGGGTGCTAGAATCCTTAAGTACGAACGGCCGCGTCGCGCTCGTCCGCCCTCTCCCGCTAACTCCATCGGCCGGGCTAATCCCAATTATTCTAGTTCAAGCCATTTAGCAGCCGCTGATTGGCTAGACGATGACGCGTTCTACGACCTCCCTGGTATCATTGGCTGCCGCCATCCACGATGTGGGTACATTCGTCCCAGAAGTCTTCCAGGTCGGGAATATCTTGGGAGGAAGGGGAGGGGGAAAAAAAAAGATTTTGTACCTTTCAGCTTGGTCATGGTCACAACAACAACTTTTTGGCACCAGCCTTATCAATGTATCAAATCGAATAAAAAAAGGAACAAAAATAAAAAATAAAAATAAAAATGAACCCAATGATCTTGACCCAGGCACTGGGCAACTTTCCCCCACTGTCCAACAGTGGGTCTTACCATAGGAAGCACGGCACCACCAGCGAGATTGCACTCATGATAGTGACATCTTGGGTGAGATCAGATATGACATACCCAAACATTTTTTTTGTTAGGCATTTATGGCGGTCAGTCGGTATAGAACGGGCTGCATCATTATTTGGTCCGGTTTGATTGCTACAACGCCCGATCCGGGATGTGGTGATCTGCTGACCAGCGGAAACCCCAGGGCTCAAGCCCTGAACCCTCTCCTTGCAGCGCAATAGGATTAGCGCTGAGGACTGATGCAACCACCTCCACCGCCCAGTCCAATCCGGTTCTGTCCGGCCAACTTCTCTACAGTTGCTGTACATACACAAGTAAACAGAAGGTCCAGCCTCATCTTTCTGTCTGATTTGCATTCCTTTTTGTTTGCTTGCTTTCTGCAACTACAATGTACTATCTGTCTGATCTATCGCTATTAACTTAATATGTACAAGTTACTGGGAAGCAAGATAATGCGCAGGTGGCGCCCGTCGCATCCCTTGTTTAGTAGTCTCGAGGGAACTATATATATCATCGGCACGGTGCTCCGTACATTTGGCCAAATCGAACGTGCCTCGCCCATCCTTATGACTCCTCGCTTTGTATGCAGTACAGACTACTGGTTGAAGCATGTAGCGTTTGAAACCCGGAGTCTGTGGATTTTTATGAGTCAACAGTCCATCACACAGTCATCCGGTCAGCCAGGCAGGCGCGGTAAACGGAAGCAGAGATGCCTACATACAACCAGAAACCTCCGAGCAGGGCAGGGTTTTGGAGTAGTACCAACCATAATAGCCAGAAGCAAACGGTGCTGGTATTGTAGGCGCTCTTTAGGTTGAGAATGCCTAAACTAAAACCAAAGACAACATAAAATAAAGAAACCAAAGAGAACAAGAACGGTTGTACAAGGACAAACCCAAGATTTGGGAAGTATGAGCAGGACATGTTTGATCTCATAGATCGAACAGCACTGGACCGGCCAGAGCCAAGTCGACAGAGGCGATTAGATAAGACGCAGACGCCGGAGCGGAAGTTCACAGGCGGCTAATCCCAAACGGGCCAAGCGCATCTGCCGGCTTCTACAGAACTTTTTTTTCAACACCGCCCAAGAGTCCAGCGACGGACTGCAGCTCAACTTACTTCTTCCTGTTGTTGCTCCTAGTCGAACTCGGACTAGATCTCTCTTGTTTTCTCCGGGGATCGCCATCTTTCCGGCTACTTTATTTTTTTTTAATTCATACCATTTCGCCTTAGGAATCCGCCGAAAATGGGGAAGAGAGTGTCTCGTCCGCCCGCTACGAAAACTTCCTCCGCCGCGGTATCTGGCGGAGCCAACGTGGGGAATAAGACTTCGATCTTACGGGCGTCGTTTGCGCCGTCGGACTATCAATTAGCGCTTTTTGCCTCGGTAATTCAGGGCCTGGAGGGTCAGCATATTCGAATTCACGACACGAATACCGGCCGACTACAGTGTGAGCACGTCTTGGGCCCTCGGGAGACGGTGACTTCTCTGGACTGGGGTTACTATCAGAGCAAGCCAAAGGAACAGCCCAAGAAAAAGAGAAAGCGCCACTCCGGTGTCAATGGAGGCGCCGATGGATTCGAGCAGGGAGATGTAGTCGTTGCGTTCGGCACGAGCGCCTCTGACATCCGGCTTTACTCCCCGACAGAGGACAAGATCGTGGGAACTCTATCGGGCGGACATGAAAAGGGAGTCAAGGATTTCAAGTTCACCTCCAGCCGACCCGGCCAGGAGGGATGGAGTATCGGCGGGGACAACAAACTCGTGCAGTGGGATCTGCGTACCGGGAAGCCTTCGAAGTGAGTTCTTCCCCGGTTGCCTAAACCTTCTGCTTGCCCAGCCAGCTCGGGTATCTAACCAGCATCTTCCTTTTAGAACAATTCCTATGCCTTCATCGTCGGTGCTCTCCGGTCTTTCGCGCCCCCTCCCTTCGAACCCTCCCGTTATCTGTGCATCAGAGAAGCCGTACATCGTCGACGTGGAGAATGACGTGCCTCCTACTTCGTTCTCGGACATGCGCAACCCCATTCAAACAATCCTCACATCCTCTACAGAGTCCGCAGCGGCAGGACTGTTCCTCGCCTCTGATAACGACCGGTTCCTCAACATCTATGATCCCCAGAGCCAGAAACTCCTCATGAACCTGGTCGCTGAGAACGAAGTGTCCTCGCTATCCCTATATACCGCCGCAGACAAGAAATCGGCCGATGTGTCCATCGAGAAGCAAGTTTTGGCTGTTGTGACCGAGGATGGCACAATTGAACTTTTCACGAGACCATTCGTGAAGCCCGCCGAGCCGCAGGGCTCAAAGGCTTCCAGCTTGAAGGCGAAGCGCCAGCTTGCCACGAAGCGGGCCGAGTCTTCCATCAAGCTCGTTCGTTCCGAAGGCTCGAATGCGATTGCATCCGTGGTCAATGTGCAATTCCAGGGCTCCGACCTGATTGTCGCCTTTGCCGAAGGAGGCTCCATTCCCGTTTTCGAGCGGATCAAGTGGCTTAACGAGGAGACGAATGAACTGGCATTTACCGGCACGAAGACGATCGTGAAGACCCAATCCGCCCATATCCTTGGATCGGCGACTACTAACGGAGCCAAGAACGCCGGCGAGATCCAGGTCGACGAGACCAAGGCGGGTGTGGAATCAGGAGCTTTTGCGGAGGACGACGTGGAAATGGAAGAATCTAAGCAGGATGCCGCCTCTATTGCCGACAGCGAGGAGGAAGATTCGGATGATGATGACCAGCAGCCCGAGCAATCCACGGAGAAGGCTGTCCAGAAACACAAAGATGCGGCCGACAGCGACGTTGATATGGACAATGCCCCCGGATCGGACCAGGAGAACGAGGAGGAGGAAGAAACCGGCGAGCCCTCCTTCGGCGAGCTTATGCGGGCCCACACCGCAGGAGAAATCGACGTTGAAGCCGAGCTGGAGGATGGAGTCCGCATTGGCTCTCTCGTCCCGGGCAAGCCCAGCGCCGCCGTTCAGCCAGTTCCCACGGGAGTCTCGCTGTCCACCGTCCTGACGCAGTCTCTTAAAACCAACGACAATGCCATGCTGGAGTCCTGCTTCCACACCGGCGACACTTCTATTATCCGAACCACCATCCAGCGACTCGAGTCGTCCCTTGCCGCCACCCTCCTTCAGAAACTGGCGGAGCGCATTTCCTCCCGCCCCGGCCGATACGGACATTTGTTGGTGTGGGTGCAATGGACGTGCGTTGCCCACGGAGGCGCTCTCGCCGGCAAACCGGAGCTTCTGAAGCGGATGTCGACCCTTTTCAAGGTCATGGACCAGCGCTCTTCCAGCCTGCCCTCGTTGCTCTTGCTCAAGGGCAAACTTGACATGCTGGATGCGCAGTTGGGACTGAGAAAGTCCATCCGCAGCGGAGCCGAAGACATGGACAGCGAAGACGAGGATAACATCATCTACGTCGAGGGACAGGAAGAAGAGGAGGAGGACAGCGACGCCGAGAACAAGGCCAACGCCACGCCGCGGACCAAGTTGATCCGCGACCAGACGTTCGACGAGGACGAATCGATGGTGAACGGCGTGCACTCGGGCATTGACGATTCGGACAACGAGGAAGATGAGGAGGAAGAAGACGAGGACGAGAACGTGCTGGATGTCGAGGCCGAAGAATCCGCCGGATCTTCGGATGCCGAGGAGTCGCCTGATGAGGACGAGGAGGACGACGAAGATGCGGAGAGTGCGGGATCGATGGCAGACTTTATCGCCGACACCGAGGATGAGGCGTCGGACGACGAGGGAGCCGCCGTATCTCAACAACCGCCGTCCAAGAAGGCCAAGTTCGGCGGAGGAAAGGGGAAGAACAAGGCCAGGTAATAGATTAGAGATATTTATACCCTGATCTTTCTCTGCTTTGGTTTTGTTTCTTTTTCTTTTTTGATGTTCTTTTTTGACCGCCCTATTTCCTGATCTCTTTATCTCTATCATTTTTTCTCAATTTGGATTTCTACAAAAGTAAGGAATACATTATGCATTCATGTGTTTTTATCTTGTCTTGGTGTTGGTCCCTAGTATAGATCAGGGTTTTCTTTTTTTCTTCTCTTCCCTGGCTTCCCTTGGAATCTGTATCTACTAATATTCATGAATGCCTGCATCCGTCTATCCATCTTGACACCAGGTCTATATAGAGATTTCAATCAACCATCAATCATTCCCTCCCCCAGACAAGCAAGTTGATCTAGAATAGCCAAATCACCACATCTCCTCCCTACACCCACCTCCATGCAAGACCCGATGCCCCGGGACCCCAGCCAACGGCACTTCCACGGCCACCGTCTCCTCATCCGACGGATAATCCGTCAAATGTCCATCGCTCTTGTCCGGCGTATCGAGCGCCAGGATTGCACCGTACTTCCCGCCCCGGATATACGCCTCCTGCGGGGAATGAGGGAGCGCGATGTGCGCGAGTCCAGAGAGGAAGATCACCCATCTTTTGTTTTCCCCATGGGATGGGGACTGGTTAGCTTGTTCTTTGGCTCTGGATTCTGGAACTAGTAGGGGCTTATGGGCGTGGTATGTCATAGGTAGGTAGGTAGGTATAGTACGTACTGAGCACTCGGCGCATTGTGTTGTCCGTTATCAGTTCTCGGCTGGATGACCATATACGAGACGTTTCCTGACGCAGGGCCCATAGCCTGCAGCATGTTCTGCTCGGTGCCGGGTTGCGTGGAGTGCGCGAAGCCAGGGGTCAGGGCCCAGCATTCCAGGGTGGATTGGTTGTTGTAGGCGCCGATGACGGTGATGTTTAGCGTGGAGTTGGTGGAAGCTGCGGCGGCGGCGGTGCCTGTGAGGGCGACGGCGCTGGTGAGGAGGTTGCGGAGGGAGACCATTGTGGATTGGAATTAGGTATCTTGTTGTTGGTCGTTGATGGTGTGGTGTGTTGTGTTCTATGGAGGATGGTACTTCTGGATGTATGTACGGAGATAGGTGGGGGCCGTGGAGGGAATGAAGGAGAGAGAAAATATCGTCATGTCTAACAAAGTGCGAGACCTCGAGTATCATACCCACATGCTGAAGAAGCAGAGGCAGATCCGCAGCCCGACTAGTGGGATTTATTGGAATCGGAGAATTGTCTGGCTGCAACTATTGGTGATCCATGTTCCGTCGGTCTCCATGCGGTGACGATCGTCTGAATAGCGCGGAACTATACTTACGGTGCACTTCGTCATGTTTCCATCTTGCCTTGAACCATTATAATACATATTTTTTCTGTTCAGTGGTAGGAATATTAATACCAATGATTATAAACAACGCAGACACTTCCTTCCCAAGTCGTGATAATGATGCCGTCTACCGGATGATTTCGCTGCCTGGTTTCTCCAATCCTTCCAGTCCGTCGAAAATCCCACCTCCGTTGGGCTCCAATACTGCTGTTTGTCTTTTCGTTGAGTTGCTCCAGACTTCGTGGAATTTCACGCTCTCGTCGCTGGACGCCACGATTATACATCCCTCATTCATTGTACGCGAGCACCACAGGCCCCCTTCCTTCGCTCGAGGTCGCACGGCTGCCCGTTGAGCGGTGTGCGTACGCCGGGCATTTCGTGTCCTTCGCTTGGGTCGAAGACCTTGTCCCTTAGAGGCTGAAGAGTCTCTAGAGTGTTCAAGTCCCCCGAATGCCCGAGGAGGCGGCCGCCCAGGGTAGCTAACTGCACAGAGAGCTCGACCACAATCGCCATGGGTCCCATTCTCCGGTCCATCCCAGCTACTCCCGTATGGCCCCCAGGGAATTGCCGCGATTTGTTCGCAACTTGGCCACGCAAAAACTGCGATTCGGAACGGATGCTCGGGCTGTGCAAACCCAAAGGTTGCAGCAAGTTCTTGGCGGGTCTGGCTCCAGATAAGACTCGTCACTTGAGCAAATACATTAATAGTAGCCAGACACGCCCCGGAGGGTACGTGATAGAAATGGATGGCTCGGTCGTTTGAGCCACCGCCGGTGGCTAGAAGAGATGACTGCCAGGGTGCGAATGCAATCGCCTTCACCGCTGCGGAGTGAGCCAGCCTATGTTTCTGTCGATTGGGCCCGACTGATGTTGTACGAGTACCCCCGTGAATAACAGACCCAACGAAAACGAGAAGGGAGGCTGACAACGACTCTGATTGATGAGAATAGGCCCATATCGGAGGCAAGTGGCTGACGAGGGGATATCTGACCAAAAGGTGTTGGCTGACATCTGAAGCCGATGAAGGAAAGACGCCTGGGATGTCTGCGGTGACTCCTAGGTCTCGCGCGGGGATGATATCGTGGAGTTCAAATATCAGACACACATTGTCATTACCACCGGTTGCCATAATATTCCCATCCGGTGACCAATTAATGCCACAGACCTGCTGCGTGTGAGCGGCGATTTTAGCAATCAGGACCATCGTTCCCGGCCAGTGGTAGTGGGCCCGGGTTTGATCGTCAGACCACTCGACTGAGTAGTACCAGATGTTGCCAGCATCATCGCCAACGGCTAGATCCTCCGTGTCTACCTCATAATTTCGAAAACGCTCTGACAGTCGGCGTGTTTTGGTCTGCTTGAACGCTACGCATGTGATCATGTCCGGTTGGCTAAGCTCAAACCGCGCTTCCCTGTCATATGTGCTCCATAGACATAATGCCCCTGAATGTCGACCTACCGCCAGGATGCTTCTACCGCCATTTTCTGAGGAAAATGCCAAGGAAGTCACATAATTTGAAGGATGCTGGGGTCCGAGGGGTGGATTTTGTACGCCATAGGCTTCAGACCAGAGATAGACGCGATGATTCAAGCCGACTGCGAGAGCCCCAGTGGTCGACGAATACGCCAGGGTGGTGCAGTAGAAGTCATCTCGCAGGAATGGTGCGTCTAGAATGCGAAACGGACGAGTCGGAACCACTCTTGCCTTTCCCTTTGTTGATGCTCCTATGGTCCCTATAATCCAGTATAATTAGCGCTTCGAGGCCAATGCTGGATAACAAATGCCAGAAATCAACAGACACGGTGAACAGTTTGCGCATCCTGATTTATTACGGATAGGAAAAAAAGGTTGTTATATGGGACAAAAGAGGAAATATGTATCGTTGATGGTTAGTGTTTGAAACTGGAACCTACAGTTTTCCCGTCCTGCTTTTGTCCAAACATTGTCTTTCCACGTAAACGGACTTCGCGTGGATCCGAGAAAAGGCCAGGGCTCGGACTGTTTCAGCAGTCTCGTTGTTGGGTCAATATCTAACGCAAGTGCCACTCTCGACTCAAACTTCTTTCTGTCCTCGGAGGATGCAAGATGAGGTATAAATCGCGCACTGTATATAGGAGCATTCGATCTGCTCGCAAGAACAACCCGAGAACGGGCAAAGTCTGCTATAGGCTGTTGCCCAACTGCTGCAGAATTCCCACCCACTTGCCACACAGCCCCATTGCTTACTTGTCTAGGAGATGTTGTTGCCGAACCGTGGTGCCTGCCAGTGGGCATAATCGCCGGATCGTTCACAAGATGAGGGCCATAACGAGTAGTATTCATGCGACCCGAGACAATACGTCGTTTGCTTATTAGGTTTCTGCGCCGTGCGGGCATGAAAGGGTCCTCTCCGGGTAAACGATGCCGCAACACTTTCTCTTCAGACGAGAGTTCCTGGGGAGCTTTGCCCACACGAAATGGCGACGACGGCGAGTTTATAAATTCGCGATCGGGAATAAACCTGTCCGGCGAGACTGGACCTGGTCCATTTTGACTCCTTGCTGCTGTGCTGGCAACGGCACCTCTTTTGCTCTTAGTTTGCTGTTTTCTCGTCGGAGTCTGTACAGTAAACGCAGATTGTAGTCTGTCCATTGGGGAGTGTTGTGAGTTGTCAACAGTCTGTCTTTCATTGATCTCCGTTGGGGGCGGTGAAATTGGCTTTTCGATGTTCAGATCGAAGAGATAAGGAAGCTTAGTACGAATATACTCTTTGGAGCGAACGTGATGCCTTGTCAGGGGCAGGGGAGTGAAAGCGAGATCGAAAGACGCCTCAGACTCATCGTCTTCGGAGGTGCCAGAGAAGAGCTCGGGGGGCGACAGGCTACCATCTGACGATGAATCTGGTGTGCGTAATGAACGGCATCCTGAAAGTATCATCCCTGTAATAGGTTGCAGTCCTGGCTGTATGATAAAACAATGAGTGTAGTAGAGTAACAAATGAAATGTAGAGTTAACTCTGGAGTATCCCAGAGGTCAAGGGAATGGAGCATCCAGGCTGATGGGTAAGATAGAGGAAAGGCCTTACTAGGCCCCAACAACAAGAGTGTTGCTATCAGTATGATGCATGGTTGATAACTGCGAAACTGCCTGGAATGATGGAGGAAGAAGCGAGGAGAGCGAAGAGAAGAGAAGAGAAGGACAGTATAGAGCGGGTGCACGTGACAGTGCCCGATGGGGAAAGTGGCAGCGGCTTCTCGTCGCAGCGACCGTCGGTCTTTCTGCTCCCCTCCCGTTGATCGTTCAATAACCTTTTATTCTGGGAGAATCGCTATTCCACCCAGTCGCCATGAGTGTAAATCTCTCCCCGGCCCCTTTCAAGTGTGCTCGTCCGCCCTTAACTAATGGCTGGGTCGGTAGCATGGAATCCCCCGCTACAGCGCGAAAGCAGAGCGGTCCGAGGAGGCACACCAACAAGAACTTCGGAAAATCGAAAGTTATCGGGAACTTGATCAATTAGTTCGCGGAAAGGTAGATTTCATCTGTTTCTAGGAGCGTGTAACTTGTGCCGGATTCTGATTCGGACCAGATCGCAGAGCATCAGTATACACCCGAAACGCTGGAGAAAATATCCGAATTACTGGGCAGAAACCCAGAGTACTACACCGTGTGGAACTACCGACGCCAGGTTCTGCGGCATGAGTTCTCACGAGCACTGTCAAACGACTCGGAGGTTTCTGCAGCTGATCAGATCACTGATTGTATCAAAAAGGATTTAATGTTCTTGATCCCGCTCCTACGCAGCTTTCCCAAGTGTTATTGGATCTGGGACTACCGGCTATGGCTGCTCGACGAAGCCAAGCGCCTTCTTCCACTGCCTGTCGCTCGCAGAATATGGGAAGAGGAGCTTGCGTTAGCCGGCAAGATGCTAAGTTTAGATAGCAGAAACTTCCATGGTTGGGGCTACCGGCACTTTGTTGTGCAAACCTTGGAGCAATTGACGTCGAAAGAGACCGGCAAGGATAGCATGGCCCAGACCGAATTCGAATATGCGAAGAAGATGGTCGGCGCAAATTTGTCGAATTTCTCTGCCTGGCATTATCGGACGAAACTCATGCAACGGCTCTTGGACGAGCAATCCGCCAGCGACGAGGAACGAAGAAAGATACTGGATGACGGTAAGGTTACCTCGTTGGCCATCCGCACAGGTGCATTGGCTAATGAGATATGGTCCTGTAGAGCTTGAGCTCATTCATCGCGCACTTTGCGACCCATATGATCAGTCGCTGTGGTTTTACCACCAAAATCTCATGTGCACCTTCGACCCGACACTGTCGGGGCAGACGATGGCTCCCAATCTAACGGATCCCGAGCGGCTGGAGTACATCCGACGAGAGATTGAGGAAGTCGAAGAAATGCTGGACGGTGCCGAAGACTGCAAGTACATTTACCAGGCGCTGATCGACTGTACGGTGTTGGCGTCCAAGGTGGAAGGCAGCATGAGCAATGATGACCAGCAGAAAATCCGGGGCTGGCTCTCCGAATTGAAGCAGCTGGACCCGCTGCGACAGGGACGATGGCTAGATTTCGAGCGATCACTGTGCAGGTGAGGGTCATCCCTTACCTCGATGCATGTAGGATGTAGGCAATGATAGCGGTGCTGCTGGGTCTACGCCATCTACTTATAGAAATTCGAGATGACGATAATTACGACATGTTAACTAAAGTTATCGCAAGAGATGAATAATTGCCTTTTCAAACCGGTTGGGATAAAGACTCCGTGGTCGCCTAGGGATCTGCTGCATGGCTGAGGGAAGGGGGAATTCGGAAATGTTTCAGAATAACAAGTGGCCACAGCGGCGTTTAAAACGATTGCCATCGGGACTGGGAATCCATGTCAATTCCGCTCTGTGGGCGAGAGAAGCGAAGGGACAATACGAAGTATAGAAAGAAACACCAGGAGACCCGCGGATTGCGTGTTGAAGGGCCGGCCGTGCGATCAGGCCATGGCTATAGTGTAGAGGTAAAACGGAGTAAACAAAAGATGGCAACGGTCGAGAAGCCGCCAAGCTTTCCCTCCTCCGTCTTTCTCCTCCAACGTTCCTTTCGCTTTTTCTTGGACCCCAAGAAATTTAACATCCTAAAAAAAAACAAAAAAAAAGAATACCTTCGCTCACTTGCATACAATCTCACGGGGCTCCTTTCTCGGGGGCGAATCGAAATTCTTTCGCCCTTCCCCCTCGTTCAGTTGGCCCATTCCACCGGTGGCTTTGGGACTTCCCTCCATTCCATCTAAACTTCCCCCCTTCTTCATCCATCCATCCATCCACCGTTGGCTGGCTGCCACTTCAACGGCTTTTTCCTTCAACCTCCCCCTTTCTCCTTACCATGGCCTGTCCGTTGCTCTAAAACCTAGCTTCGTCGACTTAAAATCTCGTGTCATTTTCGCCGTTTCGTGTTTTGTTCTCCTGAACTTTTGAAAGCGCCTGTCTATCGATTTGTCCGAACTCTCCCTGGGGGCTAGATTGAACACAACATAAGATGTCCTCCTCTAGACGAAACAGCGGAGATCACGAAGGGGTGAGAAATCGCGATTGTCTCAGGTCTCATTACAATGTCTGACTGGATTGTTTTTTTGTATTTCCATTTAGGACTCCTTCGACGATGCCCCCGAATCACCCGATACTCACAACAACCTCACGGTTTCCATCCCCCAGAGTTCTTCGACCCGTTCCTTAACAGACAGCCCTCCAAGTGACTCGGCGTCCACTCCTCAGCAGACCGAAGTTCCGGCGTTACCATCAGAACCTCATGGAGAGAATAACCAGAGTGAAGAGGAGGTCCATTCGGACCACCAGTCGGAGGCCGAAACCCCGCGTAAACAGAAAGCGCAGAAATCTCCCCTCCTGACCGCCCACCGACTGTCCACGACGTCTCTGGACGATGTCAATTTGGCTGGCGGGAGTAAGGACGACGAGTCGGAGTGGCCCAAACCCGAGGGCCTGGGCGCGGAGACGAAGAACGACGCTACTGCGGCGGTCCCTTCTAGGGATTCCGTATCTACTCAGAACTCGCAGATCCAGGGCCCACCGGCCAATTCACCGCCGGAAAATAAACTTCCAGCTCCTGCACCGCCTGCGCCTCTCACCCGGAAACTCACCGGTCCGTTTGCGTGGCTTTCACGGAGCTCAACGTCGAGTCGGGAGGTCAAATCGCCGCCTCCGCAAACAGGCCGCCGGAACACTGCTGCTTCTATCTCGACGATTTCCAGTAACCCTGAATTGGCAGGCCGATCAAACGACGAGGACGCGGACGGAAACCGGAAACCGAGGCGCAACAGTTTGAAGGATCAGTTCAAGCAGCTCAGAATGCGAGAAGAAGGGCTGGCAACGGAAAATGACGAAACAAGTGTCACGTCTGGACGTGCAAGCAACAGTCACTCCGCCGGAAGTCCTCCCAGCATCCCCGAAGAGGGTGAGAACGGTTCGGCGGCGGCGCCTCGTGCTGTGTCGCCCGCGGCCTCGCCGCCCAACGGAACGTCCACGATCAACCCCAACCTCGCACCGGGAACCGTATCCGGGTTTTCGACCTCCGCGACCGACGCATCGGTACCTGTCGACTGGGAGCTCTGGCAGCAACTAGTCAATAACGGCCCGCAGGCGTTGAAAGGCACCAATTCCGAAGAGTTGAACGCCGCCATCAAGCGAGGCATTCCACAAACGATTCGAGGGGTAATCTGGCAGATTCTAGCCGACAGCAAACCTGTCGAGGTCGAGGAGACGTACAGGGAGCTTGTCGCGCGCGGTACGGATAAGGAAAAGCAGCTGACTCCCAATGGCACCGGTGAGAAGGACTCGGCTGCCTCTTCATCGCGATCATCTATCCGATCGGAGAATTCTGCTTCCATCGCTCATTCAAACGCTGGGTCCTCTCCGAGCCCCTCCCAAGAGTTGGATCCTGAGAAGTTGGCAAAGGAGCAAGCGGCCAGCGAGACCGCCCGGAAGAAGAAAGCCAAGGACGATGCTGCGGCGCTGCAGAAGCTGGAGAAAACGATCCGCCGGGACTTGGGCGCTCGGACTAGTTATTCGCGTTACTTTGTGTCGCAAGGGAACCAGGAAGGCCTATTTGGCCTGTGCAAAGCATATGCCCTGTACGACGAGGCCGTCGGGTACGCCCAAGGCATGAACTTTATTGCGATGCCATTGCTATTCAATCTGGACGAAGTCGAGGCGTTCGCTCTTCTCGTGAAGTTGATGAACCAATACGGGCTGCGTGAGATGTTTGTTCAGGATATGCCTGGACTCCACCGCAGCCTGTACCTCTTTGAACGCTTCCTCGAGGACATGGAACCTGCACTCTGCTGTCACCTTCGCCGGCGAGGGGTCAATCCACAGCTGTACGCCACGCAGTGGTTCCTCACTCTCTTCGCCTACCGTTTCCCCTTGCAGTTGGTCCTTCGCATCTACGATCTCATCTTCGAAGAAGGCCTGGAGAGCACGATCCTGAAATTCGCGCTCGCCATCATGCGCAGAAATGCGGACGCTCTGCTGGAAATGAAAGATATGACGCCATTGACGGTCTTCTTGAAGGAGCGCTTATTCGATACCTACATCGACAAACAGCCTTCCGCATCTTCCATACTTGAATCGGGGTTCTTTGGCAGCTCCGGATCCGCCGACAAAGAGATCTATCGGGCGGACATCCTGGTGCAAGACGCCTGCGCCGTGACCCTCGAGCCGGGGCTGATCCGCGCCTACACCGCCGAATGGGAGGAAAAAGAGCGAGCCGAGAAAGAGCGCGACGCTGAACTCGACAACCTCCGACACACGGCATCCGCCCAAAGCGCCCGGATCCGGCTCCTGGAAGAACAGGCCGAGGCATCGGACAAGGAACATGTCCAGCTTGCGTCGGAGCTCGTCCATGTCAAGGTCGAAAACGAGGAACTGACCGATCTGAACGACGCCATGAAGATGCAAGTGACCGAACTCAAGATTGTGGTGGATAAACAGCCCCAAGAGGTGGAGGAGAAGCTCCAGACCGAGATGGATCGGATCATGAAGCGCAACGTGGAAGTGCAGAACGAGAACCGTTCCCTGGTGGAGCAGATGGCCGAGATGGAACGGGAGCTGGTGGAAGCGAAAATGAAATGGGCGGAGGTAAGCATCATTGTGCGAGATTGACGATCACAATTCAACTAACTGGGACATTCACAGATCCACGAGAACCACGAGAACTTGAAACAGAAATGGAGTGATCTCCGCAAAGCTCTTGGCTAAACCCGGATGAGAATTTTTTTTTTTTTTGGTTTGTATATTTGTTGGCCCGTGATATCCGGAAACAGCCCTGCTCTCGCCGCTCCATCAATATCTCTTGCGACTTTGATTTCGTGTACATTTAACAGGTCTGGGCATCTGTTCCGCTTACAGCCACTCCGGGCGAGGATAAAGCTGTCATTGTATCATCACCTCATCTGATTTCTTCCCCCCTTCCCACCCTTGGACATTGCGCGAACTACTCGGCTCGCGATCGTTATGAAGCGGCATCGTATGAAATATTCCTCACGCCATATATTGATGCACAACTCACCTATGCCTATGTTTATTGTCCCCCCATTCTACTATTCGTTTTTTGTTGTCCTAATTGGCACCGATGCATTTTCCATGTATGCAGTGTATATCATGAAATAGATCTTATTCAGGATATGATATGAAACAATTTAACCCTCCTTGCATTTCCAATCTATCAATTCATTCATTCATACATACATAGCCAACCTCCCCTCCCCTCAATCAAATCAAATCACACTCTCAAAGTACGTCGACAGAATATCCTCCTTCACCGGACCCGCGACCGCCCTTAACGCTTTATGCGCCTCACACTCGCTATCATAATACTGCATATCCTCCAGCGACGCGAACGTCGTCTTCACAGAGACATTGAAGCCCTTATTCCGAGGGTCCGGGAACGATTGACCCACGGCGACGTTGGTGATGTATGGTTTTCCGTCCTGGAGGATGGGTTGGGATGTTAGATGTCATGTACATACAGTAGGTAAACGTTTGAAAGTGAGATAGGTAGCAGGATAGGGTGGCTAAGTAAATAGGATGGACAAGAGCATGAATACATACCTTGACGGCGGTCTTTGCGAGAACCTTGTACTGTTCTAGGACGCGGAGGCGGTCTTCTTCGTTGGGGATTTTGAAGAGGGTGATGCGCTCGATGGGGGCCATTTTCTTTTGGGTTGCGCTTGCGGTTGCGATGCTGAGGTTGTTTGATGTTTGAGTTTCAAGAGCATTGAGTTCCGTCGGCAGATTGCGATGGTATAGAATCAGTAACTATAGTGAGGTAAGAAGGAAGTATGTACACCGTGATTTCAAATCTATCCACGTCCGTCCCGGTGAGACTAGCTTATATATGACATTTCAGGCACTGCGGGGTAGAACAAGACGGAATAGTACAGAGGGGTTTACAATTCAATAACTCCGGGAGAGAGAAAGCAAGTCTCAGCAGACAGACAAGGCAGACGAGTGAGCAACTCCGTCTGTTCCTTCGAGACTTGTCCAGGCTTCGGAACGGTTGGCCTCGGCTGTCCTGTTTGGGCGATGACGGAATCGCTGGGACGGCCGAATTCCGCGACGTTCGGGTATTTCTTTTGCAGGTCGGTTATACCTACGCTTATCCTGTGTAGAGAGATTATAGATTTAGAGATGAGAGGTTACATAGATTAAGATGGGTTCTGGTTCGTTTGATTAACAGAATTAGAATAATAATCTGCCTGTACTTCTGTAGATTCCCCCCGTTACGCCTGGCTCGCTCTCAAATGCCTCAAACAAGCTCTGGGAATCCCCAGCGCCAAACCCGTCGAAATTACTTCTGTTGGATGATTTCGGTGAACACCGTCGGCCGATCGAGGGCGTGTTTGGAGAAGATCTGAAGTAGGTAGCCTTTCTCGTTGAAGTACTAGCACTTGAAGCTTCTCCAGCATGTCGAGTCGACTCCATTCCATGGCTGATGGCCCACACAATGATCAATATCGATAACGTCGATTTGGGGCAAAGACCCATTACTGGGATCCTCCTCGGTGATCTTTTCATATCCCGGCAGGAACGGACTGGTATATCCCTCCCGATTGACTAGGGAGTGCGCTGTGTCTGCGTACGTTCCTATCGTCGCCAAGGTAATCGAGCCGTGCCCTTTCCCATGTAATATCGTTGGAGGTGAAATTGGGGTTGCCCCGTGACCAACAGCTTCCTTCTAGGCGGCATTGACATCCCCACTGACTCTGAAGACAACGTCCTTGACCCGGTCCCCATGTTTGGTTAAATGACCATGGATCTCGGCGAGCAGTTCAGCATCCTTCTCGGAGACAGGATCATCACATTCAAAACTGGGGCGCATTTCGGAGAGGTGAGGACAAAGACCGCATCGCCATCGGAGACCACGTATGATACTATGGAACGGGACCTAGTTTCGGGGCCACGATAGGCGATGTGCTTGAACCCCATCCGGGTAACGTAAAAGGATGCTGCCTGTTTGGCATCCCCAACGTACCAGGCGATATGGTCAAAACCCATGTATTCTGGGCCTAGGGTGGAGAGGAAAAGACTCTCATCGAAAACAGGAGTGACCGCCATGATGAACGGCTTGATTGAGAAATGCCATAAGGATTTGCGACCGGCAGCTTGATCTCAGGGCCATTAAGTATCCAAATAGCCAGGTAGCTAGCTCCATAATAGGCAATTATCTGAAAGGACCGCACGGGGTCTTATAAGATCATGCCGAGTTTGGTGGGCACCAAGCTTGTTCTTTGAAGTTTGGCTTCCGTCGGGACAAGATAGAAATGCCAGTTCCGGTAGCCGTAGGACAGGGGAACCAAGCCGAGCCTGGTAGCATCTCAGACCATTCAAGAAAGACCATCGAAGACGGTACCCGTGATCCTCCAAATGCCAGCAGCAGTTGATCGTTGCTTCCTTGTAGATTCCTGATCGAAACTTGAGAGGAGATATGACCAAAGAGTCATCCTCACTCCAGCACCCCGTAATCTCGGAATTTCCATCAGACCGTCAAAACCCTCAGAAAAATCAACTATCATTGACAGGCTCCGGTCGGTTCTTGAAAAGCAATTTAAACTTCACGATCTCAACGATTTCCAACTCTTCACTATCCGTATTCGGTCGCTTCTGAACCACAGCAAGCGGCTGAGGCAGCTTCTTCACCTCCCCCGTCATCCGCTGATATCTGCCCACATATAGATACACCCGTTTCATCCACTTGGTATCATCTGGGCTCGTAGTCTGGGGCGAGTAATCCGGGAACATGAGCTTGCCGATCGGGGTTTCGAACGCGGGGGTGTTGGGGTCGCTAGGATCGCTGGCTGTTCCAGCCGGATCAGACTCGTCTTCTTGACCGTCTTGAGACGGCACGTTGATCGTGCCCTGTAGCTCGAGGATTGCGAGACCGGAGGGCGTCTGAAGCAGTTGGGGGAGGGGATTGGCGGGGGAAGAAGGCGAGTCGACCGCGGAAGACGCGCGAGGATGAAGAGGGATCGAGGGCATGTTGCTGCAGTTTAAACCGGAATCAGATCTTCAATTCTCGATGTAGTGTAGAAGCAAGATGAGCTGATATGATTGCACGTCTTAGTCGGCACTAAGCAATGTCTTAATGGAGGTTCCGGAGAAGGAATTTGAGCGGAAGTTAGCGCGTTGGGGGTTATGATGTTATCTCAGCAGGATCGGCCCCTCTTAGTTATACTTAATCTAAATAATTCGAAACAACCAAGAACCATTTGAATTATTTCAATAAAATTATGTGAAGTAGATTTTTGCTTATTATTCTTTTTATAAACAACTATTAAAAAATATTCTGATCCCCATCAATGTAGAGGTTGGTCTGGTCCAGGCGCATGTAGGATTTGCCCACCGTGCCTCAACTAAGGCGCATACGACGCAAAACGCCCTCTATCATCTCTGTGACTGCATATATTAGACCGCGGCGAAGAGAGGGCCAGGAGCGTTGTCTCGATAACGATTTCCGGAACCCCTTCAGGGCGCGTAGTGCACTCTCCTGGTTGACCAACATACCCACACCTTTCAGGTACACGGGGGCGTCTGATATGCCCAATATCCACGACCTTTTCTCGCGTGATGAGAGATGCTTGTCTAGGCGAAGAGGATGACAGGGTCTATTACTGCTATCTACCTGTCCGATCCCCTCTACACCTAGGTTATAATAAGCCCAAATATAGAGTGTTGCAATGAGAAACGCCAGATGATGGAACCCGGATCCACTGACTGCATCAGAGATCATTGTATAGTGAGGCCGCATGAAGAAGGCTCTCTCTTGCGAAGATCGGGTTTTGTGACATCCATTGTGAGAGACTGATTGCCGCGATACCCATTTGCTCCAGATTGGCCTGCCACCGCTGAGGGCATATAAGCAACGCAGTGGCGTGCGTCGAAGGATGTTGGTAGTATGATAGGTTACCTTCAAAAACAGGCTCGGCGGGCTCTGATGTGCTGTCACAAGCCCCTCAAATCGCTCAATGATGGGATCACAATATCGATCAGTGGAGGTTTTCAGGGTGACAACATCATCAGGCCATTCAAAGAATGCTCGACCACGAGTATTGAGAATCCGTTCAGGCACAAACCACGGTTGTGAAGAACCGAAGACACGCCGTTCCTCAACATAAGAAGTGAGGAAAGTAACCAGGTCCCTCAACTTCGACGTATTATCAAATAGGTGGTCGGTGCGTGGAGGGTTAATCAATACGCTTCTCAGGCTTGATAGCTCCGAAATACCTGTAGGCAAAGGATAGTTACCACTAGCATCTCTAACTCAGAGATAGGAGAGTTCACTTACTTCCGCTTTCTAAGAGCCTTTGATGCCATTCTTGCGGACTGGAGTTCCATAGCTCGTCACTACTGGGGATGCTCGGGGGGTTCATGGCCTGCGGACTCAAGGCACGTCTCTGAATATAAAATGAAAGCATTCCGTAACTGATAAGAAGATCAGCTGTTGTGCCTAAAAGCTTTGTGCTGCCAGGCTCACCCCAGATACAATATACAGTTCGCCTTCACGTCTCTGCCAAAATCCATTGACGCCACGACATGTAGAGTCCAGAGGAAGAGGCGTCTGACGGGATATTTTCTCGTATTTCATCATCGGAGCCTATTGATTGAGCAAGTGTGGCTAGCGTGCTTTTCTGATACTGTGAGGTACGGATGTCGTCTTCATGCCTACTGAATAGAAGACCCACGTCCCGTAAAAGAAAACACTGAGCAAGAGCTAGTTGATGAAAAGAGGAAGGTTCCACGGCCTAGGATTTATTAGAACGTATGGACCAAAATCAAACCAGGGAGGGGAAAGGGGGTTAGTAGTATACGGTCGTGTTCAAAGCTCTTTGCAGAAGGCCACGCAGCCCAAGAAGGTAGACTTCGGAATTTGTTATATCAGAGTGCTGACAGCCGACAGATGCCACGGCCAGAACAAGGATCCAAGGTACGTTACCATCTTCAAATACAGAAGGATGCAGAAAGGGCATCCACGGGTCAAAATGCTCATGATACAGCTGGATCATGGCATTCAAAAGAGCTTGGCTGATAAAGGAAGTATCTTGGCAAGTGGCTTTGCATTGGACACATTGCTGGGTTCTCCAAAAGCCTAGCAGCAGTTCATATGTTGTCTCGGGGATTTTTGCCGTGTGACCAAAATCCTCAGCTGCGACAACTTCATCATCTTCCGGGAGCCTCTCCGGAAACCGAATACAGCTGCACTTTTTTGAAGCCGATCTTGTCTGATTCGCAACAAGGTTGCAGTTGCTTGAGGAAGAGTCTGCGTTGCTTAACGAGGAACATGCTTGATCGATCGTAGTTTCAGCACTCTGTGAGGTGCCTGATTGCTCATTGATATCTTGCTGACTGGTTAGAGGAAAAAGGTCAATTGCATGGTCGCCAACGTTGGCAAACGGCGTATTTTGGGCCCCTTGATTCGGCTCCGGACCATCAGGTGCAGTAATATCTAGTGGCCATGGATCTGCTTCGTTAGTGGCCCGCATGCTTAATGCGATAGTAGGCATCTCCACATGATGCTGGCTAAGCATGTCATGGCCGTCACCGCTCAACGAATCAAGCATAGACGCCGACGCCGGGTCAGTGTCTTGCGATTCCGTCACACCCTGAGAAATGGCCGGCTCGCGCGGGAGATTCTTTCGAGTACATCGAAGACATGGGCAGACTCCGTTACAACGTTGCTTGGCCCGGGCGCAATTTCGACATGCCCGTTGGGATCTGGGCCGTCCGTAGGTCCAGTAGCGACCATCATCAGCGTTTTCTGGTTGGTGAATGAATCGGTGCCTTGCAAGAGTGTCCCTGTAGAATCAAGGTTCCAGACGTCATCTCGAGATTCAGGATCTGGGGAAGGTCCTCGTCCAGGATGCGCACCTTCTAGAAAACGTACGGGAACACAGTTCGCATCGGAATGGTCTCAATCCCAGGTGACGGGATTCATGTCGCTGGAGATGCTCCTTCCGACTGAACTCCTCTGAGCAGTACTCACACGTCTAGGATCTTGACGAGCCGATCTCCATCGAGCCAGCGTTCCGGTTATTGTGGCCGTGGCTGGGACATCAGATTCCGAGCATTCCAATCATCGGCGATTTCGATAGGAAGCAAGAGGTTGGAGTCCCTCTGAAAAGAAGCGTCTCATCATCATTTGCCTCTCAGATCTTCGCGGTCCGCTTAGTCAACCTCTACCTCTCCTAACTAACTAACTATCCAAGGATAGAACCAGTTAGTTAACTAGTTAACTAACTCACTTGTGCAATGAGTAAGCGGAAGATACGTGGATCACCATGGGGATCAGTACCGTGCGGAGTCCCCCCGTCGGCCCGACGGGGGCTCTCTGATCCCACAGGAGTTCTCTGGCATCTAAACGTCATATTCTCTCATTTTTACTTCTAGATATGGAGAAGACCCCTTACATTAGAATCTTCGTATAAAGCAACACAACAACTATCTATTGCAATGGATGCTGGAGCACTAACTTCCCCAAGCCACGGCCATGACCCGACACCGCGAGCACTTGGTCCATGGCCTCTTCAGCACTTCCATTGAATATCTCCACCGAAGGGAACTGAAACCGCGAACCACAGTGTGTAACGGCGCACTGAAATGCCATCCATGCGCGCTCGTAATCTGCTTTCCGCGCAGGAATCGTGATCGGGTGAAGGACCCCCTTCAATTGGATCTTCACGTCGCTGTTCGAAGTAGCCAGTGGCATCCTGAATCGAGGACCCTGCTGCACAACGACAGATACAAAGGTCGCATCTGGGGAAACACAAGCCGCCATCGACTGCGTCGAGCCTAAGCCTGCTTGACTTCCCACCGTATCAAATCCCTGCAAGACTGGGCCCGATCCCTCCTGTTCCAAGACTGACTGAATATCCGAGGTGACATGGGGGCTCTTGTAGTCAAAGCAGCGGGTGGCACCCAGACGTAGTAAGAGTGGATGGTTCTGCGGTGATGCCGTCACAAGGCCCAGCACATACTTCCAGACGCATGTCATTGACGCAGCGTACCATGCGGATACATCGCAGAAGGTACCCAATGCTCATCCGCCCTGGGCATTCAGCGACGGTGTGGCCGAGCTGTATTTTGACTCTCCAGAGCACCTGATGCGCACCTTCCGATCGGAATGGGTCACCCAGAAGGTGGGACCCGACGGGGTAAACTTTTCTGACTTCAGCGCGGTGTTTCCCATGTTCGTGAGTGAGAATGCGGTGCCCTTACCGGCATCCATTGCTGGCACCCACCCGACGGACCAGCCGGCGGAGAATAATGCCTTCATCGCCATGTATTTCGTTGCGCTACGTGATTCGGAAACCCCGTCGGAGAACGGGAGAAAGAAACCGAGGACAGCGCAGCAAAGGATAGGAAAGAGGTCTTCACTAATTGATCTCCCACTCCACCGTTCCGAGAGATTGTCCGTGAATCGAGAGCTTAAGCATACCACGTCCATTGCTCCCGTCGAACCGAAACCTGAAGTTGATCTCCACATGGCAGCAAACTTGTCCATCCTCCACTTTTTGGTCGAACGAAGAGAAATTGATTCCCGCTCTGAAGCAAGATTTCCGTCATCTGTCAAGTCGGTCTTGCAACAAACCCTTGCTTTCTCCATATAGCCCTTGCCAATTTTTCGAAATCATGGTCTATGATTTGACACGGGGGGACACTTCCGGGAACAGGGGGGAGCACGATGTCATCAAGGGACAGGCAAAGTGGCGCTCCTGTGGTGACATACTCATCATTCTCGAGGGTAACACTGATAGCTGCTGTTTTCTGTGGGGAGAGCCGTCCTGGGACTCGGAAATTGTAGCCGTGTGTGGCAGGCCCGTTTTCCCACTTTTCTATCAAAATATGAGGCCGGTCCCGGTCGATAGATAGTAGTAATGCAATTTTGACTTGGCCTTGGGAGCGGCCAAGCCACCAACGGCAATCAACTCTCAGCCGACCCCGAGTCTCGCTGTAACCGACTTCCACTACTAGGGTGGGCCACTTGGGATCACGACCAGGGATCCGTCGCACCGGGAGATACGATTCGTCAGGCTCCTTGGAGTAGGGGCCGTCCTTGACGCGCCCCGAGCCTTGAGGTTCTGCTACCTCTTCGTCGACGCCAGAAGATTCCATGTGTCGTGTAAGTAGGTGGTCAAAAGCTCTGCTGGCGGCATCATGAAAAGTAGAGGGTATCTTTAAAATCAGTTTGCGCAGATCTGCATCGTAAAACAGCCTTGACGCCTTCAGGAAACGTAGGCGCGGAGATTCGACAAGCCTCTCGACAATATCTGGGTTGACATAATCGATGACAATGTACGGGTGCTGGAGGTTACGCCTTATAGCGGACTTGATGGAATTAAGGGTCGATGCCACCATGCGGGGGGTATCAGCAGGGAGCTCGGCCAAGAAGTCGAAATCGAACATAACGTCCAATTCGTGGGTCGGGTGTGTCGAAGAAGAGACGAGGGCGGGGGTGAGGCTTCGAGCTAAACGTGAACTTTATTTGATAGGTCTCGATTGGTAGGGAGGATTATAGTCCAGACGGCAATATGACGTGCAGCGAAAGAAGTCCTACTGGACAGTCGAAACTCTTCTTCTGGTCAAAGTACAGATTCGTGCGATCTCCAGATTAGCTTAGGCGAGACCCCTAAGCCCTAATTGATGATTTTAATTACCGCTGCCTGTGAGAATTGTTCATTCTTGAAGCTCAACTTTTGACATCCCATACAATTTACTATGAGAAAACAAAGGTTGGGGCCGGACCCGGAACAATGAAATGTATTGTAAGAGGTGGGTCCCGTCACTAGCGCCCGCCCATAAGACCAATGGGATGACGACCCTCGGAATACCGTGGTATGATCGTTACCCGAGAAAGATACCATCTCGAATTTGGTCTCGTCTTTGGTTCGTTACGCATCGACGGAAGTACAGGCGATGCTTGTGAGTACCCCTGATGCTGCAGTTTTCGATCTGGCGGCCTATTTGGAGGGGAGCCTGCAGTGCGCTTTCAGTTCATCTTCACCATTGCATTGCACGGGAAAAATCAATCGGTGCCATTCGCAAGGCTCAGGCAGACTTCGAGGAAAAGAGCACGTCACTTGATTTGCCAGCCACATGGATTGGCTTCGGGGAGCGAGCCGTGGTGTTGGACCAGACCAGGAATGCCAAAGTAAGCTGTGATATCCTCTGCCTCGCCTCAAGAAACCATTGCTAACCTTCTACCCTCTCTCTACTATCAGTTCGATGCCAGTCGTCAACCGTTCAAGAATTTAAACTATGACTAGGTTTCCAGTACATTTGTGAACTGTCGTATGGTTACGGCGGACTAGATGTGGCAAGTTAGGTAGTGAAATCTCTATAAAATTCCATGGTAGTCTTTTCAGGGTTGTACCAATACTTATTATAAGCACTATATACTGTGGAAAAAATACCACTGCACTAAAAAGGGTCAACCCCTTCTAGCGAAGGGCTTTTTCTAGTGCATATTCCCGCGGCCACATATACAATCGCAAAGATGATCTAGTAGGCTCTATCGAAGTTTGTATAACCACCAAAGAAATCATAGAATCCGGTGGTGATTCCATGTTGACCTTTTTACTATCTATCCACTACCTACACTGCTTGTAGTAGGCATTTAAATCAGCGGTAAGAGAACTCGGTGGAAATCTACTTTCCCCCCTCCCCTTTCCAATTGCAAGATTAGGAGAACCAAGACCGTTAGTTACGGAAATAGGGAGTAGAATGTATCCCCACCGGGATGTGGAGCTTCCCCGTCGGCTTCGTGAACGGATCTCTAGTACAATTCCCTACTCCAGTACATAGCTGAATCTCCCCTCTTCCGCTTACCAAATAAACATGATCCTATCATGCTGTTAGCCGATATATTGATCATTGTATAAAGAGGTCTGGAATCTGGATTTACATCAATATGTACACACAATCCCGCTTCATCGCCTGAGTATACCACTTCCGATATTCCAACCCGAGCACATCCAACATGTCTGTTCAAGAAAAGATTCGCCAGCGGTTCCCGGACACTGTGTACAAGCCTTTAGTCCACCCAGAGCGGCACTTGGGGTTCAACTATACCGGGTTTCATCCCGGAAAGACTCAGAAGCTTCCCAGGGGCCATGTCAGATCCCCCGGGTCTCAGGCTTTCCCGGTGGACGTGACCTGGGAACAAGATCGGGCGATTCCCATGCGGGATGGAATCAAGCTGTATGCGGACATCTTTCGACCAGCAAACGAGCACGAGAAGGTGCCTGCCATCCTCCCCTGGGGTCCGTACGGGAAAGTCGGCACGAGCACGCTGAACTACGACAACATGGGGCCATGGCATATTGGATTACCGTATCAGAACCTTAGCGGATACGAAACATTTGAAGTATGTCTTAAGTGTATCCCTGGTGAACCTCTCGAGTATCTAGACGCAGCTCTCTCACTTTGATCTTGATTGGAAGGGACCGAACCCGGCGGAGTGGTGCTCGAGGGGTTATGCTATCATCGATGTCGACGCCCGAGGCAGCGGTAATTCCGAGGGGGCTCTCATGTTTTGGGGAGAACAGGTCAGTTACCTACCTACAGTAGGACAAGTGGTGCTCTTCCGCCGCCATGACTTGCTTGCTTGTTTGCTGACCACCAAGGATAGGAAGCGATCGATGTTTACGACTCCATCACCTGGGCTGCGCAGTAACCATGGTGTAACGGTTCGGTGGTTATGATGTATGTCTATCGGTTTGCAAGACGTATTCGCTCGAGTTGGTCAATTCCGTTAACATTCTGCAAGGGGAAACTCCTGGCTCGCTATCTCCCAGCTCAATTTCGCCGCTCGCTTCAACCACCCGAACCTCAAGGCCATCGCGCCATGGGAAGGACTGACCGATCCCTATGGACAGCAGTCCTGCCGAGGCGGAATCCCCAGACTGGGCTTTGCTGATCTGATCGTCCAAGCATTTGCAGGTACGTACCTATGACCCCTCCTTTACCACACATTCCGAAATGGTACCTAGGGTCACATGGCTGATATGCACACTACCTACCTATTGGTGATGGTCCAGGCCGAGGCAACGCCGAATATCTGAGCGCAATGGTCAAATCGCGACCTCTCTATGATGACTACTGGGACGAAAAACGAATCAGACCGGAAAACATCCGTGACATTCCGATGTATCTGACGGCCTCCTACTCCACCGGTCTACATTGTGAAGGCTCCTTCCAGACGTTTGAACGCGCACAAACAGCTCGGAAGTGGCTTCGTGTGCACGCGTCCCAGGAATGGCATGACCTGTACCGACCAGAGGCAACGGATGACATGCAACGTTTCTACGATTTCTACGCAAAGGGCATCCAGAATGGGTGGGAGGATGATACACCTCGGGTCCGACTCAGTCTGCTGGGATATGACGGCAGCTATTCGGGCACGGTGGTAGAGCGTGCGGAGAAACAGTGGCCCCCTGTCCGTCAACAAACGAGACGGTATTATCTAGACGAAAACAGCAGCCTCACCAGGACGAAGCCAAGCACTCCGTCCCAGGTGGCTCATGAAGGCCATTCTCTGAGTGATTCCTCCGTAGGTTCCCAATACTCGAGAGACGGTTGACCATGTCTGCTAACCGCATCTGGAATGAATACAGGACTTCATTGTCTACTTTGACAGATGCACTGAGGTCTGCGGACGGCCGTTTGTGAAGCTCTACATGTCCTGCGACGCAGCAGACGATTTCGACGTGTTAGTGCAAATCCGCAAGATCTCCTCATCCAGAGAGCTCCTCAAATCCCTGAACTGGTTCTCAATGCCCAAGCCCGGGCCCGAGGTCCCCACCGTCAACGTCGCGAAGCATCTTGGCCAGCAGGGGATGCTTCGCGCATCTCACCACGTCAGCTTGCGATAGCGTCAAAGTGATTATGATGATGAGGTCCCACAGTACGGCCACAAGTCTCGTCAGCCCATTCCACCCGGTGCCGTTGTCTCGTTGCTCATTCCTATCTGGCCAGTCGGAATGGTCTTCGAGGCAAGGGAGAGTTTGATGCTCCGGATCTCCGGCCATGATATGGCTCTCCCCGAGGCTGAAGCTCTACGGTTGACAAGCCCTGTTGATGAGAATCGAGGTAGACACACTGTATATACCGGCGGAGAGCATGAGAGCTATATTGTGATCCCGGCAATCACCAACTAGGAAATAATCTTTGGTTTGGTCTCGGATAATGGGGTTTGGTTTTGATTTACCATATCTCTCTGTATGTTTGCCGTCTTGGAGTCGAGCGTAGTCATTCATTCGCCACAACGTCCGGAATACAGGTCGATGCTTGCATAAGATCAACGGAAGCCGGACTTCTCTCGCCGACACCAACACATCAAATTGTAGCTTTGAACGGCCTTGGGACCTAAATACTAGAAGCTCAACATTCTCCGAGGCCCAACTTGATAAGACCGGCCCCACATCAATATCTGAGATCCATGGTCTGTCCCTGCTGAATTGAGACCAGATGAGCGGTATTAGGAGAGACAGTGGAGGTCTAGAGGGATTCTCGACAAGAGGGAGACTGTATCCTGATGTCCAGAAGGGTACATAAGGATCGGGCACGATTGGAGAATCTCACTCGATAGAGATATTTCACTCGATAAAGATTGGTGGAAACGTTTGGGGATGAAAGCGGTAGTCTCCGGGGGATGGTCGGATTATATGGTTGGGCATGGGACGAACTCGACCATTTACCTCTGGCGTTGATGAGATTATTGACTAAAGGGCCTGTTGCACGTAAGAAGCTAAAGAGACTTAGAAAGTGAAGAAAAAAATTAGAATCTACATAGAGTGTCCTGCATTTACCACAGCAAACTGCAAGAGAGAAGACACAGAAATGAAAGAAAAGCATGGACTCATGGATTGCCTCGGCGCTGCTGAGCGTGTCGACAAGAGCAACCATAATGACCCTGCTCACATGTTTCCTGGCCTGCTGTCGCTGTCCCAAGCAGCCATGGAGCCATGGAGCCACCTACCAGCGCGGTCGACCCTCCCCCAGCAGGCCAAATCAGAAAAACTCTCCACTAGAATGTCACACAGCGCTTCCAGAACATGGATCTCAGATGCAAAGAGACAATATGAGACCTACAAAAGAGTTTCGGGTCACTTTCGTCATACTGCACCCAAGTCACCGGCTTTGCCATCCACCTTTAAGGAATGGCTTGCTCATCAAGAGGCCATGATTGAACAAGCTAAGGCAGACCAACAACGCGAGATCCAAGAGATCCAACGAAAAATATATAAACTGAGATCAGGAGGATATAAGAAGAAAAAGAAGGAGTCAAAGCCAGCATTCGACGTCACGAAGTTTGATGATGGTCGATCATCCGTTCTTGCCATGCAAACGATTTGGGTATCTCACGGCATCGAGCTAGCGAAACCTCACGCCCCGTGGCCAACAAATGACGAATTAAAACATAACGGTATCTACCGCGCATCTTCCGGGCAGTTTCGCGCCCTGCCTCGCCCTAGGGATGCGGACCCCTCGGTGAAATGGAATGAGAGACCCCTGGTCGCACGCTTCCCATTCGATGAACCTAGCCTGGATGAGGGCGAAGATGAGGACGAAGACGAAGACGTAGACAATACTGCAAATATCACGGACGGGGAGGTTTTCCTTGGGCTTGAACTGTTGAAAGAGTTGGATAGGTGAAGGCCACTGCACCAATACTTGTGGGCCATCAAGATGGTTCAATACAACAAAGTAGGTGGGGCGCGTGCCAGTGTTTAGCGAATTTCTTTGTTTCTTTGGGACACGTGCAAGCTATTTGCTGTCGATTGTGAAAGAGTTGGCCTGTATCTTTCATAGCCCATGACATGTCACAATTCATTCTGCCGTCTTTCTTCCCTCGAAGAGGATTTAGCTGTGTGGTCGGTAAGAGATTGTCGCTGCTCGTAGACAGCGAGAGTCAATCCGGGACGGTCTTAGTAGATTGACCCAAGGAATCTCCAAGGGTTTGTTGCCGTGGATTTGCAAGAAGCCCGATGTTCAAGGGGTTTGGCGGAAAGCATCGGCCACGAAATGATGACGTTCTTAAGCAGTAGTGGTCGAGAGACCCTGTCTCATGCACGTCTAGAGCCGGGACACAAGGGTGCATTTCGATTCCCCTGTTCATTCGGTGCCTCGCTGCTAGGGGTTGCTTTTGTAACAAGCATTTTCGAGATTTTGAAGACCTTTGATGGCTTCATTTACCACTTCCTCTCCGGAAGTCCCAGCAGGACCCTGCATCTTCCCGTAGCGAAGATCGCTCATTTCGCCGACCGTGGAGTTGAGCCCGGAGAGAAGGTTGCTCGCATCTTTGTCCACGCCTTCAATGTCCTGCTCAATGCTTGAACAGGCCGCTTCCATTGCTGACAGGAGACTAGACATAGAATGATAATCCCGGGGGGCAGTGGTAGACGTTTGACCGAATAGTTGAATGTCTAAGTCCATTTCGCGCTGATCATCCGCGCTCAAGCCATCGACGCCGGCTTCCATCATTGCTTTGCGGAGATCAGCTTTTTGCGTCTCCCCTTGGTCAATCTCTTTGTCGATATTTTCATTGACTAAATCCATGTCTTGTTCGCGCAGTTGCTGCAACTCGCGATACAGTACTCTGACATGAGGGTGGGAGCGCAGTCGTTTCGGAAACAACTCAGTGAATTTTTGCAGCGACATGACAGTCGGCAATGAAGCCGGAGTCAAGAGAAAATTACTCAGAATCGATGCCTCGGAAGGAGCCATGGTGATGGATCTGGACAAGTGTGCCTGTGTTGGAGTAACAGTCCGAGAAAAAGGGCAATTGAGGGAAAATTCACTGATTGACAATCTGATCGAGTTCTCGCTGAGGAACCACGCGGAGAGACTTGGGGACACTAACGTAGATGGAAGATCGTAGACAATATGATGGGGGAATGGAGGAAGGAAGTTAAATATTATTGATGGAGCCGCCATTTAGCCTTTTTCGGCGGACGCGTCGCTTCCGCTTCCCTGCCTCACTTTCTTGGCTTCTTTTCCTCCGCACGCGCCGAGCGACTCCCTCCTATCTTCTTGCGCAACACAGATCGCTCTCCCTCCTCCTGGATCCTTCTGTTGTCCATTGGCTCAGCGGTTCTGAAAGAGATTGAGCACAATAGCATCCATACCCTTGCTGTCTTCGTCACAGGGTGCTTGAAGGTGGTGTGCTGGCCTCCCTATCTGAAAAGCCATACCTTTGATATACCGACTAACAGAAACCCTAGCAGTTCTCAAGTGTCTCTGTCACACTCTGTGTCTAACCCCTGGGTTGGCAGTAGTTCTTGCGTTGAGTGCTTTAAGGCAGTGGTTACCTGGAGAAATCCTAGCTGCCAGCGAGGCGGTGTTGCTTCTTCACCTCTACCGTTATCTGGGTGGCTCCGGATTGTCCATTCTACATTCTTCATCTCTCTTCCACTTGCTCCTCTTCCACTTTCAAAATGGCTCCAGCAGCCCAGATGTCTTATCAAAAAGACGAGAAGGTTCTTTGCTTTCACCATGAGATCTTGTATGAAGCCAAGATTCTCGATGTAAAGCACACCGTTCCCGACGACCGCAAAAGCCCTGTTGAGTACCTGGTCCACTACAAAGGCTGGAAGAACACGTAAGTGATCTTTCCCCTTTCGTTATACTTCATGTGCTCCCACCTATTTTCAAGTTTCTTGCCGCGAGCAAGAATGAAAGAAATGGACGCGCTTTTCATCGGGACGTTACACAGACGTGAATTTGACTAACACCGCACTTATCGACTAAATCCAGCTGGGATGACTGGGTCCCCCAAGATCGTCTACGTAAATTCACAGAGGAGAACCGGGAGTTGGCGACTACTCTCCGCCGAGATGCGGAGGCCGCTTACCGTCAGAAAACCGCCAAACCCTCCGTGAAGAGGCGAAGAGGCTCCGATCCCAGCCCCGTACGGGGAAGCGAGGAGCGCCAATTGTCCGTTCCTGGTCGCAACAATAAGAGAGCCAGAGAGAATGACATTGAAAAGGTATGTTTTGTTTTTTTTACTAATTTTCCCCCGTTCTTCGCTCAATATTGTGGCATTGTTACCCGGAAAATTACCATGGCGGTGGCTGGATTAAAACCATCATCGTAATGGCGAAAAAAAAAAAAAAGAACAAAACTAACGAACTCAGGAGGATAACTTCTATATTCGGCCATCAGTGCGAATCGTCATGCCTGACAACTTAAAATCGCTCCTCGTTGATGACTGGGAGAATATCACCAAGAATCAGCAAGTCGTGGCGTTACCCGCGAAATGTTCCGTCAATCAGATCTTTGAAGACTACGAGGCGGAAGAAAAGCCCAAGCGGACGACCGGAGCTGACACCGATGTGCTCGAAGAGGTGATCTCGGGAATCAAAGAATACTTTGACAAAGCTCTGGACAAGATCCTTCTTTACAAATTTGAGCGTGAACAGTACCGCACCCTCCGTAAAGAGTGGGAGAAAGGCTCGGGGAATCTGGCCGACAAGTCGCCCCTTGACATCTACGGTGCCGAACATTTGACTCGACTGTTTGGTAAGTGCACACTTCTCGCATCCGTGCTTTATTCCAGATGAAGGTGACTAACAAAAGGTAGCGACTATGCCCGAGCTCATTGCGCAGACAAATATGGACATGCAGTCCACCAACCGACTTCGTGAGGAGCTTTCGAAATTCACGCTCTGGCTAAGTAAGAATTCCAACAAGTATTTCGCAACGCGCTACATGACCATGAGCAATGAGTACGTCGACAAAGCTAGGGGTGTTCCGAACCCGAATCCCGGAACTGCCACCTCGCATTTAGTTTGAAAAACAATGTCTTTTTGATCATGAAAGATAATCCTGTGATCGATATTCCTATTGTCCAATTATCGTCTCCGTATATCTTTCTTTCTTCTCTCTTTTTCTTTTTCTCGACCTAGTGTCGGCTGCGACAAACGCAATGTTTTGGATACCATGGCGGGACAAGACTTCATGCGAACTACAGTTTTTAATGGGTTGGGGTAACCTGTAACATAAGTATAGAACTGGCGAATTATGGATGGATTTGCTTGATGCGGCTACCTGTTTCGGTTGTGTTGGTTATCGACTAGGAGGCGGGAACAGAGGTCGTGGAGATCCTAAGATACCTAATTACTCCTAAATAGGAAGCATTTTCTTATGCGTGCTTGTCTTTCCAAAGCCAGAATGAAGAAGGAAGAATGAACAAGAGAAAAATGCAACTATCGAAATTTTATTTTCCTGGACATCCACCCGGGACTCCAAACTAACTAATCCATCATCATCACCTTTTTCTATAAACAACCCGTATGCCAAGTCAGCACGAACAGAAAAGTAAACAACAGCATACAATCGAAAAAGAGAAAAAGAAACATGAAAGGGGAGGGGGAAAATATAATGGCCTTCAAAAGCATAAACATAGACACTTTCCCCCTCTTCCCCGCTTACACCACCAACTGTCTCGCATCATCCACCGCACATCGCGCCGCCCGCTTCAGTTCCGGCTTCCAGTCTGTCTCGCGGTATCTTGTCCAAGCGCTCAGTCCGTCAGGGGACTGGATGCTCAGCGTTTCATATCCCTGCTTGATGATACGGTGGACCTCACGCGGACTGAGATTCTTCTTCTGCGTGGCCGGAATCGGGGCGTCGGATTTCGCGTCGGCGCTCTGATCCGGGTTGAACAGGAGGGTGTAGAAGTGCGTGGAGACGGAGATCAGAGTGTCGATAGCAGCGACGTGGACGTCCTTGGTAGTAGTGGAGGGGTCAGCGGCCTTGGTTGAAGCGGGGGTAGTGGAAGACGAGGGCTTGGCGATGTAGACGTCGCGGAATTTAGAGATGATGGGGCCGGTCTCGACGAGCTTGTAGAAGAGGTCGTCGTAGGAGGATGGGTCCGGGAGGAAGGTGTCGCCGGTGGAAACGCAGAAGGCGATCAGGTCGACGAGGGTGGTGGCGAGTGTGTCGATGTGTGGGCTGCCGGAGAGGTCGGAGACGTAGGTGGTGAGGAAGCGCATGAGGGAGAGCAGCGTGCGCCAGAGCTCGGACCAGTGGTAGTTAAGGCGGATTTTGTTCATGGAGAGGTAGGTGAAGAGGCGGAGGAGGATCGCAATTGCTTGGCTGTGGGGGATAGGGTTAATTGCAATGTCTTGGGATGAAGGGAGGGGAGAAGGGGTGGGAGAGGGGGCAGGGAGGTAGGTAGGTACCTGTAGAGGTTGATGTCTAGACGTCGTCGGAGGTTGTGGGAGATGGTGTCGATCATCATATCGAAGATAGCGGTTGCAAGAACGCGGTCTCCGGTGACGATGGGAAGATAGGGCTGTCTCTGTCGACAGAGACGAATTTTCCGTTTGGTATCCTCAATGCAAAGTTGCTTGCATAGGGAAGAGTCCTCGGCAAGAATGCGAAGAGTGAAGAGGTTGAGTTCCGCATACTGGGCCACCCTGGGTGATCGGTAGGCGTGCTGCAGGAGATAGGAAGTCATGGACAGGAAGGTCGCGAAAGGGGATTCCTCGTTGTCTTTTTCAGGGGCAGAGGTGATGAGGTGATGGCCAAAGAGCTTGTTGGCGTTTGTGAAGTCGTAGGTAGCGAGAAGGATAGCTGCCTGCTGAGCGGGTCTGTTCAACAGTGTTAGCGGGGTGAGGTTTCACGGATTGGGGTTCCTCAAGGAGAAGGCTTACAGTGCCGTGAACATTTCCTTCGCCTCTTCCGCAGTGGGAGGACTAGAGCGGTCCCTTCTATTGGGCGCAAGCACGCCCAACCCGAAGTAGATCAGGGTGCTGATCAACGACCATCCTTCGGGGGCGTCATCTTGCACGGCAACGTAGCCGTTTCTCAGGGCGCCGCAAGACAAACTGACCCCGCTGACGATCTTGCGAATGCTTGATTCATTGACGAAGTCATCGAGTCGGAGCTGGTAGGGATTCTGAAACTCAAATTTGTTGTAGTTTGCCAATAGCCCCAACATGAGGAAAGGCTCGAACACTTGAATGGAGGTTTCGGAGTCTTGTATGAACTGTACGGCAGGTCAGCCTTCATCCAGGCGGCTGAGCAGCACAACGCACTGGCCCTGGGCGACAAACCTTCATAAGCGACGGGAAGAGGTCACGATGTGTGAAGTAAGAGACAAGACTAGTCTTGTATGCCCCACTGATCATGGCAATAGCAGTTTTGATGGCTTTCATTCGAAATTCAACTAGAGGAAGGTCAATATACATGCTCTGAAAATCATAAGATTCGTTCGGAGCCACTCACAGCTACTACCATTGCGGATGATGCCATCCAAGACGGTAACGAAGTTCGAGATGACATGGTCCACATCATCCAGTCCGGCAAGAACAGTGATGATATCGGAACTTGGATTGGTATACTTCTTCCTCAAGACGCAGGCTAGAAAGACCGCCAAGGTCTAAGTCACTACTTAGAGGTTGACGTATAATAACTCTTGCGATGAACATACCTCGAGCGCATAGGAATCCGCGGGCTTGTTGCCTGAAGCTGCCTCACGGATTGCGCGAGCAAAGAGTTGTTGGGTTTGGGTCTGGTGACGAGTTAGCAAACTGAAAGTTCACAATTAAAGACACTAGATAAAAAGAAATGTCATGAAATGAGCGAAAAGGGACGAGTAGCCCACCTGCAAGTTCAAGATCTCATCGGGACTGAGCTGGTCTAGGATAGACCGAAGCTGCGCGCGATCAGGCGGCAACAAGAAGAATTCCTTCCAGAACCCCTCGGAGGGGTCTGCATAATCGGTTGTCTACCGGGGACAGGTCAGTATCAGGAAACACACAAGCAGGTGGGCGCGCGCACTTGAAAGAGATTCTCGTATAGTTGCACGATCTTAGGTTTGAAATAATCGGGTCTACTTTGCTGGGTTAAGGGGGATTCCATGATGTTAGATAGGACGTTCGACGATCCGCACAGAACACGGGATCATCGCTAGCATGGCAGAGGGGAAGCGGGAGGCCAAAAGGGGACTGGATAACAATAGGGTGAGAAGCGGTGGTGATATTCCTCTCCCATCGCTTTGATCCACGTTGCCCGTCCGTCTTATTATTCTCGCCCTTTTTCGGCCTTTTTTTGGGGGTAATCCACACCAGCCACGTACGCCATCTGCAGTCCACCAGCCACACTTTCGACGGTTTGGCTACGGGGGTGTGGTCATATAGAAGTACCAAATTTAAAGCATACATATTTACAATTTACATCAGGATGTTCGATATGATTCCTAGAAACCTCTCCTCATTGAGAGTGTCTTCCTACGGTGGTGCCTCATACTCCCCGTGAGCGACCGACAGGGGCGATGACATAATAAGGGGTACCTGACATCACGTGACCTGGCCGTCAGCGCCGACCGAACCTCAAGACTCGCCCTCACCAAAACATAAGGAAGGCCGCCAGCAAGAACTAAAATCGTTCCTAGCCCCGCAAAAAAAGCCGATAATCGAATTCTGAAAACGGATCTAGATAGCTAATAGATATGTTCACTCTTTGTAACGTTTTTCTACATTCCTCTCTCTTTTTGGTGGGGGAAATCACGTTAAATGATTGTGATGCATACAAATTCTGTTATGATCTGACAGGACCACACCTAAAATGTTAGAAAAAATCTGTGGTTTTTTTGGAGTTTAGGTCACGTGTTGTGACGGTATTTGGTATTATTACCCTGCAATTACCGCTCCCGGCGCGACCGGGTCCCGAGTGCTTCCAGTTAGAGCTAGAGCTACGTCGAAGTCAATCGCACGAACCTCGACGATGATGTGACCTAAGAGGGCGGAATCCGTCAGCCCTGTCTCGCCTAGATTGATCATCTACGGAGTACGGTGTACGGAGTAACAAGGCTGATGGTGGAAGACGAGCGAAAGCCATGAGTCAGCCGGACTGGAATGCCTGAGGCCGAATCGGGAGGAGCAGGAACGGCAGGGCCAATGCGGTAACTCGAAAAGGTGGTCACAAAGCAATGGTCAGCACCCGACGGTTACCAGTTCCGGGTCACAACAATGGAAGACCATTCCCCGACCTGTCCAGACGATCCTTGCGTGCATGAACCTGACAGATTAAACACAGTCCACTATCTCGCTAAACCTAATAAAAAAAAAATAGTTAATATAAGGGATTAATAATAGTTTTCTCCCCGTCAGACGACCAAAGTGGCGCCACCGAACTTGTGTAGAAACGCCTGGCTCCTGATTGGCCGACGGACTGCCGGTCCCCCGTGCGTGCCTTAGGTTTAGCCGACGCCCGTCCGCCTTCAAAACAGAACTCAACGGACCTCGATCTTCAGACTCATCCTCTTCACACCCCACTCACTTGCTATCCACGGCGATACACCCACTCTTTCGCATGCAAACATAGCCCTTTCTGGCTTCTATAATCCTATAGAGCATCTTACATCTCATATTCACATTTTAAATCCATCATGTCGTTCTGCAGAGCCGTTCACCACCCGGTGACATCATCCGCCACAATGGCTGCTTCTCTGAGAAAACCTTCCACCACGCTATCGACGAGAAGTCTTCGTCTATTCTCGTCTTACGGAAATGTTTATCGATCATCATCGAGGCGGGACATGCAGACTCAGACTGCCTATCGTCCGCACTCCCTGCCTACCTCCTTCCCCATGCCCCGGAACGCTGGAGTTCCCGACACCTCGATTGGCGCCGATTTCCCATCGACTCCCTTCCAGCATGACCCGGAGAAGCAACACACCTCATCCAACATTAGCTACCGAGAGAGCGAGGCGCAAAAGTCGAAGCCCGTCGAGTCCAAACCCGCCACCGCCCCCAAGCCCGCGGAAAAGCCCCGGAGGAAGTTGCGTCCCAGGAAGGCCGCTATGAAGCTGACTCCCTTGGCCATCGAGCAGCTCCGTAAGCTTGTCTCTCAGCCGGATCCCAAATTCATTCGAGTTGGGGTCAAGAACAAGGGCTGCTCGGGTCTCGCCTACCATCTGGAATACGTGGAAAAGCCCGGAATGTTCGACGAGGTGGTGGAACAGGAAGGCGTGAAGGTCCTCATTGACAGCAAAGCCTTGTTCAGCATCATTGGCAGTGAAATGGACTGGCAAGAAGACAAGCTGAGCAAGCGATTCGTTTTCCGGAACCCCAACATAAGTAGGTCTCCCTCGTTTCTATTGAACTTCTCAACAATCACTAACGTATTTCACAGAGGAATCATGCGGATGCGGCGAATCTTTCATGGTCTAATCGATTACTTCCATTTCATTTCCCTGTCCGGTTGTTTTGCGGAGTCCTTTTTAAACGGTGCATCGGACGGCGTTCTTAGATTACGGATGGTTCTTGGGTTTCCGGATTCCTGTTTCACCACATTGTCGAATATACCTCATTGATTCCCCGGTCATTTATCCCGCTCGCTGCTTTTTTCTTTGTGTGATGGCTTCTCTCTTTCCCCCCCTTGGAATCCGATTTCCCCCCTACTGGATTGTCTGCAAGGGGATTTGTACAATAATAATGACATTGAAATGAAAGAGTCTATACATTTTGCCAAAAATTTTCATTCACTGTAGCTTGCCGCCTGTACTCAGTTTCAATGTGTTCACCTGCTCGTTTTTCTTTTTGTGGACGTTTTCCGACAAGTTTTCCGATATGACGTCGAACGGCGAATATATGGAAACCACAAACAGGCTAGCCAGTTAAATGTTGTGTGCCTCAGATCTAGTACCCATCTATCCGTATCTAAATTCAATATACTGTACTTGTAAAACAATTCTGTAACTCGCACGGTTCCCAAATGGTACATTTCCCGGGGTTGATTGGGCTCCCTCGTCGGCATCACGTGGGTCATCACCGGGAAACACTGCCTGTCGGAGTATCGGAGTATCGGAGCTGCTTATCGAAACACCGCCTTCAGCACTGGCATTCCAGGGTCGTCTATCTAACATACTGGACCACCCATATACAGCCTGGTCAGGCACGATTCAACCCCTCCAGGAGTTATGACAACGCCGTCCTTCCTAACCCCCGATCTAAACGATGGGGCAGAGGCAGACCAAGCGTCCAACCCCCTCTACCTAACAATCCGCTTCTCAGCCTCAATAGCCGATCTCCCCCTCGACGTTCTATACCCCGAGACCACCACCGCAGCTGGCCTGAAACAATTAGTTCGCACTCGTCTCCCTCCGAACCTCTCCTCCCACCGTCTTCGTCTTATCTACGCCGGCCGTGGCCTCGAAGATACCGTCGCTCTCGCTACGTCCCTGAAATTGCCCCCGTCGCCGGCTCGTTCGCCCAGGGTGCTCCCGAATCATGATGACTCCGATACTACTCCCCTCGACCCTAAAGGCAAGGGCAAGGCGCCCGTTCGTGACCCGCCCCGTCTCTATATCCACTGCTCAATCGGCGATATCGTCCTCTCGGCGACGGACCTAGTCGCCGAAGCAGCTGCGTCGTCGACGCTGCAGCAGCAGCAACAAGAATCGGAGAAAGATGGTTCATCTGCGCAGCGTTCGGGGCTGTATACCACACACCAGCAGCAGCAGAGACAGTGGCAACAACCCCACGGGTCCACTACGACACCCGCGCCTCGTGGCTTCGACCGGCTGCTCTCGGCGGGGTTTACGGCGGCGGAGGTCACGGCGCTGCGGTCGCAGTTCATGGCGATTCAATCCGTGTCGCGAACGCCAGATACGATGCCCAGCGGGGCAGAGCTGCGTGAGCTCGAGGACCGATGGATGGACGAGGGTTCGTCGTCCATGACGGCTGGGGCGGAAGGTGGGGGAGGAACGGCGCTGGCGGACGACGACGATGGTGGGTTCGGGGCGGGCTCTCGAGGCGCAATGGATGATATGCTGTGGGGGGCGGTGATGGGGTTCTTTTGGCCGGTGGGGTGTGCGATGTGGTTGCGACGAGAGGAGGGGGTTTGGAGCTGGCGGAAAGGGTTGGCGGTGTTTGTTGGGGTGGTGGTGAATGTTGCGTTCGGGGCAATGCGGATGATGAATTGAATGGATGGGTGTTTTGTTCTTTTGTCCCCTGTTTGGGATATGCTATTTATGATTGTGTTGTATGTACATACTATCGATGATACCCCCCTCTACTTATTGAACCGGCAGATATTTGATTCAAGTCCACTGGGTAGTTTCTTCAAGAAGCTACAGGCATCAGAGTAATATCATACAAATGTTCTGTGGCAGTAATAGTGTATCTGCGAATGCAGGCCAAAAGATGTCGTAAGATAGAAAAAGAAGATTAATAAAGCAACGCCTTCGCAACGCCCGTTAAAGCCCGACGCTCAATGAAACTTGCCGTATATAACAGCGACAATCAAGAGGACCAACAAAGTAATGATCGCAATCGTAATTATCCGATTCGTAGCCATCCTGTAAGAAAGAACAAGACACGTTAGTATTTACCACCTATCAAAGTCAAGATCGATGTATATCTCATCCAACAGGAGCTGTAGAAGGTGACAGTACCTACGGGCCATTCCCCTCAAAGTCTTAATACTGGTATCCACGTAACCCTCACTCTGCAGCAGTCCTGACCGCGTATGCATGATGGTCTCCCGCTGCTGGTTCAGATCAGCCAGCGTGTTGCGACCGATATCTTCGGTTTCGAGAGCAATTCGCTGACTGTCCCGCAGTCTAGAGGAGCTGCGCTCCAGGCGGTCCGTGCCGGAGAGAAGTTGCTGTCTCTGCTCCAGATGCTCATCCTGAGGGTCGTCTGTGTAGCGATCGCCGAAGAGCGCTTTGCGGTCGTCCGAGAGAGACTTAAGTTTGCGTTTGGATTCGTCAACATCCGAGGAGTAATTGCGGAATCGCACGTTGACTTTAGATCGGGCGGCGGAGGGGATGTTCTGCTTCTCCAGGCGCATTGAATTCAACTAGACTCAAGTATTAGCAATGAGAGGGAAGGATGATGGGGTTGTTCATGACCCTACCAGCTCCGTGGCCTCGTCAAGAGACTGCTCCGCGGCTCTGATCGCCGACTTCCGCTGTTCCCCGCTAGACTCGGCGATTTGATCCAGCTTCTGGTTCAGATCGGCCTGTATGAGCTTCAGCTCGGTCTCGTAGCTGCTGAACAGCTCCGAGCCGGCATCGGTATCCAACGGGTTCGACATTGTGGTAGTGAGGATTCAGGGAGAGATTCTAGGGGAGAGAGTCTGTGTGTCGTAGGCTAGGTTGATCTCCCACGATTGTAAGCGGCCGGAGGTGGTCTCTAGGCTGACGGGAACTGTGGCCACCTTATCTAGCGGTGGCTGGTGGCTAGTGGCACTATGTGGCTCGAGAAAGGAAGTATTAGCAGATTTTCGGGCGTATTCCGTCGGTTGTGCAGGTGGATGAAGTCTCGAGACCGAGTCTGCGTCGAATTAGCTCGGAAGGGGCGGATGATGGCACTGCTTATGACAGGGAGACGCATAAATGCACTATTGCGATGGATTGATTGACGGATTGCTCAATGGACTTCCCGCGGTGTCCACGTGATCTGCGGCCGAGGTTGACGCTTCCGTCTGGCATGTCTCCTTTCCTGCCTTACTTAATTAATCGTTGTCATTCTTTCATCCCATCGGGACTAATTTACTGCCACAATCCACACCCTTTCGTCATCTACCTCCGGGGTACCTCGAATTCTTCATGTGATCCGCATACAATGTCGTATTTCTCAGGTTGCAAGCGCTGAGATCGCCAGCCGCAGATGACTATTAACCTCATCCTGGATCGGTGGAGCACTGAATGGACCCCCGTAATCCAGTTCTCCATACGTTTTGGGCCAATGAACGCCTAGAATACCGTCATAATCGCCATGCATCTCTGGGGTCTTTCCTCCTTCAAGCTACTGCGCTGCTTACTACCTATCATCTGATATGATCACACTCGACATCCACACGCGGGTTGAACTTGCGAAACATCAGAGAGTCTGTGCGGATCAATAAAAGATCTCTTTGGCCGCTCTATTCGTGATTCATGTCTGTCTTCCGGTGTTGGATGACTTCCTGGCCCTTGTTCGAACACTCCATCTCTCCTCAGGGAGAAACTACATGAAATATATACTTAATTCGTGCACTGCGACCTACTTTACAAGCACGCTGTGGTTTTCAAAGTGGTCTAATTGATCCGTCTAGTTGATGTGGAACTGTTGGCTTCATGGACAACCCAAACACTGCAAGCCCTCGTCCTCATGCCGCTCCCAAGTACTGAACGCGTTGCGATCGTTGGAGGTGGCTGCACTGGAATCGCCTGTTTCTGGGCTCTGCAGAATTCTATCCATGATGTTCATTTATTTGAGGCGTCCTCGATCTTGGGCGGTCGCATCAAGGCTATTCCATATGAGCATGACAAAAACCGAGTCGATGTGAACACGGAGTCTCCCTTGTTTAATTTTGAGAACTCCCGTCAGTACTATTCCACTGAATCATGTTTCAAAACTAACAGCGATAGCTAACCTTGTTTCCATGCTTGGCCATCTTGGAGTTGCTACATCTCCAGTGCCGTTCTATTTCAACTCATCGGACGGTAGCAACACTTTTGAATGGTTCGGCAGCCTTCTTAAGAGCCTCATGTATAAACCTTGGATACTGTGCAATATTGAAACATATCGCCTCCTGGCCGACTTCATCTGGCTAAAGTATTGGGCTTTGGATGCATTGGCTTCTAAGTCTTGGGTGTGGGCTCTCGGTACTTCCGACTCTCAAGCCTCGCTCAGTACACACGATTACCTCGCAAATGAGGGGTACTCGGGCACTTTCTATGATGGCTACCTCTCGCCATTATTCTCGACACTGTGGAAAACAAATGCAGGCAGGTTTCTTCCGCAATTGCCATTTGACGCTCTCATTCATTGTCTGAATGATTATCAAATCCTTTCCCCGCATCATACTGCATCTCAGTGGCAGCGCATAAACATGGGTGTACACCATTTCGTCAAATCTATGACCAGAGAATTTTCCCCTGCAAAGGTCCATCTCAAAGCCAGGGTTCGCGAAGTATCCGCCATTGGCAAAAAGGGATACATTCTCCTCGCGTCTGACGCTCAGCCGATGTATTTCGATCATGTTGTTTTTGCTGTGGATAGCCAAGAAGCATTGCGATTGCTTCATCCAAAGCTTAGTTCTGGAGAGAGGGATATTATTCAAAGTTTCAAGGCAGCTCAAAACGTTGCTGTTCTACACTCGGACGTGATGGTGCGTACTCCACCGGTTCCTGGTTGATCGTGATCATAAAATCCTCGGGCACCTTTGTTGTCTGAACCACTGCTCATCGCTTCAATAGCTTTCACCCGGTGTATCTCGATCGTGGCCAGCACACGATTATATTATACCACAGAGTGGTCACAACCAGCATCATTGCTGCTCTATTTTAGAACCGGCGACCGGAAAATCGTCCCTCACACACAATGTAAATACTCTTCAAGACATTTCGACCTGCGTTTTTGGTCGTATCTTCATCACTTTGAACCCGTTCACCCCGCCACACCCTCACCTCGTTCAGGGGGTATGGGAATTCACGGATCCTGAACCCAATCCTGAGTACCTCTACGCTCAAACCCGGTTGCACTCCATTCAGAACAAGCGTGGGCTCAGCTACGGTTTCCGCTGGACAGGTCGCGGCTTTTTAGAGGATTCGGTTACCGCTGGCCTGGAGATTGCGGTAGATCATTTGGGTGCAAAGGTACCCTTTGAAATTGACCATCGACATGCTCTAGATTTGTCGCCCTTCTCCTTAGGTTTGGGCATAACAGAGCATGTCGTTCGGTTGATTTTGGTCTTTGGCCGTGTCTATTTCCAACTACTTGAGCTCGGTTTGATTCTGCTGAGTACCTCCTGGTTGGCTTTCCCAAACGTCCGGACCCTGATCATGCGTTGGAACAAGGATAGAGCATTCAGCCAGTCCTAAGGCCGGATTTACCCTGGTGTATGTACTCCAATAGAAGAACAATACAGTTTACGATGTATCAACAAAGCAAAGAAGCCAACGTAACAATTGAAACTGGTTGACATTAACGTAAAACAGCTATGAAATTCGCCTTTCCGATACATAAAAACACCACAAACACTCATCACACGTGGTATATCAAGTCATTTGTTTGTGCTGAAGTTTTCTTTTCTTTTTCCCCTCCTTTTTCTTAAGTATGGTATGGGTCTCGTTCAACTTCCATATCCAATTATTTCGAGAAAAACAAATCTTTCTCCTATCGCACCATTACAGCAATCGATCGACCGAGCAAAAGTTCTACCCCTTAGAGGAACTTGTCACTGTCCTGGTTCACGATCGTCGCACTTCTCTTCGCATCCAGGAACAGATCCTCGCATTCCGCGACGTCGGCCTCCTCGATGCCTCCCGGGCGTCCGTTGACGCGCGCAAGGATGTTGGCAGGAGTCAGCAGCTGCAGGGCATACCGCAGACTGACCTTGCTGCCGTGTTCGGAGACCTTGTCGAGGGCTGGGTCGGTGATGTTGATGCCTTCTGTCTTGGCGCGCAGACGGATGATCGTCTTGATTTCGTCGGGCGTGTAAGGGTGCGTGGGGATGATGAGGAGACGGGCGAGAAGGTCGGAGGGGACGCCGTGCGCGGCGGTGACGTCTTCGGAGCCGCGGATGACCGTGTGGCCGCGGTTGGAGGCAAGGATGACAATGGGGGAGATGGTGGATTCGAGGGCTCGGTTCAGGTAGGTGAAGCATTCGAGGTCGAGCATGTGGACCTGAAAGATAGCAGCAGGTTAGTGGGATATGAAAAATGCGGAGAGGGAGAGGGAGAAAGTTCGTCTAAGCGACGGATGCTCTGGTTCATACCTCATCGATGAAGAGCACACCGGGGACAAGCTCGGCAACGCCCTGGTCAATGTAGCGGTTGACCACCTTGTTGATCTCCTGGCGCAGCTTTTCCGTGATTTCGGTCTTCTTGGGCTTCATCAGCTGGCCCATCATGCTCATGACGTCCTGTCCACCCTGTGGCCGGGCGTTGGCCATGTCCAGATCATGTAGCGTCACATCTTGCACGATTTCCTTCTTCTTGTGGACTTCTCCCTTCGGGACAGGGACGTATTCTTCGGCTTCGAGATCGAACTCAGTGGCATAGGCGTCCGATCGGCCCACGCGCTTGCAAGCTCCGGTGTTCGCTTCAATGTAGATGACATCTCCGACAGTGACTCGTTCCTTCTGGATGGCTTCGTAGATACTGGGGTCCAGACGCAGCTTCTTGGTACCCTTCGCGGACTTCAATCCGATGATCAAATGGGAGATTGTCCGACCGTAGCCTCCCAATGGGTTTTCGGTTTCTTCGGGCGTGAGTTCCGTCACCTCACCTTCGTACACTTCTTTCGTTTCACGGACTCGGAGACCTAGAGACATATTAGTTCACCCATTACGTACGATCCCAAGCGTGATTGGCATTGTCGCATACCGATTGCCCGTCGGAAGTTCTCCATCAGCGCCTCGGTCTTCTTCACCTCGGCGGAATAAATCTCACTGCCCACGATCGGACAGAACGGGACCTTGGTACCCAGTTCTTGCGACACGGCGAGGGCGAGGGCCGTCTTTCCAGTTCCAGGGCCACCGGCCAGGAGAACGGCACGTCCGGCCATCTTCTTCGCTTTAATCAGGTCCACCACGACACCACATGCCTATTACACGAGAAAAAGTCATGTTAGCTGCCATAGAACTAACTCTTTTGGTGCTGCGGAGGAAGAAGAGAAAGTTGCGCACCTCACGGGCAGCGGCCTGACCGATAAATCCATCCCCAGACGTTTCGGCATTGCCATCGGAGCGCAATCCGAGACCCTTGATATGCGTGTGCGCGGCCGTTCTGTTCTCGCGCGAGTTGCCCTTGACTTCGCTAATCTGAACCATGATGGAAGGATTGCGACCTCACTCGGAAGTCACGGGGTAGTAGGGTGATGAGCGATAAGAGGACCGAGATTCGATGTTTTGCAAAGAAAAGGGGATATGAAAGAGAGACGAAAGAGACAGACGACGTAGAAAGAGGAAAGCAAGACGATGATTGCTTCTGGCCGAAATCCCGGCAAAGCTCAAGGGATCGATCAAATGAAGCGATCCGTTGCGAAAGGCGGTCAGGCCAACCCCCAAATTCTTTCGCCAACACCAAAAGTTGATCTGCCCGAACTTCCAGCACGATCTCCCTCTACCCTCTCCCTCTCCCCACCACCGCCTTGGGGATTTGCTGTTCGATTTTTTCTTTTTCTCTCCGACATTCTCTCTCCTGTCATGGTCGATTGCCCCGTATCGACCTCTTGATTCAGCACAATGGCAGGATTGCAGTCTCGCTCGGCCATGTCTCTGCCGTTTTCCCTCTCGTCGGCATTTCGCAACCTCTCGTTGACGGGCTCGAAAAGATCCTTTTCCTCGACTCCCGCCGCGCAGAAGATCCCCAAGCTACCGGACTACATCCCTCCTTATCCCTATGGCCCGAATTACATGTACCGGCAGTCGAATACCGGTCTCTACGGCGGCGTGACGATTCAATTCGGAAACAAGATCTCGCAGGGTCGGAATAAGGGGAAAACCCGCCGAGACTGGAAGCCGAACGTTCGGCGGAAGAAGATCTACAGCGAGGCCCTGGACGAGCATCTGTTTATCAAGGTCACGCGCAAGGCCTTGCGGACGATCCAAAAGTCCGGCGGACTCGACAAGTACCTGCTGGACGACCGGCCCGCGCGGATAAAGGAGCTGGGACTCTTCGGATGGCGGTTGAGATGGCAGGTGATGCAGACGCCGAAGATCCAGGAGCAATTCCGACAAGAGCGAAAGAAGCTGGGTCTCCCCGAGCCCCCAACGTTCGAAGAGTGGGTGGCGCAGAAGGAGGCGGAGATCAAGGCCAAGGCGGAGGACGAGACCAATATCAAGGAAGCCACGAAGCCGACCTACAACAAGAAGCAGTACTAGGTTCGAGAGTATCATGGATAGGGGAGGAGGGTGAACAGTGGATTTGTTTCAATTTGCGGTGACCAATGGATGGGCGTCTGTATCATTATATTTGTTATGGTCGACAATGTCTCGCGCATGCCACTTCGGACGTTGTCGGTATTTGCTGAGAGATGGTGAGGAGACTACGCAAACACTATTCGGTTGCTACATTGATTTGACCAGACTTGCATGATTAGCTTTTCAGTGTATTTATATTTCTTTTCTTGTTCAATGCTACTTACTACATTTGGGATACTACATCTACCCTACACTCGGCATTCTGTTACGGGTTGTTCTGAAACCATGTACAACATGACATGTCCCACTACATGACTTCTAGAGACCCTGGACTTGTCACAGCAAGTCTCTTGCCCATGCTTTAAATTACACCAAATAATGTTCCGTCACGTTCTCATCATCCTTTGAGACATACAACCAGGAACGTTGCCATCGGGCCATCGATGATCCGCAGTGAATTTCCGGATCCGGCAGAGCATCTAGTGCCGTTCCTGATGAACTTCAGATGCGCGGCGATAATTACTACCACTCTCTATCATGCTCTGATCCTAGGACCATTTCTTCATCAATTTTCAATAGTTCAGCACCTGGTCGCTGGGGGCGCGCAGTTCCGCCATGCAGTTTGCCCTACCTCCTCGGAAGAATGCCCATATTCTTCCCTACGCCCGCTCTCCCCGGATTTCGTTCCAGCGCAGGAAACAACTCAAAGCGGCCGCAATCCTAGGCTTTGGTCTTCTCCTCGTCTTCTTCCTTCTGTCCCAGTTCTTCTCCTCAAGTACCGGAACGACTGCCGTTCCGATTGGAACCCCGAGCGTTGTCATCGTCACCCTACTAGACCGCGCCGCCTTCAGCAACGAGTACATCCAGAAGATCGTTAAGAACAGAGAAGACTACGCCAAGCGACATGGTACACTCCCCCAGGAATACAAACTGCTCTATGGATACTAATAGTCCCTCGCGCACAGGCTACGTGAACTTCTTCACCAACCTCTCCGACTACGAGTCCTCGCTCGACAATGCGCCGCGAAGCTGGGGCATCGTCCCCGCCGTCCGCCACGCGATGGCCACTCATCCGCACTCGAACTACTTCTTCCACCTAGATGCTCACGCGCTATTTATGAACCCGACCAAGTCGCTCGAATCCAGCCTCCTTGATAACCGCCGGATCGAGTCCCTCATGCGCAAAGACGTCCCCGTCGTGCCGCCCGACAGCATCATCAAGACCTACTCGCACCTCCGGCCCCAGGACATTGACTTGATAGTCAGCACGGATAACGAGGATCTCAGCGCTGGGAGTTTCGTCGTTAAGCAGGGGGATTTTGCGCGCTTCTTCTTGGACTTCTGGTTCGATCCGTTATATCGCGGTTATAACTTTGCGAAGGCGGAGATACATGCTTTGGTAGGAGAACCTTTTGAAAGAAGAGGGAATCTTTTATCGCGACTAGGGTGCACGTTCTCAGGATGCTAATGCTATTTCTTTCTGTACAGGACCACATCGTCCAATGGCACCCTACTGTCTTGGCCCGGTTGGCCTTGATCCCCCAGCGCGTCATCAACGCCTATAGTAAGGATTCCTCCGGCGCAGCCGTGGATGGAACATATAAGGAAGGGGATCTAGTTCTTCGGTGTTTCGGGTGCGATACGGATCCGAAACGGAATTGTGAGAAAGAGATGGAACCGTATTACCATCTGTGGGCGAAGAACTTGAAATCCGACTGAGCTATGGGTCTCCTAGCTCTTGGCTCTTACCGACGTTATGACTTGTAAGACATTGTGTATTTTTTCCCCCTCGCGACGTCGGACGGAGGCTTTTCATGTTTTGGAGTTCACTGGGAAATGAACAGGTTGAGACGAACTCCTTTCCTTTTTGTTATCTTGGACTTTTGGTGTTTTGGGAGCAGCTAGGGGTTACGAAACGAGTTTTATATAGAGCATTCTTAGTCTGTGTAATAGTGTTCAATAATGAGTGCGTTAAATATTACTATTATCGCTAAGATGTTATATAGCAAAACACTCGTGATTTTGAACGCGTTGCGCGTTGCTGATTCGTACTCGATATCATCAGACTCATGGAAGAGCCTGGTCAAGGCATTGTCAGTTTCAAAGCTACCGTCATGAAGCTCAACGCCTATTGACGGTTCTCTGCAGCTATGAGCAAAGCGCCAGGGTGAATCCGTAGCCCCGTTCGCAAGCCCATGCATGGTCAATTTAGTTATAGATGTGCAACCTCCCATTCCTGGCCGGCCTCCCATCTGTGTATGACATTCTCTCGGCCATTTAAATCAGGCCGGGAAGCATGACAAACTTCTTGTTCTTATACTTGTCACCGAACTCCTTGCGGTAGCGACGTTCCTTCTTCTTGGCCCAGCTGACCATCTGCGCGCCGCCAACCAGGATGAAGAACAGCACACTCCAACTCAATCCGCTGACCAGGTAAACACCCACCCAAGCCATCACTTCGAACAGGTAGTTAGGGCAAGTCACGAGACCGAATCCCATGCCGACGGGAATACCGCGCTCGGTGCTACCGGGACGGCGGAGATCACGCAGAATCAGGTGCGCGTTGAAGTTGGCCAGTTCACCGAAGACGAAAAGCGCAAGCCCCGGGTAGAAGAGAGCCGGGTTGGGGTGGCTCGTCATGGAGGCGGCGTCGGGACGGAAGACCCAGTAGGCGATGTTAAAGCCGGCCAAGATCCAGTAGTGAGCGCTGTTCTTGACGATGTTGCGCGCCGGCATGGTGGCATTGCTGAAGCGGTGGACGTAGACGGTTTCGAATTCGCGCTTCAGGAAATGGACCGTCAGGAGCTCGCAGACGAAGAGCTGCAGGCTGGATCGTTCGGGCAGCTGATCGAAGTTGTAGTAGATGAAGGGTCGCAGAGGGTAAAGGAAGAGGATCGGGATGAGCAGAGGTCCGAGGTATTCGATGATGAACACGGTGCGCCAGCTGATCTGGGGGCCTGTGCAATTGCGATAGATGCACTGGTTAGTTGTTTTTTTGTTCTGGCTCTAGTCTTTGCTGGGTGCCCGTACCAAGATCCTTGACATGAATGACACTCTTGTCCTTCAATCCCAAGTCATTGACGATCGTGTTGCGCGAGTTGGGCACAACACTGCGGTCGCTTCCCTTGGTGATCCTCAGGCGATGGATAGAGAAGCCTGAGGTTTGCGCGAGCGAGTCGTAGATCCCGGCTGTCGAGACATTGGAGGCGATTTCGAGCTCACTGGGAAGGCCCTTGATTGGCTTTCCTGCTCGCCAGATGGGTCAGCAAGTGCGAATTCGGGGGTTAAGGGAAAGAAATCATACCTCGTGGCTGAACCACCAACGTAATGGTTGCCGACGACATTGTAATCGAGGCCTGAAATAGATTCTCTTATTATTTCTTTGCAGGGGTTCTGAGGCAAGAAACAGTAATATTTTCAGCCACAGATAAACTAACCCAAGAACCAAAAGAGCGTCAAGAGGGGAAGACGGGCTAATGGAAGACCTCAAAACACGAGGCGATTCTTGAGGGTCGACGCGGAGGAATTGGGATGGGGGCCTCGGTCCATATGGATCACGTGATCTCAACGTTTCCACGGAGGATATTCTGGAGTGTATGACAGACTTCTTCTACAGAGTAACTACCTAGAGGCTCGTGGTTTGGAATATGAGACGATGTGCAGGGATAGAGGATTTGCAATTTGACACCTCGAGTGATCATGCTTAAAGTCCTTTGTGCTTTAAGTGTGCTGACACTTGAGCTTAGCGCATGCAGTCAGCTGCGCATGAGTATCTAGCTTCGAATCCGTGAGAATACGAGTCTCGTCGGATTACTCCGAGTCTACGTATATCATCAGACGAGTTCTGATTCGATCGGTGAATTTGGTTTGATTTTGGGGCTTGGTCGTTCGGAATCTTGTTCTAGACTCTTGGTCATGAAAGTGTTACCTAGGTACTGCTTACCCAGGACATATCTGAAATAATGTATTTCTCTGCAAACGGTGTAGCACGAGTAAGGCTGGTTAGAAACATTGATTCTAGGGAATTGATAGCCATTCAGGAGCCCTACCATAGTAACAAGGACCGCTAATTCACCCCCGCGCAATTTTACATGTGCCGTGGCCATCCTCGGTCCTATCTTGAGATCGACACAGCAACTAGCAAGACATGGAAGGAGTGAAGGAACATTAACGTATTTAGGGTTCCTACCTACTGACTCAGTACTCACCTACCTTGCTACTACCTTAGTTCGCCGTAGGCCAATCGCCTGATTATTCCAATTCTCCGTCTAATATTATTTATTGAATCATTTCTAGTGGATAATAATTAGCTTCATGAATTAACTATATTTAATTATTATATTAATTTATTTTTGCCATATCTTTGACCCTATATGGAAGTATGTACTGTACTGTACTTCCATGGGCCTTACGGTACCGGTAAATACGGGCCCGATATCCACCGCATCATCGACTTCTCTCCTCTTCGTCTCCATCTCAATCTCATTCTTCCTAAATTTGAGTCTGTGGCTGCGAGAAAGTCTCAATTGACCCCTTGCCATAAGCTAGTTAAAATAATGATGACAATTGTGCAGAATCGCCACTGCAAGACTTTTCAATCAATCGGGCTCATCCTTGTCTTGATTCAGCTGACCTGTAGCACCTCCGAAGGCACGTATAGGACTTAAGGGGGTTTCAGAGAATACAAATCTCTATATCCCAGCCAGCCATTATGAGATATTTTTGGAATTCGAGGTACTGGCAGCAGTATAATTATTAAAAGCTCTATGAATTCAAGTAAGATTATCGGTATGATCATCTGTCTACATTGAAAGAGGCCTTATTTACATGCGAAATACAGTAGTCAGAATAGCGGAATCCTTCCCTTCGAATGCAGGATCTCGCCGGCAGGAAGATTGAAATCGCCAGTATTCATGCGAATACCGATCAGCTGCCATCCATTGATGCAATAGAAAACACAATAACCGTGGTTTCTTCCTTCCGATTACTGAATTGCGGGGAACGGGCTAACATTCCATCAAATTCCTGAGTCTAGCCGATCAGCTCCGGCCGGTTTGCTGGCTAGGGATGCTTGGAAATGCTGTCAACCCTCCGGGCCCATGCACGAATCAAATTGTTCTTCTTGCAAAAACACCTGTCAGTGGGGCCCCCTCGTCAGGATGCATACGAGCAGAAAGGTGGAATATTAATGCTCAAAGCACGCCTGAAAACGGCATGAGTGGCTGGGCAGTCCAGGGGTGGCATGAACAGCATTTCGCCCCTCAAGGTCAGGTCTGTCTCCGAGAATTTTGCTTCTCTTGTAAATTGGATGAGAAAATTTTTATCTGTTCAGCCGCAGTAGGCTTACCACAAATCCCGCAAGTCCTACTTCGTATAAAACCTTGCTTGGCTGTTATTTTTCGTTATTATATTGTCCATTCCCAACCCCCTTGCCTCCTACAGACAACTCTCCGTTCGTGTATTGGCACTGACTGGGAGCCATACTAATTGACTTTCCCCCACTGCTGTTCATATGCTTCTGACGTACGCCCGTTTTTAGGTTTCCGGTGATTGTTATAGTATAGGATAGGCTTTGAGAGAGTATCCTGTCTTGATTGCATTCATTACAGCTCGCCTGTTGCCCTGATTGTCCTGCCGGATTCCTGGGAATCCCGTTGCCATTCCTCCTTGATTCCGCTATTGGAGTATCGACAACGAACAATACTTCTATCGCCATACATATATCCTGACTTGTATATTTCCGCGCCTCGACCCACAATGACCGAGTTAAATGGCAACTCAACCATAAACGGGTTTGGCCAGTCTATCCAGCAGATCGAGAAGGTCATCTCCGCATCCTTGCGGCCATTGCCTACTGAAACAGGGGATGGCACATATGTGACTCCGGCAGCCAAAACACGCCTTGTCGAGGACATCAGCCGTCTCGACCTCGGCGATTTCAAGACCATTGCGAATGTTGCGAAGAGTGCTGCCACGGGTGAGCCGCTTGACGATAAGCGTTATATCACGGAAAAATTGATACAGGTCAGCTCGACTTTCTTTAGTAAATGGAGGATTCATCTTTTCCATACTAAACCAAAACCCTAGCTTGTCTCTGGACTGCCCTCAACATCTCGTACAGGGAGCGAATTGACGAACAACTTTCTGAACCAGTTGTGGAATGATTTGGAACACCCACCAGCCTCGTATGTTGAACCCTGACTCACGAATCGTGGTGAAGGTATTGGATTTGACCAAATTGTATAGCTATCTGGGCCGTAACCATGCGTACCGCGAGGCCGATGGTTCAGGCAATGTATGCCCCTTCTCCTGATACTCTTGACCTAATCCAAAGTAACTCACTAATCCATGCGGAAGAACATCTTATGGCCCAAGATTGGAGCCGCCGGCTCCCATTACGCAAGATCTGTACGGCCTGAGACAATGCAGTCTCCAGCGCTCCCCGATCCCGAATCTCTTTTTGATTCCCTCCTGGCGCGAAAGGACTTCAAAGAGCACCCGAACAAGATCTCTAGTATCTTGTTCTATATAGCGTCTATCATAATTCATGGTAGGTTCTAAAGGAGATTCTACCATATTAAGTCTGCCGCTGATGAGAATGAAGACCTGTTTCAAACAGATCGCAATGATGGGACAACATCTGTCACGTCGTCGTATCTGGATCTCGCACCACTGTATGGCAACAATTCAGATGAGCAACATCTTGTCAGAACATTCAAGGATGGAAAGTTGAAACCAGATTGCTTCTCCTCGCGGCGTGCACTGGGCTTCCCCCCAGGTGTTTGTGTGATTCTGATCATGTTCAACCGTTTCCACAACCACGTGGTTGAAGAATTGGCCTCGATTAATGAGAACGGTCGATTCACAAAACCGGACGAATTGGATGTCAAGGAGTACGCAAAGTACGACAACGACCTGTTCCAGACTGGACGACTTGTTACCTGTGGATTATACGTCAACATCATCCTCAAAGACTACGTTCGAACGATCTTGAATATCAATCGCATTGACAGCACCTGGAGCTTGGATCCTCGCGCAGAAATCAAAGACGGACTGCTTGGACAGGCAGCTGCTCGAGCTACAGGTAACCAGATATCTGCCGAGTTCAATCTTGTCTATCGCTGGCATTCTTGTATATCCAGGCGCGATGAGAAATGGACACAAGACTTGTATAGCAAGATATTCCCCGGAAGGGACCCCAAAAATATCCCTCTGCAAGAATTCGTCCGAGGTCTTGGTAAATGGGACGCGGAAATGTCGGACCAACCGAATGAGCGCGAGTTTGCTGGACTGCAACGCAATGCGGATGGAAGTTTTGATGATGATGCTTTGGTCGAGATTTTCAGGCAAAGCGTAGAGGACTGCGCAGGCGCATTCGGAGCCTCCAATGTTCCAACCGTCTTTAGAAGTGTGGAGGCGCTTGGAATCATGCAAGCCCGTTCCTGGAATTTGGCCACATTGAACGAGCTTCGGAAATATTTCAACCTGGCTGCCCACAAGACATTCGAAGATATCAACCCTGATCCCTACATAGCTGACCAATTGAGGCGGCTGTATGACCACCCCGATCTCGTTGAAATATACCCTGGTGTCATCGTTGAGGATACGAAGAAACCGATGGTACCCGGCAGCGGCCTTTGTACCAATTTCACAACATCAAGGGTTATTCTCTCCGATGCGGTGGCATTAGTGCGCGGCGATCGCTTTTACACGGTTGATTACACACCAAGACACCTGACCAACTGGGCTTTCAAAGAAATCCAGCCACAAGACTCTGTTGATCAAGGCCATGTCTTCTATAAATTGGTGCTGCGGGCATTTCCAAATCACTTCAGAGGGGACTCTATCTATGCGCACTTTCCTATGGTCATTCCATCCGAGAACAAGCAGATCTTGACAAGGCTCGGGGTTGCTGAACAATACAGTTGGGACAGCCCCCAATTTGTTCCTCTTCCTCGATTCATCAATTCCCATTCTGCATGCATGTCGATCCTATCGAACCAAGAGACGTTCAAGGTGACATGGGGCGAGAAGATTGAGTTCCTGATGCGGCGCGGCAGTCATCCGTATGGCAAAAGCTTCATGCTGTCTGGGGATGATGCACCAAATGTGTCGTCGCGTAAGATGATGGGAGCAGCTTTATACCGAACGAGGTGGGAGGAGGAGGTGAAAGACTTTTATGAGCAGATTACCTTGGAGCTCTTGCACAAAAGCTCCTACAAGGTCGCCGGGGTCAACCAGGTCGATGTCGTACGCGATGTTGCAAACATTGCTCAGGTGCATTTCTGTGCGACCGTTTTCTCGTTACCCTTGAAAACTGATGCCAACCCCCGGGGAGTTTTCACGGAAACCGAGCTGTACAAAATCATGGCAGTTGTTTTCACTTCTATCTTCAATGACGCCGATGTTGCGAAGTCTTTCGAACTGAACCAGACAGCTCGAGCAGTTACCCAACAGCTTGGACAGCTGACTATGGCCAACGTGGAGTTTGTGGCTAAGTCAGGTTTTATCGCTAATTTGGTCCATAGTCTTCATCGTCATGATACTTTGACTGACTACGGTGTCCATATGATCCAACGTCTGCTTGATAGTGGTCTTCCCGCGGACGAGATCGTATGGACTCACTTATTGCCAACTGCTGGTGGCATGGTGGCAAACCAAGGACAGCTCATCTCTCAGTGTCTTGACTATTATCTCTCTGAAGAAGGCTCGATTCACCTGCCCGAGATAAATCGACTCGCCAAAGAGGATACGCCGAAGGCCGATAGTATTTTGCTCCGCTAGTAAGAAGAATCATACCTCCAACCCCTAAGTTGCTTTGGAATTGACTGACTAACCCTCTTTCTTTTCTTCACAAAAGTTTCATGGAAGGTGCTCGCCTGGGGTCATCTGTTGGTGTCTTTCGAAAGGCTGCAAAGTCCGCCACCGTCGAGGACAACGGGGAAAAGGTGAGCTTGAAGCCAGGACAGAACGTACTCTGCAATTTGGTAAGTAAACCCATTCTACGGACCCACGTCTGGGTCGTTGCGTGCAATGTTACTGACAATCGGTATTCTACACAGGTATCTGCGTCAAAGGATCCTGCTGCTTTCCCGGAACCGGAGAAAGTCAGACTTGATCGTGATATGAACCTCTATGCTCACTTTAGCTTCGGAGCGCACCAATGCCTTGGAATCGGACTCTGCAAGCTGGCACTTACGACGATGCTTAAGGTGATCGGGCGCCTCGATAATCTTCGTCGGGCGCCCGGGCCTCAAGGGCGACTCCAAAAGCTTCCAGGACCTGGTGGGATTTCCAAATACCTGACAGCGGACCAGAGTGGATTTTCGCCCTTTCCAACCACCATGAAAATTCAGTGGGACGGAGATCTTCTCGAGCCGGGGATGAAGCAGTAGCATTAGGAGGATGAAACGATCGCATGTATGTAATATGGTGAGAAATTGTGCTTTAGAGGTGTATTTTTCTTTTCCTCTCTCTTTTTTCCTTCTGTTATGATTTTATGGACAGTATTCGCCCTGTGGATTTCCTGGAAAGACTGTACATTGTACTACGTGTAATATGAGGCATATGTTGAAGGTGGATCGGATTCGGCTGCGGTGAATGAAATATCTTGTCTTTAGTGACGGATTCCCACCCTCTGATGTCATTCTTCTGTCAAGGTCTCAGGTCTCGACTCTCCAACACCAGAAAGTAATCAACCAGCCACATGCCGGCCAGGAACGCATCCCCTGTAACTTCACCATGTACATTTGTACCTTCATCTTGGGTAGAAATTGAACCCAGAGCATTCGCACGTAATTACCTTAGAAATTAGTTGGTCACTGCACTGCCTATACATACTACGGTTCATTACTGTGAGATTGGGCATCGGCCTTTACGGGGAGTACCTCGGCGGGGAAAACGAGACTTCTCTCTACTTTGTAGGCCAGAGTCCGATTGCGAACCGGAATTTCTCATCTACCAGCCGGAAGTTCGCAGACCAGGCCCAAAGGCAGGGCTGACTTAGAAGTTCGGCAGGGGAGAAGACCCGCTCCGGCAGCAGCTCCCAGAGTCTTAGTGAGCCACAACCGCGACCCAAAAACGACCAGAGGCCGCCCAGAGCTCCATTTCATCGGGATAATTTCACGAACCTTCCAACTGAGCATTTCCTCTTCCTCTTCCCGCTCAACCATCCTCCTCCTCCTCCTCCTCTTCCATCCACCCTTTTCACGCTCCTCACCATCTACGCCTGGTTTAATCCGATTCCCCTTGCCTTCTTTTTGATCCAGCTTGGCTGTTGAAGCTTCAGGGTTGACGACCTGCACCCGTTTTCCCTGTCTCTTTGGCCTCCAGCGGTAACTGTTAGGTGAAGCCGCAACTTTCGATCCGCCCTCCGTCTGACCTCATTTGTCCTAACCCATCCCAGAGGGCGAATAAACTCTTCTTGAACTCCCCTCGATTTCTATTTAGATCATTTTCGCACTCCTTCATCTATTCACTCGACGGTCGCTTTTAGCTGATCGGTCATCAATCCAACCCTCCCCTCTCATTCTCGCTCGTTAGGTTTTCGCTGAAGGAGAGCCGCCAAAAACGTCATACGGCTCACTCGCGACATTCTCCGCGACTCGGTCCTGACGACCTCCCCACCCTCGCTAGGAGGATACCTCCTGGACACTTTTCTTGCTTTCTACTTGATGATTTAATGTCTTTTTGAGCGTCATAATGGGGAGAATTAAGAAGGCGGCCAGCCAAAAACACGAGGCTACGATCGTAAGTTTGTCCATTCTGCTCCCCCACCTTCAACACTGGATTTGCAATCGGACTAAAAATTTTCCTCTTCTTCTTTACCTGACAGTCCCCTTTCCTGGCGGAATTCGTATCTCGTGCTACGACTATCCCGGTCCCCGAACTTGCCTCCCACCTCCGCACTTTTCCGCGGCTATGGCCTTTTCCCAGAGGAGACCTGTATCATTGGATCAATGTCTTGAATCGCTTCGACGAAATCTTGGCTTCGGTCATCGAAAAGTACGAACTTAGCAATGGACCTCAAACAAAACCCTTCGGTAGACTTGTTCTCGTCGAGGCTTATGCCGGTAACGAAAGTAACGCGGGTTCGGGGGATGTTGATTCTCGACTGAATGCTCTTGGGTACGGTCCGGATGGCGATAGAGAACTTCTCGAAGTCGTGCTTGATTTTTCTAGACTTCTATTGGAAAAGTGTGGCAACCGCAGCCTCTACAGTAGCAGTGAGCGCCTTGGGGAACTTCTGAATACCACCTCGCTGTCCCTCTTGCAGTCAACGCTGCGTCTGTCCCTCTCGTTGGCCCAACGGTATCATTTCAGGCAACGCGGCGGCTCTCATCTCCAGCAGAGCTTGCTAGCAGCCCATTTTAATATTGATTTGGAGAAGATGCAGAAGATTGCCGCACCGTTCCCTCGCCCTTCTGCGCCCGCCTCCGGTAAAGTCACGACGGGGTCATCACCGGCTCTGGCGACCAAGGGCAAAGAGAAAGGCCCGCAAACGAAGTACGATGCCAACGATCTAGTGTCTCTCACTCGAGAAAACGACAGTTGGGAGGAATGGGGCCATGTGCACCAGCTTTATTACCCGTCCGGTTCTTCTGAGCAGGCGAAGACGACATCGGAAAGTGCTCAAGGCGGGGCGGCGCCAACCCAAACTCCTACGACCCCGACACCTCTGCGCAGGAGCCATACCCACCCCACTCCACGCCTGAGTCGCTCGTCGATCGTTGATGAATCTCCCAGCTCGGTAGCCAATACCCCCGGAAAGCCCGAAGAAACACAGCGAGGTGGCCAAACTCTTGATATTCCCTATTCGAAGGTTTCTTCGCCGTTGAATACCGAGGACATCCTTGCGTCGCATCTGGAGGAACTGCCGGAAGACTCGAAATATGAGCTCCTTCACCGGCTTCGAACAGCTCGAGGATTGACTACATCTGATTCCACCCGGGAGCAGATCCTTGCGATTAGGATCCTTGCGATCACAAACCTGGCCTACGTCTATCCCGAATCGTTGTTCCAACATAAAATCCTCCAGCAAGATATGGAACAGCCGAAGCGTCTCCAAATTGCTTACCAGCTGGGTGAATTAGTCCACCTCGGTGCAAGTGGCGATCTCAGGGTTTCACGGCCCCTCCAGACGTTGGCTCTTATGGCTTTTGACTCGTTAGCCAAACATAAAGCACGTGCGATTGACGTTTGTGCGGCACTAAGTGTCAACGTAAATCACGGTGTTCTTATGTTCTTGACCCGCAAAGCAGTCAATGAGCTAGGATCTGACGATGACGATGAAAATGATGGCAGTCAAGATGAATGGCGGGATGCTTTGCTTTCTCTCCTGCGAACGCTTCCTGGCTCGAGCTCCAGAACCCCGGAGACTCTAGTCTCGGCTGGCTTGATACCCATGTTTGTCGATGTTCTGAACCTGCGTACGGAGAAAGCACGCCGTGTTTACTCCCGCGTCATGGAATTCCTCGACACTTTTGTTCACACAGTGCGTGATGCGCTCGGCACGCTTACTAGTGCAAAGGGATTCGACGCTATCTCAGACCTGATTGACAACGAAACAAAGACATCTTTCGAAAATGTATCGCGCGGCGCGGGTATCCCCTCTCAACACAAAACGCCGTCCATTGATTACCAGATCCCATACTTCCAGCAGCAGACGCTTCGTTGGATGTTTAGATTCGTGAATCACATAATGCAGCATAACGGCGGGGGTTTTGATCGAATCCTCCGAAACCTCATCGACTCCCCTCAACTCCTTACATCTCTCCGATTGGTATTTGAACATGCGCGCATCTTCGGTTCTCATGTCTGGAGCAATGCAGTCAACATCCTTAGCAGCTTCATTCATAACGAGCCTACCAGTTACGCTGTCATCGCTGAGGCTGGGCTGAGCAAGAGCTTTTTAGAGGCCGTGACTCTGCAGGAGCTCAAGAACCCCCAGAAGCCGCCTATTCCACCGGAGGACGCTGAGGCTGATGCTGCGGGCGAACCTTCTACTGAATCGTCAACGGCAAATGCTGCAGCTGGTCCCTCTGCAAACCCGGAGCAAAACCCTCGTGAGTACGAAATTGCGAGATCTCGGGATGCCAAGTTGGCTACTGGTATCATGCCAGCCGCAGAAGCTCTGTCCTGTGTCCCCTCAGGGTTCGGGGCTATCTGTTTGAACGCCTCCGGATTGGAATTATTCCAATCGTCCCATGCCTTGGAGAGCTTTTTCGAAATCTTCGAAAGCCCCGAACATGTGAAGTGCTTGAAGGATGATCCTAACTTGGTCCGTTCGCTGGGTACTACGTTTGATGAATTAGTGCGTCATCATCCAGCGCTGAAGTCGTCTATCATGAGTGCCGTCATTGTGATGGTCGCACGTGTGGGGCTTTTGGCTAGAAGTAAGGCCTGGACAGAAGGAGCCGGAGCTAAGTTGTGGACGGAAGACTCACAGGGAAAACCGGTCGTTTCAGGACCCCTCAGTCATCTTTACAGGAAAATCGGTGCTCCCATAACGGGCGAAGCAATCGATGGACCTGATCTTGGAGTCCGAAGTCTGAAGTCCAATTCCCTTCCCGACAGTAGCAAGTTGACTATGCAGAATGTGGACCAGGTCTTTTCATCCGATCAGACTGTTGAACCGAAGGATCAAGATGCCCACGGACTTACGGCGACCGATTATCTCTATCCTGTCTTGAGGTTCTTGGGGGCTTTCTTCGAAAATCAAACCAACTGCTCGCATTTTATTGAATCTGGGGGCGTAGAATTTATTCTTGATTTTGCGACGCTGCAAAGTCTTCCGTTTGACTTCCACAATACCGATGCCAACCAAGAGCTTACTGTCTTGGTGCACATGCTGGCAGAAACAAAGCCTCATCTCGTTGTTCCCGGACTTGTTGATCGCCTTGACTCAACTGTCGAAATGCTCTCCGGTTTCTGGCGCTTGTCAGGACCCAGGGAATCTGGCTTTTTCTCCCCGTTGATTAAGCCCGCTTCTGGAAAGGGCCCCGATGCCGAGAGTGATGAAGCTTCGAAACTGGCCAAGAGCAATGGAACGTACTATGCGAAGCATATGGTCGCTGCTCTTATCTTGACGGATCTGCTCCGTGAGGTCTTCTCCATGCCCCTGTATCAGACTCGCCCAAGTCAGCAGACCTCGACCTTTTCGCAGGTCAATTTGGCCGACCGTTGGAGCTCTCTTGTTTCCAAGTTGGGAGGTTTGCATGCGGCCTGTGTGTGGGAGGAGATTCTGTTAGCGAAGAACATCCCAGACACCTGGGATCAGGCAACCAAGGTGCAATCAAACGGCCCAGGCTCTGAACGCCCTAGTGATTCTGTGGCGTCGGTGAACGCGGACGGAACGCCCAGCGCGACCGCAGGAAACTCTCAAGAAGACCCGATT